AACTGGACCTCAGGTGACCGAACCTGCACAAGGAGAACCTGGACGTGCGACGACAGGAATTTTATGCAACCTGGCGAATGCGTCGTATAACGATCTGCCATGAGCCTGTCCTGTTGATCGCGTGTCCCCCTCTCACCTGTGCATAAGGTCATGCCGCATTTGCTGTACCACGTTCCCTTGGGTATAGAGACGCGGGAGGTACGGGCTTGTTGGTTGCTGCCAGGCATAGGATCGCAGGTTGAAAATGGATGAAGTTGGTGACGTGGATATCAAACACGAGAGACCCCATCACTACGGACAGCCACCTCCAAATCCTATCCACCGTATGCCGCCAGCCGAGACCTCTACGTCGTACAGTTATCCCCCTCCGCCAGGCGCAGGTATGCCACCACCGGCGCCGGCGTGGAACCCGACGCCTTCGCCATACAATGACTCCGCGGACCACCGACCTCCGCCTCCAGACATCCCTCATCAATCGCCATATCCTCCACCACCTCAGCCATATCCTCCCACTCATCCCCCGCCAGGTAGAGAACCCCCAGGCTATCCTCCGGACCCAGGTTACGGCCGCCCAGGCAGCGTGTCGGGCCCTACGAGGTCCCCTGCCGACGTTCAACAACCACCACCGCCGCCGCCGCCACCACAGCAACCTCCTCCTTATCACCCCGTGAGTAGCAATCCCCACGAAGCTCCTTACTACCCTCCCCCAACCGACTACAGGCCGCGTCATGCCTACCCAGGGCCCGAACCCCAGCTCAACGGAACTCACCAGCAGCCTCCTCTTCACGTGGTGACAGGGCATGAAATGATGCCAGGACAGCCTCCGGGCCCGCCAGCGTATGGTCCGCCCTCAGGAGGGCCCATGCCGACACCCGGGCCGTACGCCTACCCTTACCCTTATCATGGAGAACACAGACGAAAGCCAGTCAGAGCTGCTCAAGCTTGCGACTCGTGCCGTCAACGAAAGGCAAAGTGCGATGAAGGGAGACCCGAGTGTCAACATTGCAAAGACAACGGGCTGAAATGCTCGTATCGAGAAATCCCTCCACAAAAGTCGGAGAAGCAGGTCCTAGCCATCACGGCACAATTGGACTCGTTGGCTGAGGACGTAAAGACATTGGCCCAGAAAGCCCAGGAGCGGGACGTGAAGATGGACCAATTACTCAAGCAACAAGATGATAAGATCAACCTGTTGCTGGATCGTCTTATGCAGTCCCGAGCAGATCGACCTCCGGCGACTGTTGACGTACCAATGGTAGACCAGCACAGCCATGTCGCGGTGACAACACCTGCACATCCCAGTCCTGCACACCCGAGTCCTGTCAATCCCAGTCCTGCTCAACCCCCGCCTCCGTTGTTCCGCCGTCAGGATAGCACTTCTGAGGTCAGGTCCGGTTCGCAGTCCCAGAACCCCTCCGCAGCGTCCATCATGCAAATGCGAAATTCGGAAACAGAGAGTATAGACACGCCTATGCCCGCCAAGCACACGACGGCCGCACAGAACCTCGTTCTTTGGCCATCTATAAAGGCTTTGATCCCCAGAGGCATAACGCCGTCTTACGTGTTGGATGAGGAAACTAGCAGAGGTCTCCTGCGACTTTATGGCTGTGGGGAGGGAGAGGACAAAGGAGATGGGCATGAGGGCGCTCCGAGTCCCGCTAACAGCAACTCATCCGAAGGGCGACGCACCGACGACGACACAGCTTCTTCCTCGCCGCATGGCGTTTGGGGCAGCGGGCAGTTGCACGTGCCGATGGCAAATCAGCACCATTCCGCGCGCGAACATCCCGGTGGTTTGAGTCCTAGTGGCGGGCTGATGCTGGATGAGAAAGCGGTCGATCGATACTTCCGGAGCTTCATGGACAATATGCATATTCACCACCCATTCCTCGAGCCCAAGGTTCTCCGAATTATGATCCAATCTTTTAAAAGGAAATACAGCTGGGACTACCGGGCCACGCAGCAGGTTACAGCGATTGGGCACAAGAGGAAGCGAGAGACGACCGACTCACCGACCTCAATGGACGATTACAACAGCCAACCCCCTCAGCCCAGGGGATACAATACGACCGTAGCTCCGATTGAACATTCAGTTGCAAATGCTATCGTCTTACTTGTGTTGGCGCTGGGTAAGATCACGTCTCATCGCGATCCCTTGCCTGGACCCGCGTCAACCGCTACGATGCGAACGTCGACGCCTCATAGCGCACTTTACTCGGATCTTCCGATGCCCATGTCAGCGCCCACCTCTCCATATACCCATCACCCCAATCTGAACGGCACCGTTTCGAGTCCGGCCAACCCTCAGGGGAAGAACATGGACGTTATTCCAGGTCTTGCTTACTTTGCCATAGCTGCGGATATCTTGGGCGAGCTACCAGGCGGCGCCGACGTCTCGCACATTCAAGCTTATCTTCTTGCAGGTCTATATATGGGACAACTGGCACGCATTCTACCGAGCTACTTCTACATCAACAAGGCCTGCGTTGCAGCTCAAATCCTGATCGAGTCCACCCCGTATGTGACAAATACCATGAAACCTGCTCGCCGTAATTTGGTCAATTTTGCGTTTTGGTCATGCTTGCAACTGGAGAGCGACATTGCGGCCGAATTGGAGTTGCCTCTCAGTGGGATAGGTCGATATGAGAGCCCTCAGCATAAAGAGTTTCCAACGGCTCTCACGTTGGAGAGGATCCCGGAGTCCAGTGTGGATGACGACATATTGAGATTTTACTCATACCAAATTCAACTGCGGACCACGATGAATAGCGTTCATGCCACGCTATATCGGGAATCGAAGAATCTACACACGAGGCCAAGCGATAGCATTATGTCTGCTCTGGACGACAACCTGGAGAACTGGAGGAAGATGCTGAATGATTGGGACTGGGATGACAATGACCACGAAAGCCCCAACATCAACGTCGCGCGGATGCGAGGAAAATATTACGGTGCTAAGTACATCATCTGGCGGCCGACCCTGCGATTTGCCCTCTCGCAAGCTACCGCCAATCCTAATCCCACACCCACTCCGAAACTCGCCAGAAGTCGACCATCAGAGTCGCCTGCGGGGCACGGTCACCAATCTGAGGTGACTTCACCCGCCGTGTCGAGCCTCAATACTCCCCACCCGTATGGGAGAGATGTTCCTTACATCCAGCCTGAATTGCTGGAAGGATCTAGGAAGTGTATTGAGGCCGCAATCCGAAGCACTACTTCATTCGACAAAGTCCCTCGCCGTCTCGTTGTCACCAACATCTTTGGCACAGCGCACGCGTAAGTTCCCAAAATCTTGTGAATGCTAAGTGTTTCTTTGACTGACGTGGAGATACAGCCAATTCGGAAATATGCTTGTTTTGTACGCGACCTTCACCTCACCTCACCCAGGCTTAAGCTCGTTGGTGCAGGAGGACGTGTTACGGCGGTTACATGATCGCACAGTGCAGATTCTGCGAGAGAACGAGGCCATTTCTCCAGTGCTGGCCAAAGACCTGAAAATTCTGGAGCACGTACGCATGAAGGTGTTTCCACCGGCGATATATCCTTCGGCAAGCACTGCGTCCAGCTTTTCCTCGGGCCGATAACACCAACCGGATTCGAAGCACGAATATACCAACCCGGTCCAAATTTTAACTTTTCCTTTGTATACCAAGACCCCGGGAGCGCGGAGGGACGCCGCATCGGAATTCATTGCATGTGTTGCTCTATGTATGTGTTATGTGGGCAGGTCCTCCATTTCCCTGAAATTCCCAGGCGGTATTTGTCGAAGCGTTCCAGCGAGAAACCCACGGTCAGCATCGTCGAATAATTGTGTCAAGGTATCCACCAAAGAGTCATCCTCGTCATCAACCACGGAGTTTACGATTATCTGAAATGGCATATTATTGCTTTAACGGCCGAAAGGGAAGGGTGGGCTTTGTGAGTTGTTTGATTGCTAGTTTTGCGAGTACCATACCGCGTCATATGAGAGAAGGAGGAGGAGAAGGCTTCATATGTTTTGTCACAACCGAGAAGAGGGGGAACGAGACGTCCACAAGAAGGACCCATCCAGGTTACCGATCGCAACCTGAGCCCTTTGGAGCTCCTCGCCATATCCTCCTGTGTTAGTGGACCAGCCGAGCAGTCTTTGTTGCAGTCAAAAGAATACTCGTTTTGTTTCAGCTTCAATGATGGATGCGAAGGAGAGGAAGTCTGATCAAGATGCGGCAGTGAGAGTGACAGTGGTGGTAGCAGGAGAGATCTCATCTGCAAGTGGAAGAACATTGGAAGGCAAACGGCAGAGAGATACGTTTTTTCAATTTGTGGATTGTTAGGAGGAGGAAGGGACAGGGTCACGGACAAGGTTAATCTGTACATTATCTTGCAATTGCTCGTACAAAGGACAGAGAGAGGCCTTGAGGGAGTCTGCTGTTACAATATACCATTTTGAAAAATACCTGCTTTTCTTGAAGTGGTGATATATTTGAGGATGGAAGAGAGTACCTGGTAATACGGGGAATCAAATGAGGAGTAAAATGCACACCGTACGAGGCGAAGATACCAGGATACCAGGCACATAGCACCAGGGGTACTTTCTTGAGTGGCAGGGTGGTAAATAAGAAGAGACAATCGAGAAGATGATACACCCAGGACAAGGCTGCGCTAGTATCATTCTGGATTTTGGTGCAAGTGTCCTCGGTAGCGCAGCCTCGTCAGACGTCAGACGTCTAACGTCGACCCGCTCACCAAGTACGAGGGACAAGGCTGAGAATGTGAGATGTATTATTATATTACCGAGTACGCCCGACCTTGGCCATGACCATCCAGAGGCCAAAGCATGAAAAAAGAATCAGGCTGAGCGAGTACATTTCCAGACACATTCAACTCTAATGCATTTGCGCTTGATGATAACTCCCCTTCATTTTCATGGACTGTCGATAAGAGTCACCACTCCTTTTGTGCAGGAGCTCCATCAATTGCTCCGTTATCAGATCCTTCTTTTCTCTCGCTCCTGCTTGCCTTTAGGCGGAGCTTGGTTCGGCGAGAGCTGAGGGGTTCATCCCACGGCCATCACTGTGTTGCCGATCAGCAGGCGTTTCCATCGCGTAGGGAGAGGGTCCAACCCTCTGCAGGAAGTTGGGGTTCATTTCGTCCAGGGTACATATGCAACGCTGAAGATCGTTGCTATGGTCCAGGTCACACACAGCTCTCCATTTTCCGACAAAATAAATCATTTCCGTGGCAAGGGACATGATGACACAGGCGGATTTGGACCAGTTCGTTTGTGCCAGCTCAAGTTCGACTTTAGTCTGAGGCAGCAGGCAGATAACAACCTTGGCCGATAGCCCTTGAGCCTCTGTGACGGTATGGACTTTAACATCGCCCAAACATCTAGTAGTCGCTTCCTGCACGTGGAGGTTTGTGCTGCTCCCATCGAGACTGACAACCATGATCTGGGACGTTTCGCAACCACCCGTCGAAAGCAGCGTCTTGACAAGCACGTCCACAAAGTGGACCGGCGATTGTCCTTCACGATTAATAGGGTCCCAAATATCGAAGAAGTGAGCAAAGGATGTGATGCTTGTGGCGTCGTCATCACCGTCGATGATCCTCAAACCAGCATTGAATCTGTCTTGCATTTTCGTCAAAAAGGATCCAGGAGTTGACGTTTGTCGCACAGCCATCAGTCGGCCGTCATAGAAGACAGAGCTCCTAGGGAAACATAGATCCGAATGTGTCATGCGCTCAAGATGAAGCATACAGCCTGGCCACTGCTCCTTCATAAGCTCTTCCAAGATCGATCTGCCTTCGTGGGGTTTATCTTTGTCTGTCCTTGTATATGGACCGAGTTGCCTATGGTCGCCCAGCAGCACTAATCTAGTCAAACTGTCAAAGTGTGCAGATACGGGTGTAAGCAGGTCATAGTGCGTGATCATGCCAGCGTCTGAAGCGATGAGGACATGAGGAGGCCAGATTTTCTTTAGCCAGGCAACGTGGGACTCTGAATATGTGCATAAAATGACCCTAGAGCCTTCGAACCCGGACTTCTCTTCGAGTGGAAGATGGAGATGTTGGAATCGGAAATCGCAGAAACATTCCCTGAACATGAATCCGTCGGAGATATCATCCAGCCTTGATCTATCGTATCCACAGATTAGAATCTTTTTCTGAGGAGCCTTCCGCAAGATTGCTTCCGTAACTGAGACTATGGCCGAAACTAATCCACTGCCAGCAGGCGCATGAACAAGAGACACTTGATGATTAAAGATGTTTCGAATCACACGGCATTGGGAATAATCCAGGTCGTCGAGAACAGAAAAATCAACCGAATAATCCGGTTCCGCAAATGGCAGAATGTCTCTCACAGCCTCGCCTTGCCGCAGAAACATGGATACCAGGGGGAGGTGGGAGTCGTTTGTCGATGAGGCAGTACGAAATGCGGCTTTGGTGGCTTCCTGCCAAGATGATAAAGGATAGGAACGCTCCTCTGATGCCTCGATAGTGGCTACTTGATGAGCAATGAAATCCCTTGCGCTTGTATACCTCTTTCCTGCTGGTTCAGCGTCATCAGTCACCAGGAGATTACTCCGCTGCTCGAGGTCTGACATCCAAGTCGGCTGCGGGATCAACGAGAGGATGCCTTCGGGCTTCCAGTTCTGAATGGAAGATGTGTCGTCGAATTGGAGTTTGATCCGGCTGAAGATTTTATGTGTCTGATCAAGGGGAAAGATATCTGACGGAGCTGAAGAATGAGGCGGTCTTTGATCGAGAAGAGAAACGTCCACAGCAGGTGAGTCGTCCATTATCCATATCACAATCTGAGCAGCAGCATTATTTGTATCATGTTGGGCCAACAACTCGCTCCCAGCCTGTGCATCCCAGTCCACCCATTGCCCCGAAGAAGCACGTCGTAATAATGCACCGAACACGACCTGCCTCGAATCATAATTCAGGGTGAATTTGTGTCTGCCAACCGTCTGCCAGATTTTGACACGGCCGTCATAGGATATCTCACACTCGCAGCCTGCATGTTGTCCTAACTGGGGAGATAGATCGGTGAATCCCTCCAACTCTCGGCCAACAACTTCGTAAGCCAAGCGAATAAGCGATCTGAAAGACTCAGCTCGTGAAGATTCGACGAGTGCTCTGGAGATTGACATGGCAGAGCATGGAGGTTAGAAAAAATGGTGGTGCATAGCCCAGAGGTCAACAGAGCGCAGACATGCACGACAACGACGGCATTGTAGACGGTTTCAGCGAAACAGAGAAGCCATTCAAAATTATCACTAGATATCAATCAGACACTCTCCATAGAACAGTTGTAGAGGAACTTGCCAACTGAGGACTCTGTTATCACGGGCAGCTAAGCTTATAGGGAAGCGTCTGGTTCACCATGTGAATAGCAATTGAGATAAACAGATTGGGCCGCAACTGTCAGCAGTCTTTACACAGTAGATGGTAGACTTTATCAGGCTGAAATTCTGGACCTCCCGGGTGTGAAACACCACATTCAGGATTGCGATTGGAGATGGTGGTTTGTGGAGGAGCAGATGGAGTCATCTGTCGAGTAGGAGATTTATCTGGGGAGCTGAAGTTGATTGGTGCGTCATAGCCTTGGCCCGTGCCTGCCTAGCGTGAACACACAGTGACTTCCAAGGTCCCTAGCGAGAGGAGGGGGCCCGCCTAAGAAGAGTGTCTCCAGGGTTTTTTAGGTGCCAGAGGTACCTAAATAGAGATTGGGTGCCTAGCGAACTAGGTAGGTATTACCCAGGTATGGGGAATTAGGTGCCTCGGTATGCACGTCGCAAAGCCATGGCACCAAGAATGACTTACATACCGTGTACCAAGGCAGTATCCACAGATGACCTACATCCCCAAGTCCCTCGTACGTACAAAGAACAAGTAGCTAGACCTCTCGGGTGGCTTGTGCAATCATATCAAAAGCCTTGATTCTTGTTCGATTTCAGGGACTGCCCGTTTGGCGTCCGAGTCCCTTGCGCTAGAGCGTCAACAACGCCTCTCAAGGAAGGCTGTACAGTGATGTTATTGAGCAGAAAAGGCGGGACAACCAGGATTCGGAGATGCTGAGCCGGGAGTCATTGTGGCTGGGATTTCCCGGGTGGCCGCACCGCGACGTACTAGGCAGGGTACAGCAGGTGGGTAGTGCCTAAGAGGGACGGCAGGGATGGCTAATGAGACCTACGAGTACGAGTACCTGTACATCTCCAGAGCCTGAGGGGGGCCAAATGGGGGGGCTCGGCTAGGCAAACGACGCAAGGCAACACGTCACAGGTCTCACTCGTCAGGCTTAAAACCATCCACTCACGGGCTGAGGCGTGGTGAAAGTCGCCCCTCGCAAATGAACGATTGCCTTGCTAACTACTAGGACCGCATGCGAACAAACTAGGCGCTGGACTTTGGACAAAGTAGTACCGCCGACTCATTTGTTCTTCACCTCTTTCTTTCCCTCTTGTCCCCATCGCCTTCTTCATTTTCGTCCCCGTACTTGGTCTTCTCGTCAACGTTGAAGATGGACCAAAATCATCTCAGGCGCAAGGATACCACGAAGGGTCCGCCTCTACGCGTTCTGTCGCTAGGTATGTTTCAATATCATGTCGAATTCACCCTCTGTGGTTGATTCGCGCTCAGTGTACTGACCGAGACAGATGGCGGCGGCGTTCGCGGATATTCGATGCTCATTATTCTCCAAGAGCTCATGCACAGAGTCTATGTCGAGACCGAGGGAGAACCACCAGATCGGCAGACCGGCACCCCGAAGCCTTGCGACTATTTCGACCTGATCGGCGGCACTGGCACGGGAGGATTGATTGCAATCATGCTAGGGCGCCTGCGGATGGATCTAGAAACCTGCAAGGCCGTCTATGTGAGGATGACCAGAAAAGTATTTGAGACGGACAAGACATTTGCCGGCATTCCATACAAGCACACTTTATTCAAGGCCTCCAAACTCGAAGAGGCTATCAAATTGTGTGTTCAAGAGCACACCCTCTTTGAGAACGAGGGAAATGACGGCACGGCTTCTGGAGGACGCGAATTCCAAGACTTGACGAGTCCTGTCAGCACCACCAGCACTGCAGTGAGGAGGTCGATCAGCGTTAGAAGCTCCAATTCCATCAACAGTCCCGCAACTCCGCTACGCAACTCCCTGGTCTCCCCCTCGTTTCCTGCCTGGGGCAATGCGAATGCCAGCCTCTATGACAACCGTCCTAATCGGACCAAGACGTGAGTGGTCTTCCCTTTTCCACCCCGGTAGGGGGGCGATACCAATTTCAGGCATAGCTGACTGGCAACAGCGCTGTCACGGCAGTGTACCAAGGGACAAATCCTCGTACGGGCTCCTCAATCCTTTTACGAAGTTACGATAGCCGAAAAGAGCCACCTCCAGAGTACAACTGTAAGATCTGGGAAGCTGGAAGAGCCACTTCCGCCGTTGGCCTGGCCTTCAAACCCATTCAAATTGGTCAAACGGTGTTTATAGACGAGGGCGCAGGCAAATTCAACCCAGCGCCACAGTTGCTCGAAGAGGCCGCCGTGAACGAATGGCCGGGTAGAGAGATAGGTGCCTTTGTCAGTATTGGGACCGGGAAACGGCCTGAAGGTACCAATGCCCGGCAACACGAATGGTGGGAAGACTTCATTGGTGGCAGCATGGGCGCCTTTGCAGAAGCCAGACGCCGACTCATAGCCAAAATCGAAGGCTGTGAAGAAACGCACCAGCAAATGCTCAAAACAGAATTGCCCAAGCGAGGCGTGCCCCTCGACAACTACTGCCGGCTGAACGTCTCAGTCGGTCTCGGAGAGTTTGCCATGAACGAATGGCAGCATTTGGCGCAGATGACGGTCAACACCAGGAAGTATCTCAATGAACCTGCAACCCAAAAAGCACTCATGGAGATGGCCACGAAGCTGGCCAAAATTGAATTGATGAAGAGGAGATACGAGCGCCAATCAGAAGTCCACGCTCGGGAGTCAAGCTGGTCGTTGAGACAGAGTAACATCCCTCCAATTCCATCTCACCCCTCGGCCGTTGAGTTGCCAGCAGACGAAGACACCTACCCTACGACTCCCCCTCAACATTATCGTATCCCTGGAAATCCCCCGTACCCTGATCAGATGGCATTGTCCCAGGATAAATTTGCCTTGGTTCCAGGAGAATCACCTCCGCAGCGCTTGTCAAGCGATTTGCCATATCGAGGAAGGGATGACAAGATATTCGTACCTCCACCACCGCCTACAGCTACAACATATAATCAGTCACAAGTACCTCCTCCAAGACCCCCAAAGACACCAATCAACGATCACGTTTATCCGAATTATCCCCCGCAACGAATTTCACCCGTGAGGCCCAACGGGATTCCACGGCCACCATACCCTGACGACGAAGAGCCTCCGCCACAGTTCAACCGATACAAGAAGCCAGAATATATCCCCAGGTAGTCAGAGAAGGAGGAGACTTGATGACTTTCAATTTATATGCCATACGAAATGAGCGTATGCTTGCACCAAAGGGGCTTGGATAGCCGCCATGACTGTACGATTGTGGACAATTTTGCTTCTAAGTTCAGATACCCAATGAGCAAATGATGTATCGGAGAAACAGGACATAGATAATTCATCGAAATTCGAGACGGACTGGCTTGACTGGTCACAGAGGAATGACATTGCATATTCATATCATAATATCCGCCGTACTGAATACGGCAGAGCATAAGGACTTTGACCGCTTCGGTAATTTGCGCCTTGAAACCTTCATGGCACTCGTATTGCCCCCGGATATATCATATTTGCCCATGACTTGTACATACAAGCCAACCTCAACACCCTGAGAAGCGCCCTCGGATTTATCCTCGTCAACGAAGGACGATGTCACCATGCCGGCGGCAAACTCACAGCCGCCGGTTAAGCTCTCGCTCCCCCTGGTACGTCTATATCGACTAGTGCCACGACCTCTATCAATCCTACCATTTATAGGCCAGTCGCTGACATCTCCTCCAGCAATTTCAGCAGGAGATCTATCAGGTCCTTCGAACTGAGGATGTTCTTGTCATCCTTGCTCGGGGCCTTGGTCTTCTGAAGATTGTCACAAACCTGCTTCATTCGTATGATGCGGCAGGCAATTCTCTCGTTATAGTTGTCGGGGCAGAAGACCGTGAAAATGAATGGATCGGCGAAGCGCTAGCAGAACACTACGCCGTGTCTCGGAGTCCCCTGGCGAAAGGCCTTCGCGTCATCAACACGGACAAAGCCACTGTGGCAGCACGGGAGAAAATCTACGCTGATGGAGGCATTGTCTCTGTCACCAGCCGGATCCTCGTGGTAGATCTTCTTTCCAAGCTGCTAGATCCAGAAACCGTGACTGGGTTGGTTGTCCTGCATGCAGAGCGTGTCGTCGCAACCAGTACCGAAGCATTCATTGTACGATGCTTCAGGCAACACAACAAAATCGGGTTTCTCAAAGCCTTTAGTGACTCTCCCGAACCCCTGACTTCATCATATGCGCCTCTAGCAAGCATGATGCGAAATCTGTTCTTGAAGAAGCCATCATTGTGGCCAAGATTCCATGTCTCGATTGCGCAAAGTCTCGAAGGCAAGAAGAAAGCAGAAGTCATTGAATTGGAGATTGAGATGACTGCCTCGATGAAAGCAATACAACAAGCTATCATGGAATGCGTGGAGACGAGCATTTCAGAACTCAAGAAGGCCAACTCGGGACTTGAGATGGATGATTGGACGCTGGATTCTGCTCTCCATCAAAATTTTGACGCCATCGTCCGCAGACAACTCGACCCGGTATGGCACAGAGTCAGCTGGCGAACGAAACAGATTGCAAACGATCTCACGGTTCTTCGCACGATTCTACACTCTCTGCTCAGCTACGACTGTGTTTCGTTGCTGAAATATCTCGATACAGTTCTTGCAACCCATTCACCACCCCCAAACTCTAAACAGCAAGATCAATCACCATGGCTGTTTATGGATGCTGCTTCGGTCATATTCAACTCAGCTAGAGACCGAGTTTATACTGGCAACGTCGAAGATAGCGGCATCCTGCCTACATCTAAGTTACCGGATTCCCTAGCCCCAGTTCTCGAGGAGCAACCGAAATGGGCTGTTCTGGCGGAAATCCTTCAAGAGATCGAGACTGATGCTTATTTGAATCCAACGCGGAGTGACTCGAATGATACGGTGTTGGTGATGTGCGCCGACCAAGGAACCTGCCGTCAGATCCGAGAATATCTCCAGACCATGCATGTGAAACCTCTGTCTCGAGAGCCAAGCAACGGACAAGCCCCTCATGAACTTGAGGAACAGGAAGCCAAGGGCTCTGCAGAGTTCATGCTGAGGCGTAAACTCCGAGAATATCTCGGCTGGAGAAAAACGTTCGCTCAAGTCAGCGCGTCATTGTTTGAGGAGAATCAGAAGTCTCTTAATGAAATCAAGGGCAATAACACCGCGACAGCTCGACTTGGTAGCAAGGCACCCGCCAACAAGCGCAGACGTGTACGAGGTGGCGGCGCTTCGGGCCTCAACCCGTTGCGCACGGCGAACGGTGCAGTGGCCATAGTTGAGGACAAAGCAGCCCAGGTAGCCGGATTGTTGGCAGAGCTACACCCGACAGAGGCTGAGGCGCTTCAAAAGGACGATATCGTCATCGACGATCTCAATGATGCTGGCGAAGACTTTTTCGAACTGTACAGCCCGGAAGACCAAGTTGTTGTTCATCCATACGATGGCGACCAAGATGACCAGCTCCTTGAAGAGATCAGGCCAAAGTACATCGTCATGTACTCTCCATCGGCGGACTTTATCAGGAGGGTCGAGGTCTACAGATCAAGTCATTCGGACCGCAGTGTACGGGTGTACTTCCTCTACTATGGTAACAGCGTTGAAGAGCAGCGATATCTATCAGCCGTTCGTCGGGAGAAAGATGCTTTCACGAGGCTAATCAAGGAGCGAGGCAGCATGGCAGTCACACTTACAGACGCTGGAAATCTGGATCCCGAGGACGCCTTTCTACGCACCGTCAACACTCGAATCGCTGGTGGCGGTAGGCTTGCAGCCACTGCTGCTCCTCCGAGAGTGGTGGTAGACGTTCGAGAGTTCCGCTCATCCCTCCCAAGTTTGCTGCACGGTCGAAGCATGCAAGTTGTGCCCTGTCAACTGACAGTAGGCGATTATGTCCTGTCGCCAGAGATATGTGTGGAACGAAAGTCGATACGAGATCTAATCGCCTCCTTCAAGAATGGACGACTGTTCAACCAAGCGGAGACGATGCTCCAGTTCTACAAGTATCCGTTTCTGCTCATCGAATTTGACCAAAATAAATCCTTCACCCTAGATCCGTTTGCAGACTTGACTTCTGTCCTCAAGGCTCCAGACGCCGAGACCAGGGATTTGCAAACAAAGCTGGTGCTCCTGACGCTTGCCTTTCCCAGGCTCAAGGTCATTTGGGCATCCTCGCCCTACCAGACGGCGGAAATCTTCGAAGAACTCAAGAAGCAGCAGGAAGAGCCAGACCCGCTGCGAGCGGTGCAGATTGGCCTAGACGAGAACGAAAATCCAGAAGAGAGGACGTTCAACACTGGGCCCCAAGACCTCCTGCGGACGATTCCTGGAGTCACGGCGAAGAATGCCAGTCGCCTCTATCTCGAAGCCAAAAACGTGCTGGAAGTGGCCAACATGAGCCTCGAGGAGCTCGACCCCCTCGTTGGTAAGGAGTCGGGACGACAGATCGTCAGGTTCTTCACTCGCAGGGTTGGGGACGAGGAAGATCAGTCAATGTGACCCTTCGACTGTGCACTCCGTATTGAAACATGAATGGCTTGGAAATGCCGGATTGGATAGCTGCTGTAGCTGCGGTAGGGGCTCTTTGACCTAGTACAAACCATGTACACCATCCTGGACTGCCTCTTTGCCGGGGGAAGAAGTCATTTAGCTTGAGTCAAGGGTTGGTCAAAGGAGGGAGAAAAACAGGTGGCATCACAGTCGGGAGGAATCATTCAATACTAAAGATAAACCGCAAGAAAAACACAAAATGTGGTTGATGTCTTTAACTCAAGTTAGACCCATTTCTCCGAACTCCCGTCAAATCATACGTGCAACTCGTGCTGATGTCTGTCTGCCTGTGAATGCTCGCTGTAAAGCAGCAAAGCGGTAACAGTGCCCCGTCTCTCGTCAAGTCGTGTCCTCCAAGACCTGCTGAATATTCTCGGTGCCTGCATCCAAGAAGAAATCTCTCCCATCTAGATGTCGTCAATATCGACCTCCTTGTCAGAGTCGCTGTCCCGGTCCTCGTCGAACTCGACATTGTCGTCCACACCTTCGTGGCCGTAGGTATCCGTCTCGTTGATCTTTGCGCTCTCGGGAAGTTCTCCGTAGGCCTTCAGAGACCGTGCCTCGTCCGCGCTGTACTTCAGGATGACATCGCCCTTCTCGTCTTGATAGTCCCGCAAACTCAGGAGGATGATGTCTCCCTGGTTAATCCAGACCTTCTTCCGTAATTTGCCTCGGATATGTGCGAGACGTTTCTCGCCGTCGAAACAAAGAGCCTCGAGGCGACCGTTGCCCAACATTTTGAGGACTTGGGCGTATTCTTGACCTTCTTCCTTGAAGGTCAGTTCCCGCTTTTCGTTGTCATTTTCGTTCTTGCCGCGACGTCGATTTTTACCACCCTATTGAAGAGCCCGAGTTAGCATAAGGTATAGATAGAACAATGAATGACACTTCTTGTATGATTTTGCGTTCGCCGCCATGGATCGATGCAAGATATCGTGGCGGGGTAAATTGGGATGCGGTGTGGCGCTTGTGCGAGGGGCCTGTTTGACTAACCTTTCCCTTATTCTTAGGCATGTTGGCTGATTTCTGTCAGTATCAGAGAAGAGAGCGTGCTGGTCTTGCTTGAGGTGGCTGATTTCTCGTAGTTGACGAAATATTTCGTCGAGATTTGTGCGAGAGAGAGAGACGGTGTTTTGTGGAAGAAACTGCGAAAGACAGGCGCAGGTTGACGTTTGTTTGTGAATTCAGCGGCAGTCATTCGTGGGGCAAAATTTCCAGGGCCACCAGAACCACTAGTCCAGGCCTGGCAACTGGCAACAGCCAACGGGCGGACAAGCCAGCAGTTATCCATCATGCCTAGAATCTTCACCTTGCTTCCTCTGCTGCGTGCCTCCTTGCACATATCAAAAAGTCCTCTTGTTCCAATGTCAGCCCATCGTCTATGAAAAATGCCTGCCATATGGCCTCCGTCGTCACCACCCGCCCCTTCAAGCCTCTCCCCGTCGCCCAGGCTCTTGGGTTTGGATTGAAGGCACGTTATACCCCAGTGGAAAACGTTCCTACCCTCTTCGATCACAAATTCCTGGTCGACCGCTACAGCCCCAAGAGAGCCGCGGTGACAGATTACTATTCGAAACTGAAGCCAGACGTGCTTCGATGGCGCGTTATCTCCAATGCCAGCGTCAAAAAAGTTCCCAAGGCCGTCCTGCGCAATCGGCTCAAGCGTAGATGGGCCAGCGCCTTTGCAGAAGCACTCAAAAATGCTGGATACTACCACAACGGGAGGAAACGTTCTGGGCCCAAGGACGGTGAAAAATATGTCGTTGGTCTCAAGGGCACTCTTGAAATCCTGGTCTTCTCAGAGCGTGGCATTACCTGTCCTCATGGCGAGCTTGTCGGTGCATGTGGAGCTCTTCTGAAGTCCCTACAACGAAAGAAACAGCATTTGGATAAAATGAGTGTCGACCCTGCGGCAGAAAAGCCTCGAGAAGACGCTGCGGACACCGAAGGCAGTGAGAATGTGCCGTCCTCCATGTGGTCACTCTGGGGGGGACAACCCTCGTGAGAGATTGATGTGTGAAAATACGTGATACCCTGTATAATCAGATTGTTTGCCTACTGTTTCTACTCGAATGAGAGCCATCCCCGGCACCCTAGCCCGAAGAAGCACGGCCAATCAAGCGACGTACATTCCGACTATCCTCACTGTCGCTGCCTCGCTACTCAAAGGCACGGGTCGTTCGCGATATGGGAAGCATTTACACCTCGACCGCTTCCGGCCTCGAACCAAGTGACCCTTTGCAAGCATTCCTTTGCATTACATCTTCTCCATCTTGTCGCTCCGTTCTGTGTTCCTTTGACGCTGTCTGATATTCTATGTTGAGGTGGTGAGCGTAAGCGATGCTCCTTTATAGTGAATAATAGTTGGCTCATGATGGATTGGTGGTGGATTTGTGCTCTTAGAAGAGTGCAAAGAGGGGATTTGCCGGTACGTAGATAGGGATTAGAGTATTTGCTTGCGGGTTTATCATAGAAGGGCACCCAAGCCATGCCCGAATTTAAGTGATATCTAGGGTCATGCATGCACAAGTAAATCGAGTCCAGCGACTTCGAATTCTCGTTGTGATGTGTACCGAGGCGCGCACCAAAAGTATTGTCAACGCTAGTAATAGAATAACAAGCTGATCAAAAGACAATAGACTTTATTTTCGTTGCCCCTTACAGCGGCCCCCGGAGATATCGGAGCTCAACCCTCGATACCTACAGCGCCTATCAAGACTGAAAATATAGACTAAGCTACCGCCTATTAGCTCTAACTTGTAGCTAGGAGATAGGTATGAGTGCCTATAAGCTTAGAAAATCTTCTATCACAGTAAGTAGCATTTATCATTTAAATTAGCGTAAATAGTACTTTTGGTGTCGCGCCCTCGTAAAGGAAATGCGGAGACTACGGCACAGACGACATGAGAGCGTGGGATATGCTAAGCTGCTTTTCTTAGAAGTGAGGCTGACCTTGAAACTGCCCCTGTCTTGCTTCACGTGCTGCAAGTTGTGTGCGGAATTGCAGCGGCCAACTGCTAGTCGACGACACGTATGTGCCTCCATACATCCTAGAAAATTAATTTAACCCCATTGAATGTAAACGATCAGCATTGCATGTGCCTGTCCCTTGTGCAACAGCGCTCAGCTTGAATTAGTGATTCGTGCCTTTTAGTCGTTCGCTTCGTCTTTCTCTCAGGCGTTGTTCACAGTCAGTTCTCAGCGTCGAAATCATGTTGGTCTCCTTGACCGTTGGTAAGGTCGACGCGGGTGTCGCGGTCCTGCTCACCCAGGACAAGCGGTTGGTAAGTTACGTGCTCTCGATTTCACATTGTCCAGAGGCTGACTTCTGCCTCAGATCGAGTTTCCTTCTATCCTGCTGCCCTCTACCATCACCTCGGGCTCGATCGTCGACATCGAAGTGAAACAGAACCACGAAGCGGAGCAGAAGTCGCAAGCTGCTTTCGCTGCTCTCCAAAGGCAAATACTAAACACTTATGGTCTTCGTGTTCCCGCGACGCCTGTCCTGCGTCTTCGCAATGCCACGCAAACCTCACTGGTCCTCGAATGGGATCCCATCCAGTTAGCTACAACGACCCTACGGTCACTTGCGCTCTACCGCAATGGAAGCAAGGCAGGGAACATACCACGCCCGCTAGACACCCTCAGCACCAAAATGAGCGGGCTGGCGATCGACACCGAATATTCCTTCTACCTGGTACTCAAGACCAGTGGCGGCATATATACAAGCAATACCCTCACTGTCAAGACTCACGCAATGAGCAATCTTACGGGTATCACTGTCACTCCTGGCATACTGCCACCGCAACTAAGAGAAAGTCTCGAACTGGCGATCTCGCGCATTGGCGCAAGGATCAACGACACCGTCAAGATCGACACCACCCATTTCGTCTGCACGGAAGGACGGGGACGCGATTGGGAAAGGGCAAATGAGATGAATATCCCTGTGGTCAGGCCTGAATGGGTTGAAGGATGCGAAAGAGAGGGGAAAATCATCGGTGTTCGTGGATATTATCTGGATGCAGATCCTAAACAAAGACAGATCGGATCGAATCCAAGTCTTTCGGCACCAGCCGGTCGACCTTCCACCACAACTGCACCGCCTGCGCAAGCTCCTCACCAGGCGAACGTGCCTCAAAGGCCGAAAGAACAGCAGCCAAAAAGTCCCGATCGAGAGAGCACTGTGAGCGGTGAACCAGGTCCTGAGGTTATGCCAACTCCACCCCCTCAGAAAGATCTTCCGCCAACACCCGCCGATGGTGGCGAAGAGGAAAGCGAAGAGGACGGAGAGGAGGAGGCTGAAGATGAGATCGAGCAGCCTACAGCGGTCGAACCCAAGGGGAAAGGGAAGGCCCCGGAGGTCGAGTCAGATCAAGAAGAGGGTGAGGACGAGGATGAGGAGGAGTCCAATAATTCTCAGCAAGGGCCCAAAGTCGATGGAAAAGGGACCGAAATGGAGGATGTCGCATTGTGATAGCAATGGCGAGAGACCAAGCTTCAGAGGCCACTCACGAATTGGTTAGGTCGACAATATCTCCAAAACGACCAGCAGCGGTTTGACCGTCATTGGTATGGATTTTGAAGTGGCTGCAACCCGGCCAAGGGGCACATGCGACACCTACTTGTTGCCCAGCACGGAATTGACAACACTTGCGCGGAAAATGCTCCACGATGTTCCCAAAGCCGATGTCCCATGCGGGGAGAAAAGGGCGGTGGGCAGAGACTCTGGTCACCGATTGCCGTCTTCCAAAGTCAAATCCAAACTTTTGCGAGGAAATCAACGTGCTTTCCCGGTCAGCCCACAAGGTCTATAGGGCGGACACTTTCCACCATGTGAAGGAGAACGTCAAGAACAATCAAGAGTTCACCGGTGACCATCATCTCAGTTTTTGTCTCCACACCCGAAACATCCAATCCTCCTGCACAGCGCTGGACAGTTTTAGTTGTATCGACTCTTGACAGGATTTGGCTTTCTGGAAGAGGGCCTGACACATGTCGACAACTGCTCAGCGGTACTTGTACGGGTGACCATCCAGATTCCGCACCAAAGCTTGCAGCTCTCGGGTCACTACCAACGAGGCACAGCACTGCTCTTAGCAAGCCACAAGAACGACTGCGGGTGAATTGGTGCATCTGAGCTGGCCCTATTCCAGGAGTGTCAGCACCTTGATTCGAGCTCCAACTCGTCTCGTATTCCAGCCTCACTAGCTGCGCTGCTTCGACCACTCAGCGCTCAGCCTCGTTGCTGTACAGCTGCAAGCCAAGGCGATCAACTCGACCAAAATACTACCTGTGGTCTTCTTGCTCTTTCAGCTACACGATTACGGGAAAGCATCTGCTCTAAAGACTTTCCTATTGTCCAGTGTTGCCATGAGTGTCATCTGCCCTTCTCGCGGTATAAGACGGGCTTGCACCTCCTGCTCCAGGCCTGCTTCTTCCTCTTCTCCATCCAACTGTATACAAAACAATTACCCAACCAAGACTTTCCTTACTTTCATTTTCTTTCAGTCACTCACTCTCTCTCTCTCTCTCTGACTTTCATTTTTTTTTTTTTTAATTACACTCATTCAATCGTGTTCTAGTTGATCGGCGTACCTCGGATTTCGAGGATCCTACACACGCTCATTCTAATCCATAGTTCCAGTCAAAGCAGGCATTCCAAGACAGCTACAACACGCACGATCTATCGTCGTCTCGACTCCAAGCCAATACTCAATTCATCCAAAGCCAAGAAGTAAACAGATCAAGATGTACGCTCACTCAATCGTCGCCGGGATTCTCAGCATTGCTGCCCTCAGCACCGCCGCTCCTCTGACTGGTCGCAGTCAGCCTGGCAGCTACACTTACAATAATGGCACCTCAACCACGACAGCACGTCCAATGAGTACCGGCACCTCCAGCAACGGATCTTCCTATGGCTACCCCAATGGCACTTCATATAGCACCCCGCCCCACCCTGCGGCCACCGGTTCTGGCTCTAGCTCACCATACAATGCCCCGGGCAATGGTAACCAAGATCAACCCATTGCCACTATCCTTCCCGACTTCACTTCTCAATACACCGTTTCAACTGGTGCCGTCGCTTTCCACACCAGCCGCGGCCTGGTCTCCCGCTCCCATGGCAATAATGGGAATGACATGACCACGCTGGTCACCTTTGAACTTGATACGATGTACAGCGGCAATCAATGTCAATTAGTCTTCGACCTGGGCAGTGACCCAACAAGTTATGTCACTGGAACCGGGAAAGCTCAGCTGTTCACGTCCCTCGCCCCCGCCACAGCCGATAGCGAAAGCTGGCCCTCGGGCAACCTGCGAAACCAAGCTCTCGGCACAATCGACGTCAAAGCCTACGGGCGTGCATCCTGGGAAGCAGGTTCGGGACCCGGCGCTAATGTCGACGGCAAATTCCCTTGCTCGCTGATTACGGGACAGATTTACGGCGGAGAGATTGTCCCCGTCGGGGATGAGGATACCATCTCTTGGACAGCCGGACATGGCGATGGACCGAAGATCCTCGTCTTCTAAGTCGACAATTATGGGCAAGGCTTTTTTACCTGGGTTTGGTTGGGTGTAATATGGTGCTTGCTACGTTGCTTCCCCTTAGAGGCTGGGGTTGGACTCATGATCGTTTGGAGAGGGCGCTTCTGCAATTTTTATTATTATTATTATCACACAGCGAGCGAGCACAGAAGGGCTGGCATCGGGCAAGTTCACAGGATACCCACTACTTTGATACATGATGATTTGTTTGCAATCTGGAGGTATGGATGACCCCTTTTGACAGGGCCGCGGCGCGGACTGTGTTCTGTTTTGTCCTGTTCTTCTCTGACACGGGACGCATATGGTCCAGACATAATATTTCGTCAATTCGTCTACGCCAGACAACCATTGTCTGTAAAATCTATCAGACACTCAATCTAATTCTGAGAGGGAAAGTTTGCTCTAAACTTTAAAGAGCATTCTGCAGTGTTGCCATTTTTCTTGAGCTACTGTGATATTTCGTGAACCGGGATTCACACACTTTAAATTTGAAATTCGGGTATAAGACTCGACTCTTCTCTGCTAGTACTACTGTTCTGTGGGGCAGAGGATGGTATAGCATAATATAGTATGGTATGGTATAGTAATTCTAAAGCGAATTATCTGCGTGGTTACTCCTTACTTAGGCATGTGAGGCACGTACAAGATGTGTATACACACATGCTAATCTAGATTTACATGGCACCAAGCAACCTCTTTAATTCCCTACTTAGATCTCTCCTGATTTGATGAAAGGATATTAAATATTGCCGTCGTGTCTATCAATGTCTACTTGTGTTTGTAATATATATATGTGTGTGTGTAGTGACAGAATATACATACTCGGTACATATACTATGATTATACTTTTTGTAATATCCCGCTTGACACCGTTTCCAGTAATCGCTTCAAGACCTGTTACAAGGGCACGACCAACGGGGCCTTTTGGCACTGCACTGCCTGGTTCTTCTCTTCCATATCCAATGCCACCTCCTTAACCGGCCTGTTTCCTGAACCTAACCGCAGCAAATTCCCTCACGCCGACTTCTGCATGTCCCCGAATGATCTCCCACAGCCGATACTCCTCATCACACAACCTTGTACACCTTCTTGCACCACCAAAAGCATATCATCCCAAATATGACCAGGCCGGCCGTGGTGCCCCAAAACCAATTCAGGTTATCCACATCTTGACCAGGGACTTTGAAATTGCCACCAAACATGCCCGTGACGATGTTCATCGGGAGGACAATGGTTCCGAGCACAGTCAGCTTGCCCAATACGTCGGCAGTCTAGCAGATGAATCAGTATAATGTCAATTGGAATGGCATTGGGATGCGACATACCCTCTCTTGTCTCTCGTTCATGTGAATGCTGACCTGGGCCAGGTAATTTCCGTGTGCCCTGGACAGCACCATCTCGTAGTGCGACAGGTTTCCAGTCATGGTCAAGATGTGGTCTTGAATATCGCCCAGATACAATCCGATTTCCGATTTAGGCGCGACTTCCCACTGCTCGTTACACCGCTTTGCGAAACCTTTGATAACATCCGCCTTGTTACCCAGCAGTCGGTACAAGGACATAACCTTTTTGCGGCACTCGCCTATACGCAGGAGCATGTCGATCCCACTGATTTCTGCCTCACCAGTTTCTGACTTCTTTTCGTCCAGCTTCTTCGCACCGTGCTCACCAGCAAGGAGATCGGTATTCTGGAATGCTCGGAGAATCAAGTCGTCAATAGTGTCAACTTCTTCTTCGATGTGAGTGATGAGCGGTCCAAAGACATCGGTGATGTCGTCAATTATGGCGTACGAGATCCAATCTGCGCTGAGGATAAGATAATCTGAAAGTTGGCGAATGCGTCTTCGCACATTTGCCGGGTGTGGGATCTGGGAGAAGTGGAAAGTGACGATCCCATATCGAAAAACGCAGACAAACATGTTGATAGGTTCTAAGTAGTCCTCACTGTTGGTATCCTGCTCAAAGGTTCGATAGTTGATAAAATAGTAATTGCGAAACAGCTCCACCTTCTCCCGAGCTTCTTGCATCATGATGTCCTCGGACGTAAGAGCATGAATTCCAAACGTTTTCGCCAGAACACGCATTTCCTGATCTGTTGGGCACAAGACGTCGAGCCAGAAAGTCGGCCGCGGTCCATACTTCTTGGGCTTGGAAGGTCGAGTCGAAGCAGGTTTCTTCTGCGGTGTTGCTGTGCCCGAGTTCTTGCTCTTGTCCGAACTCTTTCCACTGGTCACAGGTTTCAACTGGAGGTTCGTTTCTGCGAGGCTAGGCATTCCGGATTGTGTCTCCACGACTGTTGTGCTTTTGGGGCTTTGCATTGCACTGGGTGTTTCTGTGACCTGACTGATCCCAAGCAACTCCTCTTCGTCCTCAGAACTTGATTCGATCAATTCGGGCGGATCTGGGATGAACAACTCGCGAAAAGTCCCACCAGGTTGTACCAACTCCGAGATCGTCTCGGCGTGGATCGTACTTTCAAATTCTTCGTTGAAATAAGTGTATCGGTATTGCTTGTCTTCTTCGACGTGGTGCCAGGCATTCTTCTGAGGCCGGAGTCTGCCTTCGACGAACACAGGCTCACTGACCTTCTTTGCCCGCCGCTCTCCTGCCTCCCTGGCCTCTTTCTCTACTCGACTCCACTCATCCAGAACCCACAGATTTGGCCACTCTCGTTCGCGGCGTTTTCGCCGCTGGCCACTGATATAGTGTTCCGGTGGCTGCACCCTATTATAGTACTCATCACCCGCCTCTGATACCTCATCCGCGGGAAAGCACACGTCTACCTCAGCTGGCATGGTCAAGGATCGATGTCGTTGAACTCCACCAGGTCGAAGCCTGGGGCTCGGTGGTGCGGAATTCGGATCATTGTCTCCATCATCGTCGATCATGATCAACGCATCTTTGTTGGCAGCATTGAGATTCCTTCGACTATCTGGGGAACGTGTGAGGAAATTGCCGTCGTCGACCATCACATCCCCATAGTGAGGTTCAAGGGTAGGACTGGGTGGGACAGACGGCGGATTGTTGACATCGTAGCCTGGATCAGACTTCGGGAATGAGTGTCCAGGAGTTCCGAGGGTCTTCTTCCTTTGCGGCTGCTTCGAAGACGACGATAGTGTAGATGTATGAGACTTGACCCTAAAAAGTCCATAGCCAGCCTCGACGGGAGTCTTGGGCTTTGCCCCACCAGAAACCAAGGGTGTACGGTCGTCGACGTCCTCATTATCTGACCCATTTGAACTCGAGGCATCGGGTTGAGTCCTCTGTCTCTTTTGGGAACTCGTGTCGATTTTGGGCATAACTGAGCTCCGATATGATGTAGCGAAAAGGGGAGTCAAGCGGCTGTCCCGCCGAGGACGTAACGTAGGTTGATCGCGGTGGTCCAGGAGCGCTTCACTGTCGAGGCTATAATCGCTGATGTTTCCTCGGTTGGCCTGGTAGAAGGGCGGATGAGCGCCTGGAGGCTCTTGCGCCTCTTCGATCAACGGGTCGTCCATGGGTACATCTCTCCCGCTTTGCATTGCAGAGGTATCCGAGGGAGCTGCAAAGGATTGACGCCTGTTCCTCCTCTTTTTGCCCCCTCGATGTTTTCTTTTCTTTTTGCCATCTGCATGCGCAGTGGAGACGGTGGAGAGTCGGGCATCGCCTGGGGCATGGGAAACAGACGGTTGACCAGTCCTAGCGGCGCTCATACTCGACTTGGTCTCGTCGCGTAATTGGGTAGGTTGGGAGGACTGGCCTCGGTTCGGAGGTGGGAGAGGATGCATTCAACAACGCACGAGGTAATTACTGGAGACGACCTGGCAAGGATGAGGCGAGGGCGTGACTTTGTAGATGAAATAAGAATGCCAGCGGAACCAAGACAGAACATGAGCAGATACAGCTAAAACGCATGCGAAGAAAGATAACCGGCAGAGAGAACACACCTGCGATCTAATAACACCCAGTCGTCATGATATTGATAGATAGGATCATGCTAAGAGGTCAATGCTTGACTGATATACACTTTGGCTATGACGTGGGTAACAGCTAGTGACAAGCGATTGTTCAAATGGCGCAGTTCTTGTAAGGCTCCGCACGCGACACTTTCCTCAAAGCTCCAACGACCTCATTGTCAACAATCGCCATATACATTAGGTACACTATCTAGATAGGCATATAAAGGGAATCGTATCGTCGTCCATAGCTGCCGAGGAATTGTAAGCTTCCCACCCATTCCATGCCAGTAGAAAATGAGGCTGCTTTTGCAACAAGGAACCTCCCTCCTCTCCAACGACAACCACCAACACCATCGCCATGCAAAATGCAAATAAATTCCCGATATGCCCCATCAACTTGCTCTTAACCATCAGAACATATTCTCGTGCCCTTCCATCCCGCTCATGGCAAGGCTGTGCGTGCTCACAGCACGCAAACTCTTCGCATCACTGCCACCACTGACGTATCTCGTCGAGCTCTTCACTCGCTTTCCCTTGTCTGGTCTTGCGATCAGAACCTGCGCAGGGCACACGACAATCTCCTCGTCTCCTACTCCATTGTCGTCCCCTTTCTTGACGACAAGCGGGAAGAGTACCATGCGGACCACCGCATGTTCACGTTCCAACTCCTCGTTGCTTGTCGTCTCGCCACTTCTTTCATTCATCAAGCTTGCATTGAAATACACTTTCCGAGCCAGGTCGCCATTGGTATCGTACTCGGGCTGTAATGGTGGTAGCATGATATATTCGGCTCGTTGGGTACGCATCTCGATTGAGAGTTCCACCGCCGTGCGCATCACGTTGCGCAACGATCCCACAATCTGATTCTCTAGATGCTGGGGCGGAGGGAGAAAGCGTGACAATGTCGAGAAAATCTCAATGGCCACTGCCTCAGTGTCGCTCTCCCGTTGCGCCTTGAAACTCTCTCGTTTGGAGAGCAACGTGAGCGTAAGGGCTCTCCATTGGTGAACTGCGCTCGGCGGTCCCACTTCTCCCAGATTCTTCTCCAGCTGCTTCAGTTTCTGCCGTTGATCACGGTCCATACCAAACAGATATCTGGTAAAGACATACTCCCAGATCATGGTCATCACCACCGACATGAAAACATCTCGTCGCTTGACCCGGTCCGCCAGGTAGTCATCCACGTCTGAACCATCGAGTATCGCATTGTCGAATCTGTCCACAATCTTTTCGTCTCGGACCTCATTTGTTGTGCGACAAAGCTTCAAGTCGCTGAACTTGGAAAACCGAAGTACCCACCCTTGTACTTGTTGACACAACTTCTGGCACGCTTGATCAAAGTAATCCTCGTCGTGGAAAACAACCACATCGTCTGCCCCCCTTGACAGTATCTGAGACTGCAAGTCTCTGATCTTTCTCCTGGCAGCTTCAAGCTCTCCCCGAAGTCGTTCTATTTCAGCATTTTTCTCGCCAAGAGCTGTATCGATTTCGTGCCTGACGATGGACTCTATCCCAGTTGACAGCTCATTGTGCCGTGAGCGCAGCGTTTCCAGTTCTTTCAAAGAGTCTTGCCACTGCGATTGCGCCTCATCGTAGTTTTGCCGGAGACCGGACAAGCTCTGTTCGTGTTCTCTTTTCAGTGACTCATGTGTCGCGATCAGCGATGCCACCTCTTGTTTGAGACGCGTGATTTCCGCATCCCGCTCTTGGATTTGCGCGTTGAACGCTACTTCGGCGTTTTCACCTCGATTGCGTTCGAAATGAGCTTGTTCGAGTTGCTGTTCTGTGGCGATCTTTGCTTCGGCCAAGGAGCGATTCTCACTTGCGAGCTGGTCCAGCTTCGCCTCAAGATCTCTTATTTGCTGCATGCTCTGTCGTTGTCGGATACTCGGAGGTCGTGTCGGAGAACGGGGACTCCCGGGTAGTGAACCATACCCATCCTGCTAGCCTGTTAGGGATAACAATCAACATCAGGTCGTGTCAAACTTACATAGACATCTGCCATCTCCCTATCACGAGCAGCAGCCTTGCCCGCGCTCTGGGCATTGACCGGTGCTTGTGATGACCCCGACGCGAAATTGGCTGGGTCGTAGGGGGAGATTGAGGTGCTGCGCAGGTTGCGCAACGATGAGGTCCGAGACTTGCTTCTGCCAAGAGATTTAGCGCTGGGACTGGGCGAGTCACGTGAAATTGCTACGGAGGCTGCAAGCGCAGCTGCTCCAGCGGCTGCCACCAAGCCAGCTGTTGCAAGGCTGTCGGTCTCTGCAGGCTGTCGAGGCGTCAGATTTGTGGGCGGATTGACGAACGGGTGTATCTGTGAGCTCGCCTCGTGTGATTCTTCATTGATGGCGTTGAGCGTCGTCTTGCCCGGCGAAAACGGGCGCATGATGTTGGCCTGTGTTGGCGAGTCAAAGCTCGACCGATTCCCCGGTGCTACACCCGACCGGCTAATCTGATTCCAACCAAGTTGGTCACTGTCTTCGTTGTGTGCAGGAACCTTGGCCTTTTGTTGCCTTAGCTCCTCCCGGCTGAGATGATGGCCATGAATGCTGGGGCTTCTCTGGAGAGGACTTGCCATAGCTTGAGGACTTCTGTTCCGAACATCCGTGTTTATCGGGGATGGCATGGCGGGAGAGGAATTGAACAGAACCGAGGATCTGTCCTTTGAAGTGGATTCCACCGGCGAAGGCTTTCTTCTGGGCGTCTCTAGGCTGATCGACTGATCGACCTGGTGCCTGCTCGTCACATTCTTGGATACATCCTCTGTCGAGCTTGTGGGTGATTGAGGCCGAGGCGGACGAAGGTTTATATCTGTGTGGATTTCCCTGGGGGTACCGAATTCACCATCTTGGATCGTAGGGCTTGGGACATAGCCACTGTCTCTTGCGGATGGAAAGTGACCTGATGATGGATTCGGCGACTCGAATTGGACACCGCTGTCTCTGTTCGATTCGGCATGGGCAAGCTTTGTAACAGGATCAAGCTTAGCAAAAGACCAGCCTGCGGACGGTTGCCGAGTAGGCGAGGGCGCCTTTCGTGGAGTTTCTCTGCTAGACTCGCTTTCTCCAGCACCAAATCCAAGTCCTGCGGCAACCCCCAGGGCAGTATCCATGATATCGTCGTGTTCAGGTGGTGGAGTAAGCGCACGATCCCTCGGTAGGTCTTCAGGCTCTTCTCCTGACCAAGCCGGAGGTGATTTTCTTCTCTTTCGTCTTTCACGTGTGGTCGCACTTACATCGGACAAATCTTCGGTATTCTCTTGGGCATGTGCTGGAACATCTGAAATTTCCCTGGCCTCATTGTGGATGACTTCAGGGATTTCAGCCTCTCGAGTTTCAGTTTGATCGAGTTCCATCTTTGGCAGGACAATATCCTCGAGCCCTTCGGATATCCCGCTTTTCTTCTTTGCCTTCTTGTCCTTTTTGCTCTTCTTGCGCTTCGAAGTATCTTTACTGATGCCAAAATCGGGGTCCTCGAGTCCGGTTGCGTCTTTTCCGTCTTTCGAGGCCGTGATTACAGCATCTGCCACAGCATCCTCCTGACCCTTTTTAGAAGTAGTGAATCGATCCTCTGACGTGATAGTGGCAGTCTCTAACACACCTTGCTCGTGATCAGTTACATCTGGGACACCGGTATTAGCCGTGACGAGCTCTACATGTGCGTCTTGCACGTGAAAATTGCCAGACTCGTCCTGCGACAGCATTCTTTGATCGTACGCTGGGTCGGCACCAAACATGCCCTTCGCGGAATCCAATATCATACTGGCCGTGTTCGCTGGTTCACTCAGCACACCATCGCCGATGTTGCTGGCGGGTGGCGCGGGATCAACCTCCATCTCACGGGGCAATGTATCATCCACAGGCTCAAGTTTGGTTGTTGGCGATGCAGCTTGCTCCGAGGTAGATATCGGATCAATTGATTTGCCTAGAGCACGCTGGCCAGGTGTGTCCCCTGCTTCACCAAATAGAACGGCCGATTCGTGGGTGTCCGACGCGTTGTTGGTGTAGTCCTGAGAAGGTAATGGTCCTTGATTAGCGGTGGCAATTGAATCCATGTTATCTTCAGTCTTCATCTCGGGTGACGCCGTGAGGGGGACCGGAGTTTCGAGCTTGCTTTCAGCGTGACCTTTCTCCAGGTCAGTAGGAAGTGCCTCCCTGCCAGCAATTTCATCAGCCCGAGAGATTTTCGGCTCTGTAAGTGGTGCCGGTGTCGATGTCCCAGAGGCAGCTTCAGCTGTCTGATCCTCATTTCCTGTCCAAGCAAGGACTGACTTCCTCTTCTTGTCCCTTTTGGACTTCTTCTTGCTCGATGCCGGGGCGAAGAATTCAGCACTGTCAGTCTCCAGGGTAGGGACCTCGTTACGTTCTGCCATGACAGCGTCCATGATCTCTGGCGACGCGGTCCGTTGCATTGGTGTTTGCACGGCCGATATGAAATCGTCATTGGAACCCGGTGTTACTGTGCCTGATGTTCCGAATTCATCAGCAGCAGTCAAGGCTTTACTGCCCCTACCCTTCTTCTTGGACTTTTTTCTGGAGAATCCCCATTCAGACTCGGGCTGAACCTCTGTGAGTGTTGATGACTTGCTGGGCTCCGCAGGCATATCGTCTCGCGGTGTATCGGCTCCATTTTCCGCTTTTAGGTCTTCAATATCATCGGTCTTCGGCTCTTCTTCGAGCACTGTTTTCTTTTTGCTCTTCCTCTTCTCTTTCCGAGACGACTTCGCAGACGCCAAGTCTGGTGTGACAGAGTCAAGCTCCTCCGTGTGAGGAATGCCTGCAGTGGTGTTCTCCAATTTTGTATCTTCCACCATTTCGGATCCCGATTCGGGGTGTAGCAAAGGTGCATCGGCCGCTGTCATCTCATCCGCAGTCGGTCGGGAAGTCTGTATGGCGCCTGGGATTGGAAATGCCGACCCAGAGAGTGTGTCCTTTGTAGGCTCAACTACAGGTAGAGGCTGTGAAGCTGCTCTCTCCGTAGCTTTTTCGGCAATGTCACGTTCGGGGTCAGGTTCCAGAGAACTTGTGCCGATTGAAGTTACCATGGCTTCTGTGTCGGGCTGGAAATTGTTTGCGGTTGTTTCTTCGACTTTTTCCAGATTGTTCTGGATTGTCGGCTGTGGTTCATTCACGTCGCCCTCAAGTGAGAGTGTCTTCCGTTTCTTTTTCTTGTCTTTCTTTACCTGTTTGGTTGAAGCGAAAATGTCTTCGTCTGCGACAGTGTCATTTGATTTTTCAGCAGCTGGATCTTGTTCTGGAGAATCGACCACTGGAAGCTCCAGTTTGGATTCCTTTGCTTCGACCTCAGGTCCTACATTTCCCGTTTCCCGAGGCTCGGACACAGGCTCCTCGTATGTAGATCGACGCTGTTTCTTGTTCTTCTTCGACCGCGACGGGACCACTTCTTCTGTTATGTTCTCCACCACCACCTCCTCCTGTGCTGCACTTGGTGCTTCTTGCGCCTCACTCTCCGCGCGCTCGAGCGGAGGAGCTTCTCGGGATTGCAGATCATCTGCTGGGAGTGCCTTCGTTTCATCTGGGATGGCGATCTCATCGGGTTGCGGTGGTCCGGCTTGTATTAATATCGGTGTTTCCGGCAGATTTCCTTCAGAATTTTGCGCCTGCATCCCTTCTGTCAACATTGGAGCATCTGAAGTCGACAATCCTTCAACATGCGCCGAGTCGGTTTGGACCGATGCTGGGGCTTCTGCAACACTTTCGGTGCTGATGTTCGCTCTCTTGTTTTCTAAGGGCGTTGTGGTGGACGCATCGGCAATGGGATGGCTTGGCTCAATCTTTTTGTTTTCATCTGCTTCGATTTCTCCAAATGCCACCGCGGAAAAATCCTGTGCTGCAGTTTCTCCGGAATCTTGACCATCCACTACCGCATGCCTTCGGAAGATTGTGGCGTCCGTTGACGTCTCATATTGTCGTCCTGCACCGCTAACTGATCTGGAACCGGTATCGAGAACGGCATCATCAGAGCGCTGTTCCTCGTTCAAATCATCTGCGTGGGGCGGGTCTTCAGCATCGTCTTTCAATGTCGAGGACAAAGGTTTCTCTTCTGGCTGTTTACCTTCGATGACGGGGTTTGGACTAGCTGATGCCTCCACTGATGTCGGCAGTGCCTCAAAGTCCGCAAAGGTCAGCTGCCGCTTCTTCTTTTTGCCCTTTTTCTTGGTGACGTTCCATTCCTCTGGCTCAAACCCCTGGTCGGGCATTGCTGGTGGTGTTGCTTCGTCCGAGGCCTCCACGTTTGTCGATCCAATTTCTGTCGTGACTCCCGTAGGCTCGGCGTTACTGTCATCCCACGAAAGTTGCCGCTGGTTCCTCCTGCCGTTCTTCGATTTCGATTTCTTCGGAGTTGACATTTCCTTTTCAGTAACAGGCTGTTCAGCTTGAGGGGTAGTGGAAGAATCAGCTTCTTCCACAGGTGTCTCAACCGCTTCTTGTTCTTCAGCCTTCTCAGCAGCGGATTGACGGGCCTTCTTCTTCCCTTTCTTTGCCTTTTTGCAGGAAGAGTCTTCTTGTTCGAAAACTTGATCTGTTAAGGTTGTTTCAGCGGCGTTACTCATAGCCACTCCTTCTGGAGTTCCAGCAATTGACCCCGCTGTCTCGGGCACCCGCTCCTCACGTCCATCCACGAGTTCAGCCTCGCCTCGGACAGGTTCCGCTCCAGCAGGCTCCTCTTGCAGTGGCTTTTCGACATCAGTTCTATCCTCTTCGGAGACCGTTTGTACCTTTCTCGGCTCTTCCACATATCCAGCTGCCTGTGGTTGATTACCAAGACCTTTCAGAGAAATGGAGGGCGTTGTTCCTGGCATCGAGGGAGTTGAAACCATCTGGTCTGCTCCTGCTGGAGCTAAATCTTGCTGAGCTATAGGTTCAGATATTGGCTGCTTTTCTGGAAGATTTACATTCCCTTCCTCCTCCACATTCTCGATATTGCTTTCGACATCCGGATCATTCTGCACGCTGACCTGTTCGCCAGCCTGGGGCAGACTCACCTCATCAGATATCAGTTTCTGGCCCTTTTTTCGGTTCTTTTTCTTCTTGTCTGAAGGAAGCGACCATTCTTCATCTTGATCTCCGAGAGCAGAAGGGACGTCCTCTTCTTTGGGGGTTTCGACCGTTTCCGACGTTTCAGTTTCCCCGATGGCTGAGGCCTTAGCGATGTTGTCCGCTTTTGACTGAGAAGCATCTTCACTCGAGGCTTCAAATTTCGGTTCAGGCGTTGCGGGTTCGATGTTGGATTGTCGCTTCTTCTTTTTCTTGTCCTTCTTCGACTTTGTAGATTTCGATGACAGGTTATCTTGCCAACTAGTCTCAGATTTCTGTTGTTGAACTTCTTCAGAGTCTTCTTCCATAGTCACTGCGTCACCCTCTGGTCGAGTAGCATCGATAGCATCTCCAGTCATTGGTTCAATAGCAAGTCTTGATTCACTTGCTGCCGTGTCATTTGGAGGGGGTTCGGCCAGAGATTCCGATTCGATACTCATACCGTTGCTGAGATCTGCTACTGTTTCTACTTGTGGCGTATCAGCAACTTGGGCTGATTCTCGCTTCTTCTTTTTCTTGTCTTTCTTTGCCGATACATACGTTGGTGCCATACTCTGCTCACTGATATCTTCTGTCGTAGCCGCCGCGCCTTGCGTCTCTCCTTCGGGCAAAGTAGACTTGGTGATACTGGGCTCGGTGGACTCATCGAACATTGGCTCTGGTTCATCTGACACGGCTTGGGTTTGATCGGACAGAGGACTAGGCTGGTTTGTTTCTGCGACGAGGGTTGATTGCCGTTTGTTCTTCTTCTTCTTTTCTTTCTTTGATCGCTTCGATAAAAGACCTAAGTCTTCCTCTACCACATCCTCAGATAATAGTTGCTGGCCAGGGGTGGACTCGATAGCAGTCTCAGTAGGACCTCTAGCCCCAACGTCGTTCACTGGTCCAACGGAAGAATCAAGAGAAACTTCAGCAGGAGCTTCAATATCAGTTTCACTGAATGGCTCCCTCGTAGTTTCAGTAGAAGCTCCAATATATGTTTGGAGACCGATCTCGGCACTCGGTTCAGTAGCAGGTTCACTGATTGGCTGAAGAGTAGGTTGATTGATAGGGTCAGAAGTAGGCTCGAGAGAAAGTCCAGGAAGCGGCTCTTGGGTAGGCTCGACAGCGGGCTCATCGATAGATACAGGTATCGGGCCTGTGGGAGACACAATCTTAGGCTCGATCGGGGACTCGGGAGGATTCTCAAAGATCTTTTCTGCAAGAGGCTCGGTAGTAGATTCAGGAGCAAACTCACCGGTACACTCAGCAGCCAGTTTGTCAGTCAGATCAGTTGTAGTCTCGGTCGTTGGATTGACAGGAAATGACAGGCTTGCTGCCTCTGGGGGAGGATTCTCGAGTGCCTGAGATCCAGGAGAACCACTTGTCCCAACAGGTTCAGGTGTTGACGTCTCATCAGCAACAGCACCGGATACAGAGAAATCGTCGGCCTTGGTCTCAGCCTCGTTCTGAGCAGACTGCATCGCCACGTCGGGGAGCCTTTCGAAGCTAGATGCTAGGGTGCGAGGCATTTCATCCGCGACATCCAGCGTTGGTTGGGGGTCAGTACCGCTTTGGGTGCCGTTACCTGCTGGTTGAGGAGGAGCATCATTATTTTCCGCAGGCTCTGTAGACAGGACCGTGGCAATTTGTTGTTCGACAGCGCTCGTGTTCTGCTCTTCAGAATCGAGGCTGGCTTGACCTTCTCTAGGTTGTAGACCGTGGGCATCCTCGATCTTTTCGTCCAAATCTGGAACTTTATCCGAGCCTTCAACTTGTTCTGCAGTTTGTTCTGCAGCTGGAGTAGGTGAGGTTGGAGGTAGTTGGTCACCGCTCTCAGTCCTAACATCGTCGGCCGACCCAGTTACATCACCATCAAACAAGGACTGCCGCTTTTTTTTGCCCTTAGACTTCTTGGGTTTCTTCTTAGAACCGGAGCCGTCACCAATATCTTGAGGCTCTTCCCCACCGAAAGCTGGCTGGGACTCGAGTTGAATCTCAGCAACTTGTGTTGTCGGTGCTTCTGTGGTTGAATCTTCATGTGGGATACCAAAGTTGGCGACACTGTCTGCAGTTTCTCCATCTTGCGCCGATGAGTAAGATTCGGTGCTTTTCAATAAGCTGGTGCGTTTCTTCTTCTTATCCTTCTTGGATTTTTTCGTCACGGGGAATGTACCGTCATCCTGGCGAGGCTCATCTTCGGCAAGAGCTAGGTCATTTGGAGGTGGAGCTCCAGCTGATGCCGGTTCTGTTGGCGACTCTGTGTCCTTGTTGTCCCCACCAGCTTCAGAGACCATTGGCTGTGTCACGATTTCATCTGACAAAGACGCCTCCTGACCAGATCCTGAATTTTGAAGACCATCAGAAGCAGAAGCTCGCTTCTTTTTCCTATCTTTTCTCGACTTTTTAGATGTGAAAGCCCACATATCTTCGTCCTGGTGTGCCATCGACTCTTTGACGGAGGTTTCGTCGAGTGGTGACTTTGCACTCGCCAGGCCTTCTTCATGGATTGAAGCGGCCTGCGGTTCTTTCACCACCTCTTCTTTGACGACCGATGGTGGGTTTGGCGCAGGAATCCCTGGCTCGTCATGGACTTGCTCGCCCTCGCCTATAGTAGGGATGGCTCCAAGCTCTCGGCCCAGGTGTTTTGCAACTTGTTCGTCTTCTGCTGAGGGGAGTTCTGGTAGAGGCTCGCCGGATGTGGCTGCCACTTTCACCTCTTCTTGTGTTTCATCCGGAGGGGTCACAGCATGGACCAGCGCAGTCGCATTAGTTGGCTTCAGATTAGCTCCCGCAGCTTCTGGCTCCTCTACAGATGTATAGCCTTTATCTCCAGAAAGCTTTGGGGATGTGAGCGGACTTTCAGCTCCGACCAGGTCAGCCGGAGTGCTGACATCTAGCGTCTGGTGTTCGTCTGAATTCCCATCCTCCTGAAAGGTACTGAGTAATGTGTCCGCTGCCCCAGGAGTTTGCGGTACTTGGTCCCCGGCGACCTCTGAACCAGAACTGGGCTTTGAAGAGTCAATCGTAACTTTTCTGGAGGTCACTTCGATCGTTTCCGCTGTCAATAACTCCGAAGGTGCCCGAGATTCCTCGATCGCCTCTGGTTCTTGCACACCTTGTTCCGTAGAATTGGGCTCTTCAGTTTGACTTGACACATAGGCTGTTTGGTCCGTTCTTGGTTGTTGTTCATAGGGTAGGATAGTAATAGTAGATGGATCTTCTCCAGGTGTCTGTCCGCCCGTTTGTTCGATCGTCGACGGCGCATTCATTTTTTTCCTAGACTTTTTCTTCTTGCCCGACCTTGAAGTCGTCTCTTGGGCATAACCTGAGTCCTGTTGGACTGTGTCTGCAGAATCAGCGGATCTCTCCAGTGAGCCAGGTCCCTCTAATGTCGGCTGCGCGGGTTCATCTAAGGGACTCATGGGAGTGGACTGTTGAAGGACTGGGTCAGTAACCTGCTCAGCCTCTCTAGTTTCGGTTTGATCAACCCCTGTTTCAGTCTCGTCACAGTCGTAAGACTGAAGTGGTTTCTTTTCCCCCTTTTTGCCCTTCTTCATTTTCTTCGAATATGCACCGCCGCTGTCATCTTCGGGAGTCGACGACAAGGTTATCGTCTGACTATCAGTATCGGCAGTCACGGGAACATCGGAACCTACTTTGACATCGCCAGGTGGTATGTCAGACTCATTGATTTTGATTTCAAAATCATCGCCAAAGGGATTTGGCCCTTCTCCTGCTGATGCGAGCTCTTTATTGACCTCCCCAGACAACGTTGGCTCTGATGTTTTGACATCTTGGGATTTTTCCAATGGAGGTTGCGAGGTTTGATCAGCGTCGACTGGCGCTGAATCTGAGTCCACCAGGTTGCCCAATGCTAACGCCTTCTTTGCTTTCTTCTTGTTTCTTTTCTCTTTCTTCGAACGCCCGACATCCGCTTCTGTCCCAAGTATCCCTGAGGCTTGCTGGGTAGAGACGGATGGGGTCTCGCCTTCCTCTCGGATAGTGGACAGTTGGGTCCCTCCAACATCAGGAATCTCTGGCTGGAACGCTTGGTAGGCTGCTTCGACGGATGCGCCCTCAACCAAGCCTCGAGCTTGTACGGCTTCCTTGAATGCCTCCTCAAGAGGATCACGGCTTGATTGTGAGATATTTGATGAAACACCTTCTGCAAGAGGTTGCTCGAGCTCCGTCTGGTCGACCGCTAGATGTTCATTGATATCGACGTGATGTTCGACTTCTGGATGCGCTGATGGGTCAGAATCTAGTGCTGGAGTAGATTCCGTCGGCTGTGCGTCCAGTGCGTCTTCAAATGACTCTGTGGTGCCAGAAGTAAGTGCCTCGACATCCCGGATATCCGAAACAATCACGTCTTTTGGCTCCCCTATTTCGGAATCTTCCACATCAGCTTGGTCTGCGTTCATGTGTGCTTCTGAGGGCGACGCTTCGTTGAAGGCCATCTGGACATCTTCATCATCCTTGTCCCTCGCTGCCTGTAGCTTGTCTGATTCACTATCAACTTGGATTGCCTCTGCTTCGTAGACTTCAGGTTGCGGCTCTAGAACCTCGTGTGGGTCTAAAACGGGTTCTGCTTGTTGCTCGAGACCTCGGACAGAATCCAAGGGTTCTGCTGCTCCGGATGGCAGAGGCACACTCGCTTCGTCGCCTTCTCCAGCTTCCTCTTTGGGTCTTTCTACCTTCTCGAGACTGGTTGTGTCATCCCTGACCATTTCACCGAAGCTGGTTGGGAAAACATCGACTGACTTTGCCGGAACCACTTCTTCTAGGTTGGACAGGGTTACACGTTCATCGTCGGCTGGCCTCTGCAAGCTCTGGGCCCCTAGATCCTCGGCCTTGGATTCAGGACTAGCGTTTGTTATCATGTCAGTGTCAAGCCTGCGCTTGTGTATCTCTGTGAAAACGTCCCGCCAAGCGTTAGTATCCAGGATGTCTTTCGTGGGAACCTGCGATTCAGTACTCCGATGCATATCAGTGATTGCTTGAATTGACTCGCGCTCGGTTTGTTGCTGAGAGGCCGTCTCATTGTCAATTCCTGCATTGTGAGCTGCTTTGGACCCGGACTCTGGTGCAACGTTTATGGACTCCAACTTTCTGACCGATCCAGTTTTATCCGCCGGGCTATCCTCTTGCAACTTCTCGAGCACTTCATGGGAGGCGACGGCTAATGCAGAACCAAGAAGCGCACCAGCAGCTGCTGTAGCGATTCCGTCCTGCCACGATACTGATGTTGATCTTGGGGTGGAAGCGCTCCTTCGACCCCTACTCTGACTTCGCGTCCTCGCAGGAGACAGACTCCTACTTCGTGCACTCACGTAGTCCTGATCGACGTCCGTGCTTGCGACACTGGGGAGGGGGCTATGAGGCACAACTTCCTCGTCCACCAGAGCTTCATCATGGAAAAAGGCTGGATCTTGGAGCAACTCGCTCGGTGAGTGAAACTCATATTTTGGCTTAGGCTTTTTTTCTTGGTCGCGAGCCCTTTGTGCTTCACCAGGCACTGGTGTGGCTGATCGAGAATCCAGATAGTCTGGTGATTCTCGCCGTTTCTCACCATCATGCCAATACGAGTAACTGTGTCTCCTGCCATGTTCACGAAAGCTTTCCGCGCTGATGCGTGACGGGGTGAAGGAGTCGGGCTGGTTTTGCAGATAAGCTTCTGCGCGAAGATCTTCCATGGACGGATGGGCGGAGCTGGTTTTACTGGATGGCAACGATGGGTACTCCTCTGAAAGTTCCGGGGGCGCTGCTCTCGCATAATTTTGTCTCTCTACAAGATACAGCGGTCGGAATTCTTTGCTCGAACGAAATTCCGTCGACTTTGGCCTTCCCTGTCGAGTTCGCGGGGTGGTCAGTGGCGAGCTTGGGGACATAACTGGCGAACTCATAGAGAAGCGTGGGTTAGTGGGCGAGATGGGAGGCCGTCGAAAATGCAACGGCACAGCAGTTGGGGAGCTAGCCACCAGTGGGCTGGAAGGGATATCGCCTGTCCGTATAGCAGACAAGCGTCGAGAGGCTGCGGGTACGGGAAAGGGGCCCGAAGAAGATTCCTTGAGACTCCGTTCCTCCTCGCCAACGCCAGTTGCTGGTTCGTCAGGCAAAATCCCCGAATGGCCATCCTCCATCCAAGTCGTAGGTAGAGCCGCAACGTGCTCGTTCTTTGTAGGACTGATTGTTCCATGTGCGTGGACACTACTGATGGGATCGGGCGGTGAAGACGTTTCTGTCTCAGACATTTGCCCCGAGACACCATCAATATCCATTGGCGTATCCGTGACCATTGGTTGTGGCATTTCGGGGCGACTTGCTAAAAAAGACTCTTGTTCTGTCATGTCCTGAGGCGGTGTTCCTGCGGTCTCCTCGGCAGAAACAAATCCGTCGTCGACAGTCTGATCATTGGATGTCTCGTTTTGTTCGGCACTCCGGGTTTGACGATCTGGGCTGTGTCGACTCCTTCTAGCTGGTTCAGATGCTGCAGATGCGACATCATCAAACTCAGGTTTGTCCCTTGACCTGCGTTTTCTTCGAGATTCGGATTTCTCAGATCGTTCTCGATCTGCTCGACTGTCTGACTTGGAAGATTTTGCGCTCTTCTTGCTAGATGTACTGACATCGCTCTTGTTACTGGAGAAGATATTGCTGAAAAAGCCACTAGACTCCTTCGTTCCTCCATCAGGCGCGTTGCTCACGACAGACGCGTTGTCTGCTTTCTGTGCTCCGTCAGAGGTTCTGCGGTGTTTGCCTCGCGAGGTTCTCTCATCATCCTTGCGGTTTCGGCTTGTTGCTGGATCCTCAACAAGATCACCAATGCTGTGCCTTGAGCTTCGCTTCGACTTTTCATTTTCATACAGATCATCGTCGGTACGAGATCTCCGCAGTGGTTCGAAGTCTGCACTGTCATCTGAGCGTCTATTCTTAGATTTTCTTGATGTCTTCACGCCCACGTCGCTCTTGGAGCTGGACTTCGACCCCTTCGACTTTTCCCGAGGTCGTTCCCATTCCTCTGGATCTGAGTGATATTCTCCCTTGGAATCTTTCTGTTGACGCCCCGAATTTGCATCACTAAACGTAGGCGACCCCTCGATTCGAGATGACAGAGCTTCGCCTCTACTGGGTGAGCTGGTGTGGTCATGTTCAGCAGCATCCTTGATCAACTGGTTCGCAGCGAGAACAGCAGATGCACCTAACACCATATCTAGCGCGGAGGTTTTGGATGAGACGCTATTCGCGAGATTGCGGTCACTGTCGGTGGCATGTAATGGTTGTCTAGGACTGACGTCGTCCCTGACTTCAGACGAAACTTCCTGTGGCGAGGGAGGTTCAAATGCATCTCCACAAGAGCGGGAACGCTCTCGACGACGCAAGTCACTCTTGCTCGGTCTGGCGGTGTCAGACGTGATTTCTTGCTCAAGCGGGGCTGTTCTACTTCGGTCGCCCACATCTTCTAAGGCGGGAACAGTCATCGGCTTAGTATCGGGTGGAACTGAAGGGGAATTGATCCCTGTGATGATCGGATCGCTCACTGTTTCCGCAAAAGGGCTTTGATAAAGCGCTTTCTCTCTGCGGATCTCATCCGTCTCTGGTGGGAATGAGTCTTTGTGCTGCTCTTCAAGATCACCATTGACCGGGGAGATAGCACGTTGAGGAGTAGACTCATGCTCCGTGCTATGGTGAGTCGTCTCCTGGGAGCCCTCCTTAGATCGAGGCTGTGGTTGTTCCTGATTAATTTCCTCAGCTTCTCTGTCATCGACCGTCCAAGTGCGGCTTATGTGAGGTCTGTCATCAATGACGGACACTTCCTTCTCAAGAGTCTCTGCCTCTTGTTCATCCAGCGTCCAGGCCCGACCCACGGCTGGTCGCGGTTGTGAATCTTCGGTGATCGAAAATGGCTCTTTGACAACTTCATCCGGAGATGGAAGATCTGCAGTTCTCTGACCCTGGAAGTGCGAATCAGGTCCGTAATCAGAGCGCTCGTATTCTGGAGTCACGACTTCGTAAACAAAAGTGTCAGGATCTCCCCACGTCACTTTGGACTCCTTCCGTTCTAGCGGCTCGCCAATAACATCGGATGCCTCGTTCGATTTGGGCTCGATGATGGGCGTTTCATCGCCCCTGATACTGTGGACACGGCTTCCAGGCGGTGTAGGCTCAATCAATCCAAGCATTGGGACAGGCCAAGGGTGTAGCAACGGGTCGTCATCCGATCTAAGACCAAACGGACGATAGTTGAATGGGTCGAACGGATGCGAGCTTCCAGGTTTGGGTGCTCCGGGAGCAATTTCAACCACGGTTGCCCCGAACTCATCTCGGTGTTCAGCCTTGTCGTTGTGTTCTTTGAGATGCTCCTTGATCTCTGTGGGAACGAAGAAGGCACTATAATCGTCATGCTGGACCGGTGATGGCGTTGAACGAACTCGCTGAGCAGCCATTCTGGCAATTCTTTCTTGCTGCGTCTCAGCTGAGGAAGAGACGTCCTTTTCTCTTGTCTTCTTCAAGCTGGACTTTCGGGTGGGGATAGCTTCTTCACTCGACCGACTCCTGTCGTCTTGGCTTGCCATAGCACCTATGGCCACAGTTGCTGCAGCACCGATAACAGAACTTTCGACAGCTCTCTTTATACTCGACTCCTTCCGTTTCCGTTCTTCAGCCTTTTGGTGCTCCTGGTAGAGCCTCTCTAATTCACGATCGATCTCAGCCACTCGTTTGTCAGCATCGAAAGAGCTACCACCCGCATCAGACGATCGTCCTGGCCTTGCTGATATTTCGTCACGCATTGGCTTGCGCTTATTTTGTGTAGACTCCACGGGGAAAGTAGAATCTGTGGGCTTTCTTCGTCTATTGTTCTCAGACCTTGGGCCCCTCCCCTTGTCCTTACCACTGGCGCGTTCATCATTTTTGAGCTGCTCGTCAGTCAGGTTGAAATTGACGCTGCTCCTCGGACCCTGGGAAGGAAGCTCAGGCGAGTTCGAATCTCGTGCAACATGGCTCGGGGTTCTCTGTCCTTTCCACGACGTCTGCCCTTCAAGCTGGATGTCTTCTGAGATATTCTGGCCTATAAAAGGTGCGATAAGGGGAATCGGTTGCGGCTGCTGTAGAGGCACAGATGTCGACGACACCCTGGTAGCATAGGGAGAAGCAGCCTTGGGCGGGGGATCAGACACTGGCCGGGGTTCTAGCTCACGCATCGGATCTAGCGCGCTGTAGGTTGGGGGTGGATTTGATTCCTGCGAGAGTGCGTTAGAAGCCATCCAACCACCCAAGGCTCCTGCTGCACCCGCCACAGTGGCCGTTTCGATTGATGAGGTAGGAAAAGATGGTGCGTGTCCGAATTTCGCCTGTCCCAAACTGTTCCGATGTCGCCTTTGGTCATCTTTTCTGAAGTTGTAACTCGATACTGATGCTCGGCCACCTTGAGCGAGATGCTCTCGGCTCTGGGAAGCAGAGAATCCTCCACCATATGCCATTGCTGTATCCACACTGCTTTCGGAGTCGACTTCACCATCTGTGTCATACCATTCGTCATCGCGTCCGTCAGTAGTTTCGTGGTCAGCCATGGAGATTCGACGACCATGTGCGTCCCTGCTGCCCGGGTCTACATACTTGTTAGCGTCATATTTTTGCCTACCTTTATGCTCTCTTCTGTTAGCCTCGTCAGCAAGCGCAGCACCCCTATTGAAGAGGTCTTCCATCGGCGGCACGGGGTTGTTGCGATGCTGTCTGCCTTGTCTTTCTGGAAGTCGCCTCTTGGAGGGTTTCCGACGCACGGTTCCCTCACCAAACCGTAGATCGGCGTCAGATGAGGAACTTGAGGCATTTGAGAAATGAAAGAGGCCCTTTGGTTTCTTCCCCTTCTTTGAATTAGCCGATGGGCTGGTGAAGAAGCCCATCAGACCACCTGGCCCGTCGTTGGTCGTTGACAGGTCGACATATGAATGCATTGGTGAGACTCGTTTGGAAAAATATCTCCTCCCCGACCTTGGTGACCGACTTCTGTTTTCCCTTTGACGCCGGGACTCTGCGCCCAGAGCTGCAGCACCAACGGCAACCCCAGCAGCGCCCATTCCAGCGCTCAATACTCCGCCACGGGAGACAGCGTGTGAAGACGAGCTCGAGGACGATGAGCTCGATCGACCGGCGCGATGTCTTCTTTGGGTTGAAGATACGCTACTCCTACCCACCCTCTTTGGATCCTGAAATCCTGCATCATTGTCCCGCGGGAATGGCTGCTCAGCTTGAAAGCTGACTCGGCTCTGGTTCACAGGTCGCCCTGACTTCACCGGGTATGTGTCATCGAAGTCATGTTTATGTTGAACCACTGCTTGCCCAACTTTCGCCACGCCATAGCCAGTCAAGGCACCGACCACCATCTTCTTCTTGAGTGAGGAGGATTTCCGAAGATTTTCATCCGAGCTATGCCTATACATCTTGTCTACCCGTGTCGTACTCCCATACCGGCTCCCGGGGGATGGCTTTCGCCGGCGATAGTCATGTCTGCGAGGTGCATCGGCAGGTGAACTCCTGGGATCGAAGCAATATTTACAAACACCAATTGTCTCGGTGTACTCCTCGAATCGCGCTACTGCTTCGGGATCTCGCCACCAGTCAATGAATCGTCCAAATAGTCCCTGGTGTTTATGTCGGTGGGCATGATGCATCTGGTGACCATGTGATACAGAGTGATCATGTGCTAGTCCGGCCATATCCGCTGAGTGTTGATGCTGGTCGAGTGAGGGCGCATTGTGAGAGTGGCCAGAGACGTAGGCACCAGCTGCCGCTCCAGCAAGGGCCGCCGCGCCACCGTACAGACCTGCATTTGAATGCTGGTGTGAGACCCCGAAGCCGGCAGGCGCGGAATAGGGGGTCGATGTAACGTGTAGCCCTGCTGGAGGTCTGTTGGGCGTTTGATATGCACTGGCTGACGGTCCTGCACCTCCGCCTCCGCCTCCACCTCCACCGGCATAATACTCGGCCGCTGCACCGATCGCAGCAGTGCCTGAGACTGGGAAGGAGCCGACCGCACCAGGAGCGACACCAAAAGGTGGTGCGTGGGTTCCCGGAGGTCCTGGGCTAGATCTTGGACTCGCCCCATAGGAACTGTGCTTGGGAGGCTTGTTAGATCCCAAGCTCGGTTTCTGGTGAGGTTTGGAGGGTGTCGTTTGCGACCCGATGTCGCTGTCATAGTTGGGTTTACCGAAATAGCTAGCAGCAGCACCGACTTGGCCCATACTGCTCGGCTCGGGAGGGGGTTTGGCTTCGACGGTGGGCTCCTGGAGATGGGCCTGCTCTGCGCTGGTGACAATGTTTGGGGCGTTGGGACGAACGCCAGGTTGGGAGGCTACTGACTCGCCCTGGTCACCATAGTACTCTGCCGCTAGTCCAGGTGGTCGGTATGGCTGAGAGTACGTAGACGGAAACTCCCCAGGAAACTGGTTTTGAGGTAGTGAAGCACTATTATGCCGGTAGTCGCGGGCACTGTCCTTTCTTTCACTAGACTTCCTCGTCTGACGAGAGTCGCGAGGGCTATCTTCATTCTTCGGCTTCCATGATTCGTTATCTTCCTTGCTTCCCCGACTCCTTTCATGTTTCGTCCTTCTTTCAGTCTTGCTTGACCGTCTCCGCGTGTCGTTGCGTTCGGATTCTTTTCGCGTATCATCTCGGTATCGACCAGATATTTGTGAGGGTTCGTCGGTGATCGTTGTCGCATAAGTGGCATCGGGCTCTTCATGGTAGCTGTGACGGCTGGATTTTCGGCGCGACGAGGTTGTCGCGTCTGGGGCGAAATGTCCGGTTGGGGAATCCTGATCATCATTTCTCGGTCGCTCGTACCTCGAAGATGCTTCTGAGCCGGCCCGCTGCCGGCCTGAGCTGGATTTTCTCATGGCACATCAGACGGAATCGTAGAGGCGTCAAGGCGGTGTCGACGTGTAGATTTGGATCAATGAAATAGAATAAATGGGCGTCGGCGGCACTACTCGTATCATTCCTACGACGCGGCTGATATTGATGTTTGCTGCTCAATGGAATAAGGAGGATTAGAAAAGTTGTTTGTCCTGCGCAAGTGATTCAAAGACAGTTAAGGCCTGCTGCGCTGGCAGGTGCGATGATCGAATAGTCGGTCGTGTTTTGCAAGTGCGACTACTACGAGTTTTGAGTGGCTGGGCCTGGCAAGCTGGCTACCTGTTTGTAGCCTTGGGGGGGATGCCTGTCTAGTACCGAGTAATTACCTCGTACACACACCCGAACTCCGACAAGCTTGGAAATCGTCACAGAAATTAATTAGGGCTCGCCTAGGTGCCGTGGGTGCGTGCCTAGCGAACGGTAGGGAGCGGCCACGACCCTCAGTCGGGAAACCCACATCACGACCACACGAGGCAAAGCTAGAATATGCTTGAGTTGACGATCGGGCACTTCATCTAAACTCTGTGTATTGTTTATAGATGGAGTCACTGAGGTCGGACACGTGTTTACCTAGGTAAGAGAGTAAAGACAAACCACCCCTTTACTTATTGCACACTCGTCCTAGTCGTGCCTTCAGCTCTGCTTGGGCCAGGCGCCGTTCATAGGCTCTCTTCACATGGTTCAGCTGGACAAGGGGGGCACGGACGTTGGAGATGCTCATATTGATTGGAGCATTTGGACCCCAAGGGTTTAGCGCACTTTAGTCGTGCTGTCAACTTGATAGATCTGGATTGTTCTGACTGTTCTACTCTTTGTGAGTGTAGTACTTCCTCCAATCGTGGACATCTTTGAATCCCAAAACCTCTCTGATTTTCTTGTTGGAGAGGGGCGCCTCCCACTCGCCCATCTTCCGCGTAATGGGTGTATTGGGACAGTGCTTTCTCAAAAACTCCTCTGTCGGCACTGCCGTTGTAATAGTGTCGTTGGTGGCATTAAACACCTGGAACCCGAGCCCGCTCTTTGCAACGCACAAGTCACAAATTTGACCAAGGTCCCGAGCATCGATATAGCTCCAAGCATTTCTTTTTCTTGTCTCTGGTTTTCCCACGTGTCGGGGAAAATTGCTCTCGTATTCGTGTGGCTCAATCACATTGCCGATCACCAAGGCGTAAATATCGATATTGAACCGTCGGGCAAAAGTCCGAGCAATACGCTCTCCGGTCAATTTGCTGCAGGCGTACGTATCCTCTGGATTGCGATCGTACGTATCCTCCTCAAGAGGGAAAGAATGGTAGTCATCGTCCCCTTGCGTGAAGCAAACACCATAGGTGGTCTCGCTGCTGGCAATGACAATCTTCTTCACACCCAGCTTGCACGCAGCCTCAATCACATTGTATGTGCTCATGACGTTACCCCGAAAAGTCTCGCTGTCTGGCACGATCATGTTTCGGGCATACGCTGCAAAGTGGATGACAGCGTCGGGAGGCCCAGGGTGTTTCGGCAGACCAAACTCGCTCATCGAAAACAGCGAGGACAGTGCGTTGAACACTTGACCGCCATCGGTCAGATCTGTCTTCATTGTGTATACATTCTTTCCTGGAGGGATATGGTCTTTTGGGAAATCCACCAGATCCAAGTTCAGAACCTGGTGTCCTTTGTTCAACAAATACGGAATGCAGTGCCGTCCGGCTTTCCCGGAGCCCCCGGTGAAGACGATTCTTTTACCTAAGGAAGTAGACATATTCTCGGGTTCAAGGCTGCAAACAATGTCGCATGGAGATGGGAATCAGCTCTCGAGGCAGATAGAAATGGCAACACCACTGGAAATTTCTGAGAGGTGATGACATGGAGTTCAACCGGGGTGATCACCGATGACATTCCGTGTGCTAGGGCCTGTGGTAGCCCAAAAAGGAAGCTCGATGTGTTAAAACACGGCACTTCGCTTTCTCTGCAACTTGTTTGTATCTTGATCGCTCCGGCGCCGGAAATTGAAAATGCTCGATTTCGGTTTGATCTGTGGTTGCAGCGCAGGTGCGGGTGCGAGAAAACTCGATTGTGAAGCAGCTCCTGACATGTAAGGACCTGATGAGTATCCCCCCCAGGCATTAACATATGGAGCAACGGGATGTTGTCCTTGGTGCGTCTCGAGATAGGCTGATTGTCCGGCCTCGGAGTGGTGCCTGTGCTGTCGTGGATCTCGAGGAGGAAGATCTGGACGAGCAGACGCATCTTCCCGCCCATACATTTGCTTGAGCCGCTCAGTCTCCTGTTGGATTTCCGCCTGCTTTCTTCGCCGTTGTTCCTTTTCTTCCCTCTCCAAGAGTTGCCTAGTCAAGCGCTCCTCCTCCTCCTCTCTGCGCCGCCTTTGTCTCTCTTCCTCTAACGCTTGCCTCCGCAATCGAGCAGACTCGGCTTCAATCTCCCACTGTGTCCGTGGATCTGTGGGTGGCACTCGCGGTTCGTGGGTGGGCGAGACTGGCTGAGGTCTGGCATCTGTTTGCAGAATTGCAGGCCCGGTACTTGGACTAGCCGGGTTGGATTTCTTGTTCACATTGAGATTGAAGGTCTCCTTCAAGGAACCAAAATACACATCACGGATCACCACAGCTCCAAGCAGGAGGACCACCTCGAAACCTTTGAGATCCTCGATATCTACCCTCTGCAGATTTGGCTCATACAGGGTCAACTCTTTCAAAGCCTTGAATATCGACACAGTAATATCTGGGTCTCTGTGTTTGGCCTTTCCTTCTATATCCGTACTCTTCCCCGACATGAAACATGCTAGATCCTTTGAAAACTTGCTGTCTTTCTTCCATTTGAAAACAATTTTGGGTGTAACCTCTGAAGCAGCCGGGTCGTATTGCGTGCGATCAAGCGCAGACCCAGATGGAGGCCGAAAGGTCTGTTGTGGCATCTCGAATTCCCACGATGCGGATCTGTTGAAGCTCGCAGCCTTGTGCCTCACTACTATCTGTTGATCTGGATTGTAGAGCTGTATTACGAACTCGGAGGGGAGGATGGGTTCAGGAGGGGGTGGGATCGCCCCATTCAACCTGGCTTGTTCGGATAGAGGAGGAGGTTGGGTCCATTCTGGGATGAGCAGGACTTCGGCATAGAGGACTTCGGGACTAAAGGCATCGTAAAGTGCTGCCGCATATCGGTTTCTCGAAGCATGGTTGTCTGGGTCTAGATGTCGTACCGTGTAGGAAGGCTCATAATCCGCTCCATGCTGGGAGAAGAGAAAGGTGGACAATTGCTTCGGTTTGTCTTTGGAGGGTTTGAGGACAAAAGCTGCAACTGTTAGCAATGAGGATGCCGGAGGGACAGACATGCACACGTACTCGGCAGATTCTCATCCAGCATGGCGTTCCTGAACTGTCTGTCGTAGTGTCCTTGCGGTGCCAGTAACGAGGGCGTCCTGTGGTAAAACAGATACGCTGATACTCGAGACGACTCTACAGTATTGCAAGACTTTGTGGTTGACTCTATAGATTTGAAGTCGAGGACGACACTCACAGACGCAGCCGACTCCGATTGTTTGCGCCCTCTTATTTACGAATATCAAAAACACAGCCACGCTTCGTCAGGGCAAAGCACACGAGGTCACGTCCTCAACGTGACTCCGGCTTGTTAGGCGCCGCGGCCTGGAGGCTGTGCGCCCCGTGGAGGGCTCGCGGTTTACGTCGACGATCCCGAACCTCCGTTTGCAGTGGATCATTATTACTGGGTCGCTACGTGCTTGGAGGGACTACGGTGAGCTATCCATTCACCTTTGCAGTAACTTGGTGCCGCATCAGTACCAGTATTTTCCCCACACTGTCCATACCAGTACAGTGTATGGATATTCGACGAGCAAGACGCGCGTACTCGGTACACAGCTACGAGTACACGACCAGCCATTTACCACAGCCCAGCCTTCTAAACGGAAAGTTCTTCAGTTTACAAAAGATGCAGCGTCAATCGTGTTCATGCAGTGTCGAATATATATAGTTGAGGAACTCGTTTCCAAGACTGCAGTTCAACCTCTTGTGGCTATTGAAGTCGCAATGCCTCTTCATCAAGGACACCAAACAGATTTTCCACCTCTTTCAGCACGTCCTGTATCCCGAGGCCCAGCTGGCCCGTGACTAGTGCATACGTGTACAAAAGGCTATAGTCCTCATCTTTGGTCCTTTGTTCGTGTGCGTCAGCCTGTCTATACTCGAAAATCTTTGCCAGGAGCCTGTCCCGTGTATTGTCAATGCTGGGCAACGCGTCACTCGTGATTGAATATTCCAACTTCATCGAACTCGCGAGAACGCTGAACAAGTGACTGATCCTCCGGCATAGCTGCGCTCGTTCCTTGGCTGTGGCCTTCAAGAGTGCCTCCTCTCCTGGGGATGTGTTCAGATCCTTTAGGATCACCTCGTTCATGGCGTGGAATGACCCCAGCATTTGCTCAGTACTGTTGAGAATCCGGCCATAGGTCGCATGTGGGAACGGCCGTCGGAGCTCAAACTCGCTTTTGGATGCCTCTGCCAGGCCTCGGAGCTTCGCTAGAAATCTTTGCAAATACAACTCCTCGCGCAGGTTCATGTAGCGATCTGGAGGGATACCTTCGGTCAGCGTGGCCAGTGGATCTCTCTTCCAGATTAGACCCATGCGTAGCCACAGTAGTGCAAGGCCATCTTTCAGCTTCTGCCGAGCCGATATGGGCCAGACGGCGCGTGTAATGATCAATCCCCATATGCAGCCAGAAATTACGGCAACCACCCGATGTCCGGCGATTGCAAGGATCAGGGGATTCTTTGCGGCATCCTCCTCGTCTCCTCCGTCATCATCGTTGTCACGACCAGCGAGACTGTACGCGTACAAAGCACTGAGGTTGTATGTCAACATGATGAATCGTCCCATCGGGCCTTTGCCTTTTCCAATGATGATATACGCGGTCCAGTACGCCATGCAAACCCCAAAAAGACACAGTATGAAGGGATTGTCGTGCGATATTTCCCAAGCGGCTATTGCGAGAACAGCTCCGAGACAGGTTCCGAGCACCCGGGAGTAACCCGTCGTGTTGGACGCTCCTATTGTCATGCTGCACACAAGCATGTAAGAGACCAAGCCCCACTCCCCTCGCCAGTGCTGGTACAGTGGGCGTGTCGAGGAGAGGAAACTTGGAAGTGCGTACAGAAGAGCGCCTAGGCCGACCTTGATTGCAAACCTGATATCGTCACGTCGAAAAAAAGATGCTGCAGCGTAGAGGTAGCGGAAAAATATTTGTTTGAGGCGAGGTTGATCAGGCCACTGGGGGACATTATGCTGTGGAGATACATTGAGCTGCTTGTCGCTAACCTTGACTTCAAATTCATCCGAACTTTTGGCCAGTTTTGCAAAATCAGGGTCGAGTCCAGCCAGTTCTGTCTGGATATATGGTGAGCGCCAAAACTTCAGCCAATTCCACGTCTTCCCGGAAGGGTGCTCGTCAACCTCGAGCTGCAGCTCGTCGAGGATGTTCAAATATTCTTTCACGGATTCAGCCACTTCCACCAAGGAGAATGAAAAGTGGCCACAACAAGCAGCGGCATCCTCCCAGTCAGCTTGAACAGGCATTGGTCGAGATCGAAACATGTCCTTCTGACTATATACAGCCAGGATTGCATCTTGCCGAGACTGTTTGTACAACCCCAATGCTCGATCAAGACTCGATTTGAACTTGGGATTGGTGGAAACGATGTATCGCTTAGAGGCATCAAAGGGGCAGTCATCCAGGATTTCTTTCAAAGTGAAAGCCAGAGATCTCATGGAAGGCCCAAGGTTTTCGATGAAAAGCTCGAATATTTGCGCTGGTGATCGAAATGGCAGGGGAGTTGGACCCGAGAGCGATCCAGTAAGCGGCCTGCCCGACCCTTGGATAGGCGAGGATGGTGCAGAGTAATTAAGCCATTCTCGCTCGCCCATGCTGACTTTGGAACTCTCCATCGAATCCATCCAGTGTGGTGTAAGAGTATTCTCTGCGGCGAATTGCGCGGAACTAAAGGCCGGCTGCTTGGTCACGACAAACTGCATGGCTGCAGCACTCCGAAGGCCGCCAATGCTCTGCGAAATCCGCTGGAGACATTGCGCCAAGCTGCCCTCAATCAGAGCTTGTCTCTCAGTGCCCAACAAGTAATGTTCGTATCTTGCTTCTTTCAAATTTTGTGGAATGGTAGAGGATAGCTTTTTGTGCTGATCACTAATGCTCTGGAAGACGCTATCTTCCAGTTCTGCCTCATCGCCAGACAGAAAGCTGCTCGTAATCAAGGCAAGCATGTCCGCATGTGTATCAGTCACCTGCAGGAGGTTTTTCCTCAACTTGTGTCTGGCGGAGATGGGGAAAACCAAGAAGGAAACAAGCATAGTGGCTATCACACCAGCGACGATCATCTTGAGGATTTGCGCGATAGACTTTGTCGAGTAGTCACCTGCCTGAATAGCGCCTTCTTTCGTGAGGATGGTGACCAGGCTCAGAGATGCCAGGGAGCATGCTATGTTCACCAGGGGATCATTTCTCCTCAGCTTGATCCATCCGACAAATCCAAGACCGCCTCCAACAAAGACAACCAGAACAATAGCGTGTCCAAGCTCAATAAGATGAACGGTATCTGAAAAGAAAGCGGCGACGGTCATGCTGAGGAGCGACACGACGGCCACGTAGAGGAAGGCGGATGTAGCCAGCAGAAGAGCATCCAGCATACTCCCCAGGGATCTCGCGGGGTGAAAGTACACCGTAATAGTGGCGACCATGTGTTTCGAGTTCTGTCTCCCGAACAAGACGCTCAACCAGGGAACAAATGTGGCCAGACTGCCCAAGAAGTATGCCAGTGCGCATTTGAAGATCCCCTTCCCAGTGTCCGAGAGCATGAACTGTTTGGCTCGACCCGCCCATTCCAGGCTCTTTGACGCCCACGAGCCATGATAGGGTCCGGGGCAACCTGCACTTATTTCTTCGATTTGTCCCAGTAAAGGAGTGGTGTCGTCCACGGCGTGGTTAAAGACATCGGGACGGTCGAAGTTATGGAGGGTAAATGTTTTGCTCAGCCGTTTGCCTGTGGCAGGATCGATATAGGAAGATTGACGAAGCTAACATGTATGATATCAGCAGCACATTCCCATGGTGGCTTGTCTAGACGCACGCTGGCTCTAGGATTCAGATTGAGCGTATCTCTGTCGAAATCTTGGCCATCTGCGGCCATACTTTAGACAAGCTTCGGCTGCTTGTCAGGCTACCCGGACGACCAACCCCGAGATGAGATACAGGCCATATCAATGTGACCACATAGTGAGATAAGGATAAATTGAAGTGATCTCCCCAGAAAGAGGAGGATTCAAGTTGTACAGATATCGCCTTTGCAAATTATGGATTGGTTTGTTTACGGTGGGTGCGGCGAGTCTCCTGAGAAGATGACATCAATCACGGCCCGACATTCATCCGGCGTCCGTTGAGAACGACGAAAACTGTGGAATAGTATGTTTTATCTCCTCGACTCTACTTTCTCTCGGGCTCAAGCTGTCAATGGAACTGATTTGGTCCCTACTAGAGACGATACGTTTAATTCCCAAGAGGGAAGAGTAAACAATAGGGCTAGCCATCGCTGTAGTCTGTCCATTTCGATATCCAAGCTTGATATCCTTCACCCTCAGTATCCTGGAAATCAATATTTCACGCGTCCTCACGAGTAGACCATGACCGCTCACCTTTCACTGACCCACGATCTGACCATGATTGCCCAGAGTTGTCAAAATCGCATAACAAGCCTCGAAAATATAACAAGAGAAGGAGAGAGATAGGTAGATGGGGAGAGAGAACGTAATCGTGGCTGACCTGGCACACTGGCAAGCCTGGTAGCACCACAAATATCGAATCTTGGCATCTTCCCTCATATCGCCTGTACCCGCGCCAGATATTATTCCGATATTCTCATGATATGTATCCATCTCTACAATTTTTCTCTTCCTTTTTTTTTGTCGTCTATTTGAACACGGGGACAGACAGCCGGCTGCGGGTCGACAGGGACTTCTGCAATGCCAATGTACGACGCTCACGCTAGACCTCCCGAACATATGCGAGAGCTTTTCAAATTATGGCGGAAGCGGTCTGCAGTAGAAGTTGAAGCTGATCAGCACATCATTAACCCACGAGAGCCAGATGTTAATAGAGTCTCAGCTTTACCGGGGTCTGAAGTTCTTGGACAGGCCGATATGGAGATTTTGACCGCGGATTTTCTCGATAATGCCATAGACATCCCAGCCACGGGGGCTGAAGACGCTACTTTACCACCACGAATAGCCTTTGAGGTGAACGGACTGCCTGGTTTGCGCTCGCTCTGCTGCTTGCCATGTCACGACACAAGCTAACATAAGGTAGGTCTCAAGGTGTTTCCTTCCCTCTTGCCTCCTCGACTCCAAGTTGCCTTGCTAGACAGGCTCCTTCATCGTGATCTCTCTAATCCCGTGCACAAGACTAATCTCAACTACCACCACCATATCACCTACTCGCCAAACGCAGGTACCTCATCTTTGTCTTCATTCTTCGCTGCACGTCTCGATACTGTTATCTCCCCGAAGGATTCTTCGACTCACAGACCCATGACCATGGCGCAGATGCTCGGGACCAAATTGCGCTGGGTCACATTGGGAGGTCAGTATGACTGGACGAACAAAATTTATCCTGATAGCGAGCCGCCGCCTTTTCCCAACGATATCGCCGCTCTCCTAAAGAGACTATTTCCTGCCGTTGACGCCCAGGCCGCAATTGTCAACTTCTACAGTCCTGGAGACACCTTGAGTGTGCACAGAGATGTTAGTGAGGCATCCGACAACGGCCTCATCAGCATCAGTTTTGGTTGCGACGGGATCTTCCTTGTTGGCGGCGATGATAATGCTGATGCTATAGCCATTCGGTTAAGGTCTGGGGATGCAATTCTCATGTCTGGGGAATCCAGATATGCCTGGCACGGCGTGCCGAAGATCCTCCCGGATACCTGTCCTCCCTGGCTGCAAGACTGGCCAGATACGGGGCACGATGGACTATACCAGCAATGGCGAGGGTGGATGAGTAAGAAACGAATCAATCTCAATGTCCGTCAAATCACCGAATGACGCTCAACCGATTGACGGCCAAAGACTGTGATGATGGTTCAAACTGCCCGCTCGGAGTGATGGAATCATGCCCAAAAAGGCAGGAGAAGTCTGTCCTCATTATCAATTTGTTCTCACCCAGTAATTGGAGGTGGAGGTGGAGATGTGCGTCTCCAAGCAGGAACCACTTGAGGTGCCCCCTCATATAGCCAAACCATCTCGCGAGGGGTACAGGACGACACGCTTTCGAAGAGTTGTGCCCTTTACTCGTCAAAGATATTCACATACACCGTCTGGCTTCATTTGTGTCTGCCATCATGGTTGCCGATTGGGAATCCCGTGCAAAAGCAAAGAGAGAGGCCATTCTGAACTCAATTCCAGAGAAATGGCGACTTCAGAAGATTCCTAGCCCAGAAGAGCAGAAAGACGTGACTGGCTCCTACATTCAGCAATTTCTTGATGAGAAAGAAGTCACGATCACCGAAACAGACGCGGTCGGCATCGCGGAAAAGGTCGCGGCAGGCGAATGGACTGCGGTTGATGTCACAGAAGCATTCTGCCACAGGGCCTCGCTAGCTCACCAGCTGGTTAATTGCCTGCACGAGACCTTCTTTGATGCTGCTCTGGAGTCCGCCAAAGCACTTGATGAGTACTTTGCGAAGAACAAGAAGACAGTTGGACCTCTTCACGGAGTTCCTGTGTCGCTGAAAGATCAGTTCCATGTTAAGAACGTCGAAACTACGATGGGATATGTAGGCTGGATCGGAACTTTTGAAGGCAACGCCAATGACCCTCGCAAGGGCCAGTATGAAAGTGAAATGGTGAGAGAGCTCAGAGCTCTCGGTGCAGTGCTGTACTGCAAGACCAGCGTTCCTCATACTTTGATGAGTGGGGAGACCATCAACAACATCATTGGCTATACTTGGAATCCGAAGAATCGCTACCTCTGTTCGGGTGGAAGCTCTGGGGGTGAAGGAGCACTGATTTCTTTGAGGGGATCGCCAGCTGGATTTGGTACCGACATTGGGGGTTCCATCCGCATTCCTGCGGCGTTCAATGGGCTTTACGGCATTCGTCCCTCATTCGGAAGGCTGCCATACGAAGGAATGGCAAACAGCATGGATGGACAGAACACCGTTCTCTCCGTCGTCGGCCCTCTCGCCACTACCGCTCGTTCCGCTCGACTGCTCACAAAAGCTATCCTCTCCGAAAAGCCCTGGCTGTACGATCCATTGACTATCGACATGCCGTGGCGTGATGCCCAAGAGCAAGCAATCCATGATATTGTCAAATACACTTCGCAGGGAAATCGACTGAGCTTTGGAGTACTGAAAACGGACGGCATTGTGAACCCTCAGCCGCCGGTAACTCGAGCGGTGTCGATGCTCGCAGACGCTCTCAGCAAGGCAGGACACCAAATCATCGAGTGGAAGCCACCGTCGCACAAAACCATACTAGATATAACGTTCAAGACATGGGGATACGACGGCGGAAAGGATGTGCACGATGCCTTTGCACTTTCTGGAGAGCCTATGTCTCCTCAAATCAAGATGAGTTTTGGTGACGGGCCGAAGCCGGAAATGACTGCCTCACAGATCGCCGCTAACAATGTTGAAAAACGGAAATGCCAGAAACAATACATGGATTATTGGAATAGTACCGCCCAGTTGACATCGACCGGTCGACCTGTGGATGGGTTCATTTGTCCTCTTGCGCCATACCCGGCTGCCAGACCCACATTATACAAGTATTACGGATACAGTGTGTTTGTCAATGGGCTCGACTATACAAGCGTTGTCGTACCTGTGACCAATGCGGATAAAAACATCGACAAGTATGCGGATGGATATACACCCATCAACGAGCAAGACAAGGAGGTTTTCGAAACTTATGATGCCGACTTGTTCGATGGAGCTCACGTCAGTGTGCAGATTGTCGGGCGCAGGTTCACAGAAGAGAAGATGTTGGCAATTGCAGAGTATGTGGGCGGTTTGGTTGGGAAATAAATGGGTGATACACCGCTAGCGAGAGGAAGGATGACAGACAACTCGATTCAATATTTGTACAGGTTCTTCTCGTGATACACAGAGTCGGAGCACAAGGCTTCACTCGGCTGGGGCGTTGTCCAGCCCAATGTCTTCCAAGCATGCCCACAAGTTGGGTCCGATCAGTTCCCGCAATCTGCTCTCTTCTTCGGACAGCTCGTCGTCCAGCGAAGGCGTGGGCGCTTTGCCTGAACGTTTCTTCTTGCCCTTAGACAGACCTTTCTCCTTCTGTTTGGTGTTTGCCGGTGTTTGTGGCTCCGGTATCCGTGACATTGCGTCGCTGTAGATGTTTTCGAGGATCTGATCGAAGTCGACGTTCTCGTTTGCTTTCGATCTTTCCCCACCTGATGCTTTGGAGCCAGAAGTCTTTGAATCCGACTTTGGTAGCGGGCAGCTGATGGTCTCATCGGGAAATACAAGTTTAAATTCTGCACTCCCTAGAGGGTGTGAGTTGGCAGGATACCGACACTGGCTCGGGAAGTCACAGCATTCGCAGCCTCTTGCGACCACCTCGCTCTTGAGGGTTCTGAGAACTGCCCGGCGCCATGTCCCCCAAGCCTTCCAGGCCGCATAGTCGAACTCACAGGAACACGCCCGAGGCTTTTTCTTTTTCCTCAGACTGGGCCGATCTGTCTGGCCTGAACAGTAGTAGTGTCCATCGACCAGGCATCGGCGTGTTACGCCAAGAGGATATCGCGAATGGCACAGGTGGCATATCCACACCCATGGTAGCGGCTCGCTTTGTGGTGGAGGAGGAAGAAGGGAAACAGACTGTCGGTCGTCATCGTCAGGGTCATGATGGACAAAGTACCGGGCGGCGTCGAAAGGTGGCACTGAGCCGGTAGACGGAGAATCTGGTCCATATGTTGGCGTCCTGGGTGACCGCACTCCCTTATCCGATTCGAGATTGTGACAGGACGTGTCGAGTCTGGGACTAGGCATTGTGTTCACCTGCTCAATATCTGAGTACTCGGTGGATTTATTGCAAGGCGGAGGGGCGAGTCTCGAAATCCCGCTGTATTGGACGGTTATGTAGAAGATGGTACTAACTAGAGGGAAATCTGGACACCCACACCATTAGATCGTTCTTTGTCATAACGCTGAACAATGAGACCGAGATAGGTTCGGAATAGCGTGGTGACCGCGATGGATCCGTGGGAAAAATGACAATGAAAACGAAGTTCTCACTAGTTGTAAGACAAAGAATATGCTTGTACGGGCGCAAGTTTAGGTACATCAGAAAACACCGAGACGAGCTATCGATGATGACGGGAAACTTGCCTCACTTTGTCAGGAACAGCCAGATAGTATACTAGTAATAAAAATCCCTGTTCGAACATATGGAACGACCGGCAGTGTTCGCTCTGATGCATTGGATCTAAGACTTGAAGGGTTGCTGGAAGGTCCAAGTCTTGATAGGCTGAGAACAATGTACACTGCACTGTATAGATGCCAGGTAGTCCTAGAATTGGACTTCATTCTGAATTTCTTTGGTGTCTTTGAAGGGAGATGGTTCTTTCAATATCAACATAGGAACAATTAGATATGCAGTCTTCGACACATTGATCATGTAGAAGGTCGGATTAAAGGTTCTCCACTTGTTACCAACTTTTAGGGATGGTCGGAAGACGCAGGGACAGGTTGCGCACCCAAGCATCTGATACTTACGAGGAAGCACTCTCTACCAAGATCACTGATCGTATTTTAGTCTCTTTGAGATGGCATACACCGTTTAAGCAGGAAGGCACACCACTAGAAGTGTAAAGTAGCCTGCTCATCCACTGCATGTCATGCATGTCTCAGTCTTCCTTCAGCCTCTCTGTCAATTTGAGTCGACTCAGTTAATCAGAAATCTGAACGATTGGCCGTGTGAGGCCCAAGTCCTTGGTCTTTTGTCTTGGATGACAACGCCCCACTTTACTTTACCGCAAATGGATACTCCACATGTGAATGACCAAGCTGCCAAGGGATATTCCTGGGATTTATTGGCTCGCTAGATACACACGTGACACTAATATCCACATCTGCAAGGCTAAGTCGCCAGCCTCGCCATTCCCAATCCGCTAACGCATTAGCTCAGAGCCAGCCTCGTGGTGTCTAGACCACGTATCCCGCCACGTCAACAGCAGCCAACCACCCATCCGCAATACCCAGCCATCGTATAATGAATCCTGAACGGCTGCGAGGCTGGTCCTCGCGCTTGCGGATAACTACATGTAGGCCTTGGAGTGCTCAACATTCTTGGTAGCATTCCATCAACCTTTGACAACCTCCCACTGCAACTAGAGCAAAAGAAACCCCAAGCTTCACCTACTACACAACACAGCTGGTTGACATTGCATTCCTGATACAGGATCCCGTCATTCTTTCTCCAGCAATATACACCCCTACACACCTATCCAAGATTGATTCCACGGCGCCGCAAACGTTTGTTTTCCCGTTGAGTTGGGGTTCTTTGCCGAGCATCGCGTCACCGCCTTTGTCGCCGCGACCGCTCTCTCCTCGCAGTCACCAGTCCGAACCGGTCCCCATCAGGAAACTCCCCGACAGCACTTCGCTCCTCTGTGGACCTCGACTCAGCCCGCCTCCTCCTGTTCGGTTTCGCACATTCACCTCTGCTGGACACGCACGCACCCAGAGCGAACCCTTTCCACCACCCGGCAACTCGGCCTCAATCGGCGGCCACTTTCGACCCCGGCCTCCCCCATCCCCCACGCAACCTCTAATCGATCAGCATCATGGTGCAAAGAAACTACGTGATTGCGATCATTGTGATCTGCCTCTTCGTTGTGCTGGCCATTGTGGGTTACGCCATCTACGCGATCCAGAACCGAGTCAGCCTGTTTGCGAAACGGGAGAAGGAGATAGAAGAGGGAGAAGAAGAGGAATGACGCTCTCGGAAACCCCGCGCGTCCGCAGGCGTGTACGTTTCCAACTTGATGACGATAATGATCTCGAAAAGAAAGTTTTGGCGAACAAAAGGTCGGTTTCTGGATTGCTCTATTCGGAAGATGAGCGGGATACTTGGTTTTGAAAAAAAAGTACAATGGCGTTCTAGCATGATACGATGAGCTCTTTTTGTTGGGCGCAGCACTCGACGGACGTGTCATGATATAACTATTTAAAGACAGCGAATGTAGATATGGTCAAGATTGAAGTAACAATATAATTTCCAAGGCGGATTGCCGTCTCCAGTTTTAAAGGTCTGAAATAATGCTGATATTTGCCTTTGGGTTTCTCCCGCTCTTTCGGCGTTCGTCCGCACTGGTCGGTGATTGTCCATTAGACAAGCCGTTCATGCCAATGCCTGGTTCGCTCTGCGTCTTCTTGAGTTCTCCAACTTTCACCACCGGTGTGCCTCCACCGGTGCCACCAGCTCCGTCGACAGATGTCAGAGCTTGAGGCATGCGACGGTTTTTGTCTTCCTTCACATGCGCTTTCCACTTATTGACCAACTTGTCAAAGTCCCATTTGTCGCCTTGCCTTGTATTGACATTCTCGCTTGGCATGGATGCCATGTCGTCAGGCGCGTCGGCTCTGGCTGATCCAGCGGGTGCCTTGTTTAGGCTCATCAACCGCAGTTCTTCGCGCATTGAAGACCCAAACGTTTTGCGCTCGGGCGGCCATAACGCCATTTCACGTGGCCATTGGCAGCGGGAGAGGTACTCTACCTGTTGCTGTAACTGATTTGCCTCTTGCTGTAATCTCTCAAGTTTCTCCTCCATCTCTTGCACTTTCTGCTGCTCGGTGTTGTACGCCCTTAGCAACTCCACCTGCCACAACAGGTTACGAATCTCTGTTGGATGTGCCATCCAATTTTGAAAGCTCGCCTCCAGATGTGAGAGGGTAGATTCGGTCCATTGCGTCGCACTTCGTGTTAGGAAGTCCGCTTCCTCGGCAATATTGGAAGTCGTGGGTTGCGCGAGGCGCAGGGTCTGCCATTTCCAGTGATCGATTGTCGAGGTTAGCATTTGACGTAGAGGCGCAAGTTGGTCAGGGCCAGGTGGGTTAATCGGAATGGATTGTGGCGTGGAGAAGGGAGAAGCTTGGAACAAGGTTGCGGGCGCAGGCAGGACCTTTAAGCAGAGTGAGGGAAACGTCTCGCTCTGCACATCAAATTTGAAGGGGGAAGGCTTGGGAGAGGCATGTTTAGTGGCTGCGCGGAGACAGTCGAGGACCTCGCGCAGAGCGAGTTCGAGAGCGCGAGTATTTTCGGCATTGGTAGTGTGGTTGAGGTCTTGGGCGTAGACGGAGAAGCTGCGCTTGGTTCCAGAAGGGCTGGATACCACGGCAGGAGTAGGGGGAGGAGCAATGGCGGTAGCGGCAGCAGTGACCGGCGAGTCGAGGGTGGTTGGATCTGTAATCACGCCCGTGGCCTGCCAATTGAGTCTGTTCAATCGTACGTGCATACCACCAGGAGGGAGGCGGTTGAGTTCGACCGCGGACGAGATGAGCGTGCCCGGCTGGGGACCTATACTGGGACCTGGCGATGCCTGTGATGATCGGGTACCTTCACGCTCATTCTTGTCCTTGTCCCGTTTGCTGCTCCTCGCAGTGCGGCGCGTGATACCTCCTCGTAGCCGTCGGATTTCCTCCACATCGTGGACTCCATCTGGTTTTTTCTTGGAGATAAACTGATCAAGATGGCGACCGAGAGAGGACGAAGTGAATTGCTGGTGACAGTATGGACATTCCTTGTCCTTGACCGCAGGCGCTTTTGTAGGCGGATGCGCCGCGTTCGGCTCTTCGGGCGATTCTGGCTCTTGTGATGCTTCGGATGCAGGAGATTCGGCCATTGTGCGTGGTCCAACGTCGCTGCGACATGTAAATGCAGGCCAGGAACGCCGCCTCTCAATCCGAAGAGAGGAAAATACAATAAGAAGGGATAGGGCAGGCGTCGTCTGTCAGTCGTTCGTCCGAGTTGCCCGAGTTTACGGACCTTCGGGATTAATGCTAGCCGGCAGGGTTTGGGTTTGTTAGGCAATAGAATTTCTAGAGAACGCGCACCGCCACAGCCTATGACGCTGACCAAGTCCATTTTGGGAAATCATGAAGAGTCGTTGTCAAGACTTACTACGGAGACCTCGTTGACGGCTCGACGGGTGTGATAGACCCTGGTAGGACAAGTACTATATTCAGCCTACTGTCACGTATCGTACATGTACATAACTTGGAGATCGCGGTCTAGCTTTGCACCAGACTCGTCAGGTTCTCATTTCTATCCGTCATAAAGGTCCGTTTTCCCTTTGTGCCAAAACATCGTGGGGTATGTCGTTGTTGTTACCAAAAAAAGGCTCAATTGCGTAATTCAAACAACGCTCCGACTTCAGACGAAACTGCCTCCTTCAGGACCAGAAGGTTTCCAACTCTGCCGTCGGCCAGCAGCTCTTAACCGTCGCTCTTCTCTTTCTCTTTTGCTCTGCTCCTCAAATCGTCTTCGGGTGGCTTCTGCCTCGATGCTGTCTAGCCGAACTGCATCGTAGCTGTGGGCATTATTCACTCTTGCGTCCTCGGAAACTTGAGTCCGGCGATCTTCTCCACCTATCCTGGGCAAACCACTGTCTTGATGCCGGATCGTGATGCTCGGCGGGCTCATCGATGAACTCTGGGAACGGTCTGACACTGCTGGTGTGGCTCTGGCCTGTGTCGGCCCGCCGCCCACCATCGTCCCTGGAATTGCTCGGTCGTCGTTGCTGTCCGTCGGAGGTGAACTCCTCGTGAGCAAAGGTGGGGGTTGATATATCCTCGGCGGACTTGGCCTTCTCCGGGTGCTTGCCGTCCCGGATGGTGGTGTCGAAGCTCGGATCGTCTCGGTCGACCGACTCGCGGTGTTCATCATCTGCCAACCATCAACCTCGTCAGAATATGACAGAGAATGTTGAGGAGGAGAAGGGTGTTGATAAGGATAGTAATCATCAACGCTTGAAGCAGAGCTGGACAGAGAATGGGTGGGAGAATGGGCATAAGGAAGGGGCTGAGATGGGCGCTCAGGCGAGCGAGACGATTCATGCTCAAGCAAAGCAACGTGAGAATCACCCTTGACAAGTCCCAATCTTTCCTCCTCGGATGCATTCTTCATGGCCCGTCTTTGTTCATGGCTGCTAGTCCGATGTGAGAGATTTGGTCGAGAAAGCACCGGGTCAATCTCGGGGGTGCGTGAACTTGGTCGAAGGAAGTTGGTGAAAGAGAATTGGCGCCTTGCTTCGTGAGGTGGCTTGAGTGCAGGGGAGGATGACGGTTTGGCGGGTAGGGGTTTGGACCGGGGCGAGGGTTGTGCTGCTATGCTGATCGCTCCTTCTTTCAAATGGCCTTGAGGGAGTCCATAAATCCGTTCTTGGGCATCTTCGAGGCTTCCTGGGCCATAGGGTATGATGGGTGACTCGGCTTTGGATGGAACGACCTTGATATCCGTCAAAGCAACGGGATGTATGGGGCTGCGTAGAGAATCTTGCGGCATGGTGGCATGGTGACGAGGACTGGGGTGACGAATCACGCTCTGAGCACGATTCCGAAGGGTTTCGAAGAATCCAGCTTCATCATGCTCGGCATCTTCTTGCTCTGGATCAGGAAAATGTGACATTCCCAGCGGTGGATGAACGGTCTTCCGTCGAACAACGGCGCCAGGTTCGCCAATTACCGTTTTCCGACGACGGAGTCCATCCCATTCCACAATTTCGTTCTCGCGAAGTGGCTCGAGTTGGTCTTTGAGTTTGTCTTCCCGCAGCCGTCTGGCTTCCTCCTGTTCCATTTTCTGCCGCGAGACGGAGATCCTTCTGATTAGAGCCGCAGTGCCGCGAATAGCATCGGCCTTGGGCTCCGTCTCTGGCTGCTCCACCTCCGCAATCTCCCTGACTTGATTGAGATCACCCTTGAAGACCGCGGCATCCGGAACATCTTTCGCAGATTTGGACATTTGTAGAAGTACGACGCCGGCACATATCTGGAGAAACCCCATGATCACGGTGGTGATGGACACGGCTGTGCCCTTAAAACCTCGAAAGAGGATGGCGGAAGTAATAATTGTGGCGCTGGTGAAGATGACATAATAGGTCGGAGTGACGAGAGCAGCATTGAAGATATTCAGGGCTTTCTGGAAGGTATTAGCACCGGATAGTGTCTGGGAAAGAGGCATACTTGCATTGAGGTAGATGATTTCAGTCAGAAGCGTCGCAATCACAAACACCAGTAGAACGTAAAGGAACCATTGGTTGAATTGGGACTTTCCACCCACTTGGGCAACGACCGCACTTCCCAGTCCCTGGGTCGCTACGACACTGAGGCCACCGATCAAGCTGCAGATGCTGAGGTAGACCAACATGCTTTTCTTGCCGTAGCGCGGCCCAGCCCACAAGGCGATGAATACGCATGCCACAATCACGACACCAGCATAGCTGAGGAAGCCTGGGGCGATGACAAAGTGCTGCATTTCTTGAATATCGGCGACAGCACTTTGCTCGGGGGCGTTGAGAACAATGACAATGCTGCCGACGATGCAATTAAAGCAGCCCACTTTGCCCACAAAACTCAGGCGCTCCTTGAGAAAGATGGCAGAAAGAATGGTTGTGACCACAACACTTAGCGCCCCCAGAGGGGTGACGAGGATGGCGTCGACGAATGCATAAGCAACAAAGTTACAGATTTCGCCCAGGATCATCAGCGTCATGCCTCCCCACCACCAAACATTTTTGAGGTAGCCGTAACCCTCACCAGCTTCCTCATTATATTTGGCGTTCGCCTTGAGAAGTCCGGTCTTTTTCATCACAAATGAGATACCGATGAACAAGCCCGAAGCGACAGCCAGACTGAGTCCGATTGCTTTGTAGACAGGCGGTCGGTTTGCTGCTGCGCCATTCGAATCGGTGGCGGTTGAATTGGTCGTCTCATTGCGGGCTATCAGGGTGTGAGCCACGGCCCATACCTGCGGAGGTACATCTTCCATGGTATGAATGTGTGCGGTTCGAACAACCGCGTGCGCGGGCTACCAACGTAGAATAGCGCTACGACGTCGAAGCCATGGACGCTGGTGAGTCCTGTCGTGAGGCTTGCGTGAGAAGGCAGAGGGTCTTTTTAAAAGCCACTTCGAAATGCTCGGTTTCAATAATATAGTCTTTCAATGTCCAGGTCGTTCCGGGGGTTTCGAATGCTTCTGTTAGCGGTGCGAGGGAGGAAGCGTTGGGTCCGGGCGTTCGAATGCGCAGACAGACTGGTGGGTAATATGTTGTTGATATGCTGGCTGAGAGGAATTGGGGGTTCGATTGCGTCCTTCAGGAGCGTTCGAGTCGAGTGGTCCGGAAAAGTTCCCGGAAGAGCAGAGGCTGCGATAAATGTGAGGTGGTGAAAGCGTTAGAAACTTACAGGAAAAGCATGGACAAGAAGACAGAGAAGGGGAACTTGGAACAGGTTGAAGATGTGACATGGGAAAGTAAGATCTACCAACCACTGACGCAGTTGTGGCTTGTATTAGCGCTTGGGGGGATTTGGCAACGGAGGAAAAAGGTTGGCTGGCACGGACCCACTGCCTGGGCTACCCTGGAACAGACCCTCCAAAAGCCATAGCAGGCTACCAGGGAAAAGCAGGGGAGGTCCGCTAGAAGGGCGACGTCTTGGACGTTTGGGGTCTGGGCCAGCCTTTTCGGGGGTTCGGAGGGGCGCCACTAGGCTACGCAGGGGCCCGTTGCTGGGGCTTCGGTGGCTCGTTATCGATACTCACCCGGGTCAGCTCAGCACCCAACCACTCCTTGTCAGCAGTGGCTTTAACTACGAGTAGATACTACTGTATGTACCAGGACGAGTACTTCGTACGAGTTACGTGGTGGTTACTCGAACATATGGACATCCCACTAAGTACAAGAGAGCGGCATTGAACATATCTTTTCTGCCACCACAATTTTCTTCTGCCTTTTCCGATTTCCAAAACGCTCCTTGTTTGTCGTCTCTCAGGCATATCATCCCAATCCAGCACTTATACCGCGTGGCGTGGCCTCCCTCACGACTTACGCGTCTCGTTCGACGTGGATCACATCCAAAACTTCGCCAGTCACGGATTTGCGGCCGAACATTTCTTGTCACTGGTCATGACCCGTCGTCGCACTGTTCTGTGATGCTGAAATAGTCGCGAGTGGAAAAACTCTCCTTTCTCCATGAACATCCACCTGTTTCAGACGTGCGTTCTCCTGTGTCTCAGATGGTTGAGCCCTGCAGACTGCTGAGGCTGTCGGACCCCTGAAACCGACTGAGCCGTGAACGAGGCTACGCAGTAGTCTTTATCATGGTCTTGTTCCCAGCAAGCAGTCAGTCGTCAGGTGACTCGGGTCAAGGTCCAAGGATTTGACACTCTTGACATGTCTTGCTGAGTATATCGTGGTTCTTTTATTACCGAAACTCATTATCTTCCCCGCATCCTCGATATGCTGTTGGGCGGAGAAATCCCACAACTGGTATCTCTACCTCGTCAACTCGTATACCTCAGCAGCAACCAGCAGCAACCCAGAGGGCAATTGGTTTGATATGACATTGCGGACTTGGTCGTTCCATGACCTGATAAGGCGCCCCTAGACACCTCCCCCATGGTGCCCTCCTCCGCCGTCTTCGCATGGCTCTCGTGCCAAGTAATTGTTAATACCGCCGTCCAACAATACTCTGCAGGGTCTATCATTCTCGCCCCGTTTTCAGCAAATCAAGACCTCGTGTCGATGACTCTCGGTAGGGTCTACCTGGTCTATCGAGGGGCTTGCTTAGTCGAACTGTGTGCATCATCGTGGGTGATGGCCATTGGCGACAGCAACGCCACCAGACGTCAAATCCGATAGTAAACCACTGATAAGGTCGGCAGAGGCAGTCGAGCTCTGTTAAGCTCCTGTCAAGCAGCCCACTTATCATTCGACAGCAGGGATTTGACCTCAGAGCGGCCTTCTCCCGGACGTCTCTGCGTTCGCGACACCCTGCCATCGTTACACACCTGCCAGTTCGAGAAATTGACCACCCTAACATGCTGCTGGCAGACTTCCCCATACCCACCAGTCATCGCAAAGAGTGCCGCTCCCAGGACCTTGGTTCACCCGGTGAAGGCAAGCTTATCACGCGTGCCTCGCTAAAATAACATCAGAACCGAACGAGACTTGGATGGGAAAGGTAATAAAGCCCTGCTCATGTCCCTTTTCCATGCGAATCTCATCCCAAGCTCGGTCCTTACCACATTTCATCGAAACTCGAGCTTCTCTTCGACATGAGTGCCCCTCGCAAGCTTTCAGTGACCGTCGTCGACGAGAACGCTGTTGGCGTAACATCCGTCCTCGCCAAACGTGGCACCCATGCTGTCTTGGAAGAAGGCGCCAGTCATGACGAGGTTACTTTGGGTGCTTTGGGATATAAACAAGAATTCAAGAGGTCAGTGTCTGGCCCCAGTCGTCTCATGCTAGCTGCCATGCTGACCAAACACCAGAGATTTCACGATCTGGGAATCGTTTTCAGTGTCGTTCTCCGTCCTAGGCCTTTTGCCTTCGATTGCGTCCACGATTGGTTACAGCTTGGGTTATTCGGGAACGGGCGGTGCCATTTGGGGGTGGCTCATTGCTGCGCTTTTTATTCAAGCCACCGCCTACACCATGGCCGAATTATGTTCAAGCATGCCTACCGCCGGTGGTCTTTACTACGCTTCCGCCGTTCTTGCTCCTGAGGGATGGGGACCGTTAGCGTCCTGGTTTGTTGGATGGTCCAATTTCTGCGGCTTCGTTACCGGGCCATGCTCCGTGAACTATGCTCTGGCTTCCATGCTCGTCACTTGTGGAATGATTGCTTATCCCGGCTACGAGCCGGAGACCTGGCACATATACCTCACATTGCTCGCTATCCTGGTCATTAATGGTCTCATCACAATGCAGTCGACCTGGTTCATCGGCTGGGTCAATAAGATTGGGACGATATGGAACCTCATTGTCATACTAATTTTTGTCATCTGGTTCCCAGTGGGTTCGATCAATCACCCAAAGACCAATCACAGTCACTATGTATGGACCAGTTTCCCCAACGGCACTGAGTGGCCGATCGGCTGGTCCACCATCATGGGGTTTCTCACCACCATCTGGACTCTGTCAGGGTATGATGCACCCTTCCACCTGTCGGAGGAATGCAGCAATGCCAACATTGCTTCCCCCCGAGCCATTGCCATGACCGCTCAATCGGGCCTGGTCTTGGGCTTTGCCATCATGTTGATCATCGTGTATACTGTCACCGACATAACCGATGTCGTGGCGGGTCAGTATGGGCAGCCGTTTGGTAGCCTGTGTCTGCAGGTTTTGGGTCAAAAAGCGGGCCTTGCCATGTTCTCCCTCAACATCATTGCTCAGTTCTTTGTCGGGGTCGGTTGTACCGTCACAGCGACTCGTGTGATATTCGCTTATTCTCGCGACGGCGCCATCGTGGGATCTCGGTGGTGGAGTCAGATCCATCCAAGAACCAGGACACCGGTTTACGCAACCTGGGGTGTTCTGTTGGTCGCGGCTCTGCTCGGGCTATTGATGTTTGCCAGCCCTGTCGCCATCGGTGCCGTGTTCAGCATTGGTGCCATCGCGCAGTATACGGCATTCACGACGCCTGTGGCATTGAAGTTGTTCTTCGATAATGGCAGATTCAAACCAGGTAAGTCAGGAGCACTCAACTTCGCTTGGCTATGGCTAAATCCAAATTTCGCAGGCCCTTGGAACCTCGGGAAATACTCGAAGCCCTTAGGAGCAGTTGCCTTTGGTTGGTGGTTGTTGATTGTTCCGGCGCTGTGCTTCCCTGCGGTCAAGGGCAAAGACCTGACTCCACTGACGATGAACTGGACATGTCTCATCTATGGGGGCTCGATGTTTTTGGCCATGTCATGGTACGCGATCAACGGCCGAAAATGGTTCAAAGGGCCTCGTATCAATGTGCATTACACAGCAGGAGGAACGGAGATTCTCGATGGCGAATCTGCACACAGCAGTGAGGGAAAGCAGAAGGGAATTGAAGCAGCAGAGATCAAGTCGGAGGTGTAGGCAGTGGTTTCACCAAGGTTGCCAGAGGCCAGTAATGTTTACTGCGTTTTCCATATTCCACCAGCTGCTACCAAGTACAATAACAGAATGAATTTGTCAGAATTTGTAGAAAATTGTGCCTGATCAGCAGCAGCAGGAGTAGGAGTAGGGGGACAGTAGCAAGTCACGCGGGTCGCCTACCTTTGTAGCCGACCAGCCAGTCACTGCCCCGTTAAAACCTGCAGAGGGCCGTAGTTTCCGCTTGTGGTCCCGATCTCTGGTACTCGGTACTCGTACTTGTCCCTGCGCAGCTCTGACTGGTTCCCCTCGCATTCACCACTCACCCCCAACCACAAAGTTTTAGCTACAATGAATAATGCCTCAAGTCCCAAACCTGAATCCAAACACCTTTCATCCATGGTTCCTTTGTCGCCAAGTCGAACACGGTCGATCCTCTCTCCGAGACCCCGATAGAATTCCTCGTGCACAATTCTACTGTACCACCTGTTCGCTAGCCGTTTGACAATTCAAAGGGCGGCCTAACCACTCTCAAGGACGGCGCCATGGCATTACGACAATGACAATAATGCCACTGATGTCTAGCATCCTATCGCAGCGGCTGATCATCCTCTGCGATTCAAGTTCCCCCACCTCTTGATATTGCCCAGGCTTTTCCATTCGCCTGCCCTTTTCCCCTGAACTTCCGAACCAAACCCTCAATATCTGCTTGTTCTAGTCTTTTCCCGCAAGCAAGACCTTCTGCAAGAAGCATGCCGGATTCACTACTCTGGATTAACAAGGACAGTGGGTCGACAGTTCTGTCGCGCAGTTCCAAGGCCGAAACTCGACAGATTCGAAAACATGTCCAGCACGAAAGACAACTCAGAGCCAAAGCCGCTCATGACGCGGCTGCTAAGTCGACCCCTTCAGCAGAAAATAACCCCAAGAGAATCAAAGGAAAGGATCAAGTTGAGGCTGAACAGACACCAGTTGCGCCAGGACAGCCAGATCTTCGCCTGGATACAAATGTGCAAGTTCAAAGTCCTGATTACCCGCGTTCGCTCTTCCCAGCGTCTTTATCACCAACTGTCAGGTCCCCCATGACCCCTTCGACCCGAATCTTGCAGGCCGTAAGCACTTTCCCGGGACTTGAGCCCCAGGAGTTGCGCAGCTTGGTTTTCTTCTGCCAGAGAACCGCGCCCGAGTGGTCCGGTTGGAGAGACGCAATATTCTGGAACAAGCTTATCCTTCAGGCATGTCACATGAATCGCTCTATTCTCCATGGAGTAGTCGCCCTCGGCGCACTTCATGAATCGTCCGAGGTGGACGGAGAGTCAGATGAACGCTCGAATTTGCAAGAGTTGGCTCTCCACCAGAGCAGCAAGGCTTCTCGAATAGCGTATGAAACCGCAATGTCTGATATCGCCACTCTAATCTCGTGTGTCATCTTTATATGTCTACAAAATCTCCAGGACAGCCACACCGCCTATCAACTACTGAAGTCGGGACATAGCTTGATTACCGACATTGACAAAAGACTAGGAACCGGTGATCTCAGCCTTTCTGACAGCGAAAAGACGGTCCTGAACAACTTCCTTCGCCCCATCATTGAGCGTCTGCGCATGAGGTTCTGCAGTATCGTCGACATCCCTTCTGCCTTGGCCCTCAGTGCCTCCATCAAACTGAGCAAGGTGGAACATCGCTTGACGCTGCCAGAAATCCCCTACTGCTTTGGAAATCTCCTCGAGGCGCGCAACAAGCTTGAAGAAATTGTGGAGTGGGCGCAAGAGAATATAGATCCGTCGTTCGCGCCCAGTGAACAGCGGTCACAGGTGCAGGCTTTGCTGGCAAGCTGGAATGCCGCTCTCGAAGACACAAGGATCACTGCGCTTGAGCGATATGATGCTCTGGTCACTTCGAAGAAGCTCCTAAGAGCCGCCGCACTGGTCGCCTCGATCCTGTTCGATACTCTGGGGACGAGTGAGGAATGCAGCTATGATCGCCACCTTGACAAATTCGCGGAGATTGTTGATCTTTACACTGAGGCCATCGGCAACCCTGCTAGAGCTTTTAGAAGAACCTCGTTCGGAATCGACTCTGGGGTGATCGATACCTTGGCCTTTGTTGCTGGAAGATGCCGCGATCCAGTTGTTCGGAGAGCTGCCGTCCACTTACTAGCCCAAACAAACAGGACTGAAGGTGACCTTCAAGGCTGTACAGGTAGCACCATCTTGGAGACACTCATGGAGCTGGAGGAGGATGGTGTCGTTGCGACGGAAGCAAGCCAGATTCCAGAATCCCAAAGGTTACGCATCTGGGAGGACCACCAATACTGGGATACTGGCAAGATTCAAATTTTCTTCGTCAAGTGGCCTTACGACCCCTCACTGGGTGCTGAAATCAAGACGGCTTCAGTCTACCTGCCGTTGAAGGCGCTGAGGACGGCAAAGGAAAAGGCGACTCCTGGCAGCCCGACAGGATTGCCCAATGTCAAGTATGGTCGGGGGGTCGGCGCGTTTCTGGAAGAAGGCACCCAAACCTACCATCATATCACATTGTCTTCCTTTTTCATGCCGATGCCGAGGCTCTGAAGCTCTAGCAGTTGCTGTGGAAAGTCTGAAGCACACGGAGGAGACAGTTCGCCTCCGTCCTTCTGCTAGCTATCCAGACTGGGTCTCCTCCAGGAATTGACTAGAATGCAAGCCCAGCAGCCGAGTGACGCCGGGTATGCACAATGTCAGTTTCAGTAGAGCACCAGTTGATGACGACTGCGTATTCCGCTAGCTCACCATTTGTCGCTAACTAACCCTAGTCCCCCCCGTGGGAAAAGGATGAGTGTCGCGGGGAACGGATATACAAGCATCAAGCCAGCTACTTACCTGGGAATAGCTGCGAGATCTACTGGAATTTGCCGATTGGTGTACCTCTTGGCTACGACCGTCCCATGAGATCAGTGCTCCACCTCGTTGTCGTGAGGTGTTTTTGGTCAACGCCAGACGATCGCACGGTATTCATGAGGAAACCCCAGCACTGACTGGAAGTGGGCCCCTTTCTGACACCAGAATCTAGGCGATATCTAAGCGATGCATAAAGAGCTACCTGGAGGAACTACCGCATAGCGTAGCACCAAAAGCCAACTCAGAACCATCGGCACCGAAAAGCGAACTCGACCACATGCTTACGCATGTAGGACAGCTGATGTTGGCGCCCAGCCCAATATAAATACCAAGTTGATTGGAAAGATATCTCCCAAGGGTTTGTCAATTTCTCCCAAGACTCGATATGTCGTCTAAGTCTGGGTATCTGCCTTCGTATCAAGCTGGCGAAGTCGAAAAGCATGAGGCAAATTGGCGCGACATCCCCGATGCTAATCGCAACTTTACGAAAGCCGAGGTAGTCATTGTTGGTGGAGGAATATCTGGAATGTGCATGGCAATCGATCTTTTGGTCAACCAGAGGGCCAAGAACATAATACTCCTGGAGAAGGGAGGCGGTCTCGGCGGAACTTGGTAGGTACCTCAACAACCACACCACGGATGATATTAATGAAAGCTAGGAGAGATAACAGATATCCTGGTTGCCGTTGTGATGTCTTCAGCGTGCTTTACTCCTACTCCTTTGCACAGAACCCCCGATGGTCTCATCGTTATCCGGGCCAGGAAGAGATTCTGGTTAGTTCTTTCTCCTCGTATGTGCTTGTATACTGAGGGTGACCAGGACTACCTGACCAGCGTCGCTCAAAAATATGGACTTTATAAGTATACTCGGTTCCACACAACTGTCGAGGCTGCCAACTGGAATGACAGAAGCCTCAAGTGGGAAATAACGGTGACGGTTGGCGAGGGGAAAGAATCCGAGTTCACCCCTACCTATCAAATCACCAGTGACTTCTTGGTGGCGGCGACTGGCCAACTTAACAATCCCAAAGGAATTGATACTCCCGGATACAGCGATTTTCAGGGGAAGATCATGCATTCCGCCAGATGGGACTGGAGCTATGACCTGAAGGGAAAGAGAATTGCTGTCATTGGGACCGGTAAGATGCATTGCTCTGATTCTTCCTCCTCTGACTGACACGTCACAGGTGCTACGTCTGCACAGATTGCTCCAGAAATCGCAAGACTGGCATCTGAGCTTACCATCTGTCAGAGGACACCCGCTTGGGTTATTCCACGCCACGATGAGAAAATTCCCCACTGGCAGCGAACCCTACATACATATCTTCCTCCAGCACGCTGGCGAGCACGGGCGGAGGCCATGGACTTTCGGGAATCTTTTCACTCCGCAGTCACCCAAGCTGACTCGGCTTATGCCGATCTCATGAGATCTATGAACTACAATCTTTTGAGGGAACAGCTGCCTAATCGTCCTGACCTTTGGGATAAATTGTCCCCTGGATACCATCCTGGATGCAAGAGGACTGTGATCAGTGACGACTACTACCCTACTTTTTTGAGGCAAAATGTCAAACTGGAGACCGACAAGATCGAACGATTTACACGAGACGGAATCAAGTTCCAAGGCCATGACTCGGCAGAAAAGTTCGACTTGATTGTGCTGGCGACTGGATTTGATACATTCTCATTCTTGTCACCCATTAGCATCACCGGGCGCAACCGCAGGCGGCTGGACGATATCTGGGCGAAAGCGACTTATGCTTACAAAGGCGTGACGGTGCCAGATCTTCCGAATTTTGGCATGCTGTACGGGCCAAACACAAATCTCTCCCATAACTCTTTGATACTGGTTATCGAAGCGCAGACAAAGTACATCTCAGTCCTTGTCAATAAGGTCCTGCAGGCTAGACGCACAGGTGGCAGACTGGCATTGTGTCCATCGGAAGAGAAGACTCTGAGCTATTGGCTCGACCTGCAAAAAGCGCTGCAACAGACATCGTTCGCTGACCCGAATTGTAACAGCTGGTGGAAAAGAGCCGACGGTCTCATCACGAACAACTGGGCGGGAACAGCCATTGATTACCAGAAAAATTTGGCAACAGTAGAGTGGACAGACTATGATGCGTTCGGAATGGGAGGCTCTGAGGTTGCCATGTTCGGGACAGCCGATAAAGCCACCAAGATCCGAAGGGTTGTGGAGGAGACCAGACTGAGCAGGACTTCTTTGGCGCTTCTCCTTGTGGGTATTGTTGGATTTATCTTGCAGAGTATCGCTTGGACAGCGTGGAAATAACGAGGAGGTACTACAAGTGCCTATGTCAAGATGATACTCTTCGTTTCGAAAATCGTGGCCTGGATGTCGAGGAGCTGTGTCTTCGAGACTGCGAGAGTATTCTCAGCCGGTCAGCCTCAATGCTTGTTACATCTGGTATTTTGATAAGCTCAAGAATTTGTATCGTCCGAGGCTTGTTGACTATCGAGAGGGTGTGTTTCCTGCTGTAGTCGCTCATGCTTAGTTCATATTAAATGAAGCTGGACATCAGAGCCAAAGGTGGGCCTACCGGGTGATATAGGTGCGCAATCCAATCCACTGCGCCCAGATCATCGAAAATATGCGTAAAATCTGTGTTCGTTTCTTCAGTCCAGCTATCTTGTATCCCGTCCTGCAGAGGCATTTGTTCGACCCCCCGTGAGACACTGTGGGCGTCGTCACCATAAACTGATCCGTGCGTCGACAGGCGGCGGCATGTTTCTTGCCGCAACTCCTCCAAAACAATGGCATACCTTGTCCCTGGTGAGTTCCCCCTAGCAGCCGCTGCGAGCCTCTGCTGACAGCTCTCTGCCATGGCGAACCAGTCTCTCTCCTTGCCAGAAGCGAGGAACGATGACTGAAAACCTGTCCCGTCCGAAGCAAAGGCTGTTGGGGTGGAGACCAACTTCTGGCGCTGCTGTATCGTGTAGATGTAGATGACTGCCACAGCACAGAACGAGATATACTGTGTGAACCACCAGGAATGGAAAGCAATGCCATTACCATCGAAACTTTCCAGAACATCCACCACGCTGCGAGCAGCGACAACACAGTCGTAAACGTAGCGGACAGCTTGTTGCGTCAAATGCGGTGGGTTGGAGGTGGTTGCAAAATTGTTCAAAAGAAACGGCCTGTTGGCGTGAATAGCGGCGTGGGCGTGTGCCAGGAGAAGAGTAACCGACTGTCGTTGAAACTTGGGGATCAGACTCGAGGCTGGAATCATACCGAGGAATGGCGGCAGCTCTCCTTTCCATGCTGCAAGGTCTGCAGAGATACGTTGGGCTTGTGAGAGTCTTTCGTCTTGACCTATTCGTCGCAGAGGGTATACTTGGGCAGAGCTTTGGGCACTGATCCGGGCAAGCCTGAACTCGGATTTAGCAATTCCATCACTCAACAACGAAGGTTGAGGGAGAAGATACTTGATATGCATGATGGGTGCGTCCATGTCACAGTCAAAATGACCTCCTCTGGGCTTCATGCCTTCAAACGTCAACTCATCATCATGTACTCTTGCTGGAAAGTCCTGATCAGCATCAAAATCTTGGAGAGTCCGTGGGCGGCCACCCATGACGCTGAGATATCGATCTAGAACATAGGCAACCCAAAATGCTCGCTTGCGACACTCATGCTCGATGGCTCCGATTTCCGATCTATAGCCTCCTGGCCGCTTACGGCGATGAAGGCCCAAGGTGATGATTAATGCGACCGTGGCCCCGAATTTCGAGTAGACTTCGTTTGCATGTCGAGTGGATAAGAGGTGCAGACATTCGACAAGCCTCGCCTGAACCGAGTCCAGGTTGGGTGCACCACATTCTCGCTGAAAGCGTCTTTGCCCAGCCTCGAGGAGCAATTCACTGTCGTCAATCTAAGAGTCAGCGATGTGGCCATAACAAATGTGGCTACATGAAAGCACCTTTGTCTGTAGTCTCGGGAAACGCTGTCGACGCCACAATCGGAGGTAGCCACCGCAAAAATCATCAACAAGAGCGTGACTTGGCTTTGAGATATAGTGCTGTGAGCAGTATGTGGCTCACTTGGCTGTTGATACAGCGTATCGACCAGGTTCGTGACTGTACCCTTGTGGAGGAACCGGAAGAAAGGCGTGGCGATTTCAAAATATCTCTCGACCAGGTCATAGGCCTGAGACTTTGACGGCATGCGGAAACGCTCGTCTGCGAGGCGCATTTCATTGCCGTCGGTCACCAAAAGAGGCTCCTCAGCCGATATCTCTTTTTCCAGAGTCTTTGATATGCTTGAAGCGTGGTTCTCCCGGAGGCGTTTCCAGGCTCTTTCCAGGAAGGTGATCGGAGAAGAAGGTCCATGATACTGGCCGCCAATATTCGTACTGGGAACTGGAGAGTTCCGTGATGAGACATGTGCCGCGTGTCCAGAACCAGAGTGCTCATTGGAGTTGTCCGCATGTTGACGGGACTGTGTTGAAATGATCGAGCCTCGACTCAGTATGGAAGGGATATCATCCAATTCATCCTGTAAACCAGCGCAGGCCTCGCCCTGAGCAGCCACTGAAGCCGTTGGTACTGTGGGTAGGCGACCCCTGGTGTAGCTGGCAAAATAGCCACAGGAAAGGTGTAGGTGTCTGCAACGGACACATGGTTGATCTCCCGAGCAGCGTGTCCTCTTTCTGTCCCTACGTGTCAGCAGCGAAATGTGGCAACGTAAACACCGTTGACAGCTCACTGTTTGCAAGCATCGCACGCTCGGCTGACCTTGGTTCTTCTGGCCTTGACACTGCCGCCGTTTCTGCTTCCCGTCATCCCCATCGAGCTTCGCCTCACACAGGAATTCTGGTGCTCAGGCCTGCATTTGTCACCAAGAAAGATTGGCGCTTCCTGCAAGTTAGTACCGAAACCGGTAGTGCCAATCTCAAAGCTGTAGGGGGCGGGGGACATAGCGTCATTTACTCCAGAAGCCGGGATCAGGTTCTGTAGCGAAGGGGCAGGTGGTAGCATGAATCGACCCGGTGGTCTCTCAGTGTCCATTTGGGCAGGCTCATTTGCATAGAGGAAGAATTGGCTCGACGCGGATATGTGATGGAAAACATTCCAGGCTCACGGAAAACATTTTTGTCGGCGGAGAATAATCTTTAGCCTGCTATTGACATTAGCCCTGGTATCCAAGGGCGAATGGGGTAAAACGACCTTCGGATTTCTCACCAAATCCCATCCGGCGATATTCCGTTGGAGCAGTTTTCCGCCGTTCAAGGGGAACTCTCAGACTCAGATCGTTCTTGGACGCGGCTTAGATATGAATGCTGGATGATGGAGTAGAAGTCCTAGGTTGCAAATAATGAAGCTGCTCAACCGAATCCATAGCACTCCAAGCACTTCTCGATACGAGCTGAGTCCGACCACCACCACTTCATCAGTCTTCTTAATATTGCTCCGTCAATGAGCTCTGCATGCCAGATTGATCCTTGACACGGAACAGAGCAACATGGGCCCCCTTGGCATCTCCTTTCCAACTTTCAGCGACCTGTCTGTCGGTCAAGCCGCCCACTACATTGCAGTTTTGACGCTCTTTGTCCCATTGTTATACCTGGTCATCAACGAATTGATCCGCTACTCTGTGAGGCTCCCCGGTATACCTGGACCGGTCGGTCTGCCGCTTGTAGGAAATCTGTGGTCTATCCGGAAGAATGCTGCAGAGCAATATCGGATCTGGTCCAAGAGATACGGAGCCGTATATCAAGTGTCACTTGGAAATGTGCCTATAATTGTTGTCAACTCTGCGGAATCAGGAAGAGGCCTCTTTGGTCAACACACTTCCGCGTTGAGCTCAAGACCAGAGTTCTATACTTTTCACAAAGTGCGTGTGCGAGGCATATCGTCTTGGGTGGGCCGAGAGCTGATATAGGAGAAGGTCCTCACGGGCGCAGCAACCACTGTTGGTACCACTCCATACAGTGACAGCCTGAAAAGACGCCGGAAAGTGACAGCGACAGCACTTAATCGCCCTTCTGCCCAAAGATACGTCGCTCACCTCGACCTCGAGACGAGGGAGTTCTGCAAAGACTTACTTGTCGAGGGTCAATGGGGCAAGAAGGCATTTGATTGCTATCCAAGTGCACAACGTCTCAGCTTGAGTCTAGCATTAACCACCAACTGGGGTATTCGAATGGAATCTCGCGATGACAGGCTGTTCAACGAGGTAATTGAAGTGGAGGACCAGGTAAGTCGTTTCAGGAGCGTTACTGGGAACTTACAAGATTATATTCCGCTCCTGAGGCTCAAACCGTTCAATCAAACCGTGATGAAAGCTAAATCTACACGCCGTCGACAAGATGCCTACCTCGATCAGCTGAATCGAGGTCTTCTCGACCGTATGGAAAAGGGGATTCAGAGCCCCTGCATTCAAGAAACGATCATTAATGACCCGGACGTCCGACTCAACGAAGAAGAAGTCACCAGCATAAACCTGACTATGATATCTGGCGGTCTCGACACGGTCACTACAGCCGTTGCTTGGCTTATAGCGGTTTTGGCTAAACGCCCTGATATTCAAGAAGCTGCTCATGAGGCAATTCAAGAGCTGCATGGTGCTGGTAGTCCCCTCTGCGACGCCAATGATGACCAAAAGATCCCTTACATTGTGGCGCTGGTGAAGGAAGGGTTGAGGATGTATACCGTCCTCAGACTCAATTTGCCACGGACTTCTATCAAAGATATCACTTACGATGGCATGATTTTTCCTAAGGGAACAACCTTCTTTTTGAATGCTCATGCCTGCAATATGGGTAGGACATCTTTTCCTTTCCATCTCATGCCCCCGGCTGACAGAATCGCTGAAGATCCCAAATTATGGCACGATCCTGAGGTCTTCCGACCAAGTCGCTGGCTAGAACAACCAGATGCACCTCTGTTCACATATGGTGTTGGCTATCGTATGTGTGCTGGGTTCTTGCTCGCCAACCGTGAGCTCTATCTCATTGTTATGCGACTTATTTGCTGTTTCAAAATTGGGCTTGAAGGTGATGTGGACCTTGACCCGGTTCGTGGTACGGCCGATCCATCCAAGCTGGTCGCACAGCCTCATCGTTTCCGCGCAACATTTGTTCCAAGGGATGCGGAACTACTCCGGAAGGTGCTGGGAGAGACTTCCTCGATTCAATGAGGAAAGGAAGATGTCTGAATCAACAACTTTGGTGGAGAGGATAGATAGAGGTGTGAGGATCTACCGCTGTATTCCTGCCAGATGGTATATTCATTTCAAGAGACGGTCTTGTCACCGACTCCCATCCATGTCATTCTCGATTCAGACCAAGAGCCCCGACCGACATGACCCCAGAATGGCTGCAGTCGATCTCCACTCTGGGGGAAATAGTTGGATGGGGTACACTCGCACCAATCAAACACAAATCCGCGTCCGTTGAAAATGTCGGAAAAGGCATTGCTTTTCCAGCCGCACGTCAATCAGCAAATCCTAAAATCCAGAGTTGGATTACGACCAGGATAATGCCCGATCACCATCCCAGATTCCCTGTGGTATGATCCTAGGACCGGGATGAACGGAGAACCACCCCGGCGGGTGTTATGGTTGTTCTCTGCTACTACCTACCGTGTGAGGGTATAATGCATTGCCGATGGAATCCCTCTGCAGGTGTCATGCATTCCATCGGTCTACCCACAGGTTCGAATCGTTCTAGACTTGGAATATATTGACAGCGGTTCCCAGTGTCCAATTCCCGCTCCGGGTCACTTCTTGTGTTTTGCGGGAACTCATCCGTCAACCTCTTTGCAATTGCGAGACCGCCGACAGCATGGCTTCTATCCTTAAAAAGATCATTCGCAATGACGCTATGAAGGAAGATCCCGTCGAGATCTATGGATGGAGATCTTTCGTGCTGACCTTGACAGTATGTGCCATTTATTATAACCGAGTTCCAAGGCTGCATTCTCTTGCAATTCACGTTCTGAAGGGCGCAGGCACTGACTTCATTCTTCGCAGGCATGTATGTCCGGCATGCTCTTTGGTATGGACACGGGTATCATTGGCGGTGTCATCGTTCTCCCTGCTTTCACAAAGTTGGTTGGCTCAATCCTCCGTGGGAACAAAGCAATTGACAAGGCCGTAGGAAGTATCATTTTGATGGCCTCAGCAAAAACGATGCCGCAACCCTCTCGGCCAACATTGTCTCGTTCCTCCAGCTCGGGTGCGCATTCGGGGCTTTACTTGCATACCCTTTCGCCGACCGATATGGACGACGTGCTTCCTTGATGGGTTCTGCCTTCATCGGCCTGGTGGGAATTGTCATGCAATTTGCCGCCTCGGGTTACTTAGGGTGTATGTATACAGCTCGGTACGTCTCACACCAACGACACTCGGATAGATATCATCATCTGACCACCATGTAGGCTTATTGCTGGCCTCGGAGCAGGAGCGTGCTCAATGATTGCTCCTCTTTATGTCTCCGAGAACGCTCCTCGGGCTCTCCGGGGTGCGCTTACTGGAACCTTTCAGTTCTTCAACACTTTTGGTGTGATGCTTGCATTTTGGATCGACTATGGTGCCGAACTCCACCTTACCGGCTCCAGCTCCTACATAGTTCCTTTGGCAACACAAGGAATACCGGCGATCCTTTTGATCGTTGGCATGTTCTTCATGAATGAATCCCCTCGCCATCTCGCCAAGCAGGACGAATGGGAAAAGGCCAAAAAGGTCTTGTCCTTGGTTCGGAATCTTCCCGAGGACCATCCCTACCTGCAGAGCGAGTTTCAAGACATTGCCATCCAACTTGAGCGCGAACGCCTCTTGATCAACGGCGCAGGCTGGCGAGCTCTACAACGTGAGATGTGGACGATACCTGGCAACAGGAAACGAGCCTTGATCAGCTTTGTCCTCATGATGTTCCAGAATTTGACCGGTTCAAATGCGATCAATTATTACGGTGAGGCCTATGGGCTTATGGCTGTTTGGTCGTGTTAGGATCTGACTGGTTGTTTTCTAGCACCCACAATCTTCAAGAACATAGGGATCACAGGGACTTCAGTGAGCCTTCTAGCGACCGGCATTTACGGAATTGTGAAGATGTGCTCGTGTGCCACCTATCTGATATTTTTTGCCGATTCGCTGGGGCGACGACGATCTCTCCTCTGGACTGCGATTGCCATTGCCTGTGACATGATGTACATTGGACTCTACGTTCGCATCTCGCCGCCCAAACCTGGTGTGCCGATCTCGGGTGCCGGATACTTTGCCCTTGTGTGTATTTACTTGTTTGCAGTCTTCTTCCAAATGGGGTGGGGGGCGACACCCTGGATATATGTGTCTGAAATCCCCAGCGCACGATTGCGTTCTATGAATGTGTCCATCGCAGCATCCTCCCAGTGGCTCTGGAACTTTGTCATTGCAAGAGCCGTGCCAAATATGTTGGTGAACATGGGGAGTAATGGTTATGGGTGAGTCTATTGTCAAAACATCGAAGGAAACCCACCAATATTACCCAGTCGCTGACGTGTGGATGCAGAACCTACATATTCTTTAGCGTTTGCTGCCTTTGTTCATTTGTGTTTGTGTGGTTCTTTGTTCCAGACACCAAAGGTGCGTACATGGAAGAAGTAGGAAAGACTGTATCCATCTAACCCTTTGATAGGGATGTCTCTGGAACAGATGGATGACTTGTTCGGAGTGACCGAGCTCGTCCATCAGAAGGTCGGAGGTGAGTCCGCCATAACCCATGATGGGGAGACGAAAAGCATCCATGGGGTCGAGACTCTTGTGGAAAATGTTGGCAAGGTGTAATTGAAGCAGACAGAGTCGGGCATGGTAGGAGGAGGGAATGGCGGCAGGATCTGGGATGGTCTCTGGACGACAATCAGTGCTCTCTGCTAAGCAGTCCTGTGAAAAGTTCTTCTCGTGCCTAATTCAGGTAGTACTTAACAAGCTCCCCGACCGTGTATATACCTAGGTGGATTTGTGCCTTCCTAGAATCCGTGCATTCAGAGTACCTGATTCATTTATCGCTACCACATCTTCACCTCCACCAGGCCCCACTAAGAAAGCCTGGAAAGTACTCCGCCAAAAGCGTTTGGGGAAGTGGAGTGAGATCTGAAGGAGCAGCAATGCTCTGTCTCCAATAGGCGAATGTGGGGTTGAGGATCTCAAGGAGTGACTTGGAGGGCCCCATTTGGAGCAGGTATACTTGTAATGCATTAGTGGTAGACATTCAAAAGGCAACGGGGGGTGGCTTTTCGATGCGGTACAGAGGTCGGACATCATCGTGTACTGACTTCTGCGTGAATCAGCCATGGGTTCGGGAGACGCCAAATTTCCAATCCGATACAATGATCCTGAATATCAACAAATTCACCGCAACCTCTTTTCACATTCTCTTCTATGCCCCCTCGAGGATGTCCTTCCACCCGGTGTCAATCAGCAGCAGTTTGATTGTGCGGTTGCCGAGTTCGGAGAAGCGGTCGGGGAGGACAATGTCTTCAAAGGACAGGCGCTGGAAGAGTATGTAGATCCTTACGAATTGTGGGAGGATGAAGGTAAAAGGAAAATGCCGAGTGCGGCGGTATGGTGAGTGTCGCCATGGAAAAGCGAATGCAGCTCTCACTGAAAATTCAGTCCTTGTTCCATCGATGAGCTCCGGATAGTCTTGAAAGTCGCCAACAAATTTGGTATTCCTGTCTGGACCTTCTCGCGAGGGAAGAATTTGGGGTGAGTGTGTAAACTGAAAGAGGGAGTCCAGAAACTGAGACTCGCAGATACGGAGGACCAGCGCCAAGGCTTAATGGGTCTGTCGCACTCGACCTGCATCGCATGAACAAGATTATCGAGGTCAACGACAAGTTCTCTTATGCGGTGGTCGAGCCGGGAGTCACCTTTACAGACCTGTACCTCTACTGTGTTGAGCACAAGCTGGGAGTCTGGCCAAGTGTTCCTTCACTAGGATGGGGAAGCGTGGTCGGGAACGTAAGCGATGCACTCATATTGACTGGCAGAAATACTCATCGTCTTACAGACCGTGGACCGCGGTACCGGTTTCACACCGACGGCCACACACCATCAGCACATCAGTGGAATGGAGGTCATGCTTGCCGACGGCGACCTTGTGCGGACAGGCCAGTTTGCGATATCCAACTCCCCATCAGCACACCTCTCCAAATTCAGCTTTGGCCCGTCCATCGAAGGCTTGTTCCTGCAGAGCAATCTGGGAATCGTCACCAAGATGGGGATCTGGCTTCATCCGCAACCACAAGCCTACATGTCCTGCACGTTTGACATGCCGAATTTTGAAGACGTCGAAGTTATTGTTGATATATTCGGATCATTACGCAGAGATGGACTGTTGCCCAACACAGTATACGTCTCGAATATTGTGGAATGGTTGGGTATGACGGGCAAACGTGCTGAGTTGTGGCCAGAAGAAGGCCCTATTCCAGACTGGCGGCTCCGGGAACTTCAAAAAGAATTAGGATTCGGATACTGGAACGTCAAATTTGGTCTGTATGGTGCAAAGGCGGTGGTCCAATCCCACTTTGACGAATTGAAGAGGATAATAGGACAAAAGGTGCCTGGCGCAGAGTACCATCTTCAAGGTCACCTCTTCTCTGGGGAAGACGACAAGCTTCTGGATGCAAACTCGATCCCGGATCCCCATGGTGGCTTCTTCGTCGGAGTTCCCAGCCTGTGGAGCCTACCAATGGTGAGATACAGATTGCCAAAGGAAAAGGCCGGCATAGGCGCCCATGCGGACTATTCTCCCATCATTCCCTCTGATGGCAAAATGGTGCTGGAGTGGGTGAAAACGGCTCGCAATATCTGTGAAGGCCGAGGGTTCGACCTCTTCTGCGACTTTTTTATGCATGAACGACACCTCATTTTTGTCAACATGATGGTCTTCGATAAGGCAAACCCCAGCCATCGGAAAACCGTGGATGCAATTTTCCGGGACCTGTACAGAGAAGGTCGACAAAGGGGTTTCAGCAAGTATCGGTCCCACATTAACTACATGGGTATGAAAGCATCGCACCATTCCAAGGACCATGTCTGACCAAGCTTATAGATCTGGTCGCGGACGCGTACGACTTCAACGATCACGCATACCGGAGATTTGTGGAGAGATTGAAGGTTCGTGAATCAGAAGACCACCTCATCTAGTAGTTGCTCACCAGTCTGGTAGGATACAGTAGACCCGAATGGAATCCTGTCACCCGGTAAGCAGGGCATATGGCCAGCGAGATATCGTCATCTCAAAGAAAAGCTATAGAATATGCCCCTTCACCAGGTTGCCGTATTGGACGGGTATTTCATCTATTTGCCTACGGACAGCGTTGTCAGGACTCAACTGGTTCTACTCCAGCTCTGACTCGTCGAATTCTCCTGATCGCCACAGGTTCCCCGGCGTGGCAAGTGAATCCATGGCTATATGATTGCTAGACTGCGGTTGTCAACAATCATTTCTGGTGTCTCTGCATTGTAGACGCAGTCCCCAGAATTTTGTATCAGTTCGAATCGGAAGCCTGTTGGCTTTCCATAGACTCTTTTGGCGATGCCGTTATATCCATAAACCGAGTTAGGAACTGGTGGACCTACCAAATATGCATTTGAATAGCAGGGCAAGACGGGCTCTCTTGCATGGAAATCAACACTTTGAGGACCCTACCACTCACGTCTTCCAAACTTATGATATCTACTTCACCATACTATTCTTCAGTTAGTGACAGCTTACACCTTACGTCTACTGGACCTAGCTTATTTAATAAAGGAACCGTGACTGAAGGAAGCCTGACCCGTTAGGCCAGACAGGAAGCAGCTCTGATAGCTAAGTAGTCGTCTTAGACAACCGGAGAAACCTGGAGAGGGATGGAAAATGTATTCCGTGGCAGGACACGACCATTTGATGACAGTTCCAGCTCGTAAAGGTCGAGTTCCCGGGTCTATTATTAATTTGCTTGGGGCCCTCATTTAAGACAAAGGTACTTAAATGTCATTTATAAAATACCCATCACTTCGGGTGACATGACCCATGGCACCGACATCTCAAACCCTCCGTGTTCAAACATTGCAGGAAACAGGTCGAGGTCGTGCTCGTGAGATATCACAGAACCTGGCTCCGAAGAGAAGATTGGGAGCGATTGACTCAATTTAGACAAGAGGCCGTTGTCAGCCTCGTTCCAGGTGGTCCCGCTTTGTGAAGGGAGCGAAGGAAAGTTATATCGGCGCATCAGATAGAGCACCTGCTTGGACAGGGTCCGCGCGCAGGCGAAGGAGACTTGCATCTCTTGCACGCTGCGGACACACGAATCCACGAGTTCGAGGCACTCGCCCGCATCGCTCTCCCCTCTGTCCATCCAGTTCGCTATCAAAACCAACACTGCGACGATGATGCCGGAGATTGAGTTACCTATCATGGTCCGCGCACTTCCGTGATGAGTTCTGTAGTCTTTGGTGATGGCTGCGACTCGTAGGGCGTGGCTAATGCAGGTCGAGCGGGCAGTAACCGTCTCCGGGGAAATATCCGGGATCGCTGCCCCAAAACGAGCTTCCGAGAGCCTCTCCAGCATGCAGGCACTGTGATAATGGAGACTTGGCTCTCAAGTCAGCAGAGTCGGCGACAGATAGTAAAGACGGCCATCTCCATAGATTCTCAAGGAGGAGAGCACTTGATCTCGAACAAGATACGCCATTCGCGGAGGACAACCTACTGTAACACGTGAATAGCGGGCGGCGACTCTGGAGCGTAATGAAGGCTCGGATGTAGCGCTGACAGCCACTTGCGCGCGTCCTGTTGCAGGAGCATGTTCGACGGAAGTTTTCGATTTCTGTGTAGACCAAGTTAGCAAGCGGCGGAGCGCGGAGTCGAAGTTGTGGATACATGGAATCGCATATGCGCTCGAGGAGTTCACTCAGGTCAGCCCAAGCACCAGCAATGACATCGTCCCACTTGTGTTCGCCTGGTGATGTTGCAGGACGACTTTGAGTGACATCGTCGAGGCTTATCAGATGAGGTCGCCCAAGGTATGTCGACCACAACCTGTGATTACGAGGGTCAGTATATATGACGTCAAAACGAAGGGCCAAACCTACTGATCCAAGGTGAAACAGCCCCAGAATGCAGTTCTACGTACTTCCGAGTCCATCTGGGTGCAGCTGTCCTCTCGCACCATGGAGAGCTCGTGGTTGAGGCCAAATTCGAAAGCGAGACGGATAGCGCGACCTAAGTCGATATCTCAATACTGAGTGTCTGAGCATATTTGCGGTTGTGCCTACCTGAATCCATCCATCCTCTCACGTCCGAACCCGAGTAAGAAACACAAATTACGCTCAACAGGCCCAGAGCCTGCACAGTGGTCACGCTTGCATCGTTCTGTAGCTCCTCCTCCACCAGAGTGGTGGCTTTCCGAAACAGATAAGGCTCTTCACAACGGTAGCTCTGAGTCTCAACCTCGGCCGGCACCACCAGAGCCCTGATCTCCGGGTAATCTGACACCCTGGCGGCCGAGGCCAATATGGCGTAGAGCAAAGCCTTGCTGTAGTACCGGCAACGACCGGCTTCCATGTCGCTCAAAAAGGCTTGTCGGTTAACCAATTGGATGACTCCATGCTGGTACTTCCAATAATGGTCGAGGAGGTGATTCTGGAGCTTACATGGCAGCTCGCGGGCATTATTTTGCGGTACCTCTCCCAGCGTCTCGGTACAAGAAAACCAAGAAGATATACTCTCGGCGGTGTGGAGGCTGGAAGACGGACCGTAGAAATGCAGCCGACCTGCTCGGTCTGTACTGATCCGTGGCTCAGCCCGACAAAGCCTGCCAATTAGATTGGTAGAAGACCTCCTGGACTGGATGCCTCCTCGAGAAGAGTTGAGGGATTCATGGCGCGTGGAGTCCGACAGCTGGGATGATACGTCGGTGGGCTCGCCTGCTGGTTCGCTGCTGGGAGGGACGTCCATACCGTGCTTGCGCAGCTCCGCTTCCAGCTGCAGGACGCGGCGTTCCAACTTCGTGGTGTAATTCCGGGCTGAATTGCTACATGTCGGGTTCTTCGCTTAGCGAAAGCGGTCCGTGAAGCCAAAGGAAAGCTCTGACGGTGGGTAGGGGCGCCTGGTCAAGGCACAACATACAATTTCCTTCCATCCTCCTCCGGCACGGAACAGGACAACCCCAGTTTCACGCAACGGGTACAAGGACTTCGGCTGTCTCTTTGACACTACTCGTAAACCCATTCCAGATACTTAGTCCAGGACAATGGCGACAATGCGAGACTGGTGCCCTACCTTGACTTTCTTCTGCCTACAAGCGTTGCAGGCCAGGAACATATCTTGATCGGAGGTTGGGCGCCTCCTCTTGCGTCGTGCCGTCTCCAAGGCCTCTTTGGTCGGGTCTTTGAAGATGCCATCGTCGGCGAGGAGCGAGGCGGGCAAATTGAAATTGAAGTCGGACCAGACTCGATCCATGCTTCGGGTAAGCAAGGAAGTTAGGGAAGCTATTCGTGGGAGATTCTCACTCAGCAAGGACGACTCATGAACGATGCGAGCAAAGACGACAAACAGAACAAAGAAGGAGCAAGGTCACTGGCCCGACGATCACATCACGTATGAATTTCGGGGGCTCGAGAAGGGCGGGGAAACTCCCCGCACCCCGCGTTAAGTTGTGCGCACCGATTTCTCGACCTTGGAGCCTCGAAGCGAGTCGATGATATTTGGGGCAGGACAAAGTACCCGGGACCCTGGACCGAGCTCCGCTTCGGAGGTGCAATTCTCCATTTGGCCACACAAACAGGGGCATTCTATGTCAGTGGTCAGTGACTATGGGCTTATCCACGAATCAGCCGTGGCTCAATTTGTGTGACTCCGGTGATCGTCGTCTCGACTTGAGATTCTCCCCGACTTGTTTGCCGATGCCCTCTGGCACCATGGTCGATCGTGCTGACTTTGCCCTGGTCATCTAATGAGTTTGCACTCCCCAGCAAGAGCCGAATAAGGAAACAGGATCGCCTCGAAGACTCGCCTTGGAAGTCAAGGGGTCAAATTTGTGGCGTTCACGTGGGTTCTTCCACCTTTCAACAAGCTTGCAGAAACAGCCATGTTCGCGGAGGAAGGAGCCTTTCCCAAGAGTCGGGATAGAAACGTGAGCAAGCATTGGTTGCGGAGATGTCTTCCCCGAGAGTAAATATATGGAGCAGGCACATCAATGGACCTGCAAGCCCTGGACCGAAGTGAAACTCTGGATAACTAAGGAGGGATCACTGTGCTTTCCGTGCCGAAAAGGGGAACGCCGACCCCGGAGTTGCTATTCTCCAGGGCCCGCTCGGGAAGATCCACTAGAGTGCTAGCTTGCATCCTCATCAGGTGGGGCCTATGGACGTTGCCAGAGTCATCAACACGACGCGACTCATGTCAGTCAAAGCCCGACTTCTGGAGAACAGAGTCCGCATCTTCGTCGATTAAAGTATCTGGTTCGAAGTCAAAGCAAATATCTCGCAGTAGATTTACTTCTGATGATGACAATGGGGCGGTGACGTCGTGTCACAAGGTTCGTAAGATTCGACAAATCGAAGAGCTGGGATTGGCATTGTAACCCGCAAAGGACAACAAGCCTTGATCGTGCCTCGGAAGTAGCCTCTGCTCGGCTTAACCATCACCAGGTTGCTGGTGCCTCTCTCAGCGACATGCGTCTCCTTCGAGAGGTGGTCAATTGGCCGGAGTTGCAAAGCACCGACGACTGACGGAGATTGAGCGCCGAAATGTACAACGCTGGGAGCATAGATAGGGGGGCGTCTATATCAAAGGCGACACTTATAGCACGAGAGTCTGGTATCCTCCAGCTTCAACCGAACAACACTGATCCTAATTTACAAGCGTACAGCCTTTGGTGGATTATCTCCTGCGCTGAAAGGTGCAACCATGCTCGCGCACAGCTTTCCCATGTCCTTCGTGGATGCTGTCCCAATTATTGGGGTGACAGTGGGAATTATCTTGTGCTATCGGCTCATCTACAATCTCTTCTTCCATCCGTTGGCCAAGTACCATGGCCCTTGGTATGCCGGTGCATCTTCTCTTCCGATTGCCATCATATCCGTCCTGAAAGTCGAGCCACAATGGCTTATGGGCGTAGTGAAGAGATACGGCAGTACGTCTGACCATTTTCACGGGCACGAGATGTATGCTGACCGACTACGTCAATTTAGCGAAGGAGCCGATCCGCATCTCTCCGTCAGTGTTATTGTTTCCACAACCTTCTGCTCTCAAAGAAATCTACTGGGATCCCAAATGTAACCGCAAGATGTCTCTGTACGGAACGGGTGCAATGGGACCTCCTCATCTGTTCACCACCCTTGATGGCGAAGAACACAAGAATTTGAGAAAGGCTCTCGGTGGGCAGCAAGTATGTTTCATCTAACTCGACATGCTCGACAATGAATTACTGACTGAATGCCTCGTTGACTAGTGGACGATCGGGTTCCTCAAAAATAAATGGGAGCCTCGCCTCGACGATCTGGTCTCCCTGTTCATCAGCAGGATGTCGGAAAAGGCCCAAGCTAAAGAGAAAGTCTTAATGTCTGAAAGAGTGGCGTAAGTGACGTGCGTGGATGTCATTTGAAGAGAGATGGCTGAATTGTAACAAGTGAATTTGCAGCCGATGTCATGACTATGCTTTCTTTCAGCGAGCCCTGGGGGTTTGTCAAGAACAGTCGTGACGAGCGAGGCATCCTCAGCAGCTGGCGCCGAGGACTTCCTCTGTTTGGATTCGCCGGACGCTCGACTACCTTTCGAAAGATCCTGTCCATTCCCGGTGTAGGTGAACGCTTCCTTCCCAAGGAGACTGACGAAAATGGGTTCGGTTACTTGATGAACTGGGCCGACAAGCAAGTCAGTCGTCGTGAGAAGGAGGTAGAAGATGGATTGGTGATGAAGCAACCAGATTACCTTCAATAGTGAGTCCAGGCGATATCGGGAATGCCGCGGCCCGAGTGCTGATCATCACACAATAGCTGTCTCGATGCCCGCCGGGATGGAAAGCCCCTCACCGCCGTAGAGAAACGTGCTCATGTCACACTACTCATTCAAGCCGGGGCTGATACCACGGGGACCGCTCTCGGAGCCACTCTACGATTTATGACTCTGAATCCCGAGACAAAGGAACGTGCTTGGGAGGAAATTCTTGTCGCAGAGAAGGAAGGCAAGCTCTCCACTCCGATCCAATATGAAGAGACGCGAGAGTATCTTCCCTACTTCTGCGCCTGCATCAAAGAAGCGATCAGACTGTGTCCTCCTGCCGACAATCTCTTCGGCCGTGTGGTAGGAGAAGGCGGCAAGGTGATCGAAGGTCAATTCCTTCCTCCTGGCACGGAGATTACTAGCAACGCATACGTCGTTCAGAGAGATCCCGACCTCTATCCTGATCCAGAGGCTTTCCGTCCTGAGAGATGGCTGGAAAGCAAGGAAAAGGCAGCAGAACTTGAGCTTCACCAATTCGTGTTCGGCATTGGCCCTCGCATTTGTCTAGGAAAGGACGTGGCCATTATTGAGCTACATAAGCTCCTCCCCGAGGTATGTTACATCTGTGCTTTTCTTCCCTGCAGCATGAGGACAAACGAAACCCTGTCATGAAAGATAATTGTACCCAATTTGACCAAGCCTCTTTAGATCATTCGGCGGTTCGACCTGGAGCTTGTGACAGCCGGAAAATATGTCGTAGCTGGAGGTGTTGCGTACTTCGAAAATTTCAACGTGAAACTCATCTCAAGGGAGGATGCTTTGCAATGAATTCTATAGTTCAGAGATACACTGAAATTGTATGTGGTAGTGCCCTCCCTTGACACGATTTGGTCGATTTTGGTGCCTTCTTTCTGAACCACCTCGCTCAAGGCACCCCATGGGAGTCCTCCGAAGAGAAGGGGCGAACAGGAATTAACAACAAGTAGACGAGATGTCATTTGGAGCCATTTCCCATATCTGATCTTGATTACGCTCCCTCCTCCCTGTTTGGGACATTGTATGGTCAACACAATACAGACGCCACTGAGGCAGCTGAGCCAATACGACTCTGTAGGTCATTGTGGCCTCATTTCCTAGTTTCCGCTTTGCCCTCGCTCCGATCCCAACACCAAGTGGGTTGAGAATCATGTAGATGCGCACATCACGAGGTCCTGTGCTTTCCCCGTTTCAAGAAAGCGACAACCAATACGAGGTATGTAAGCTTGACAAATCCGCCAGGTGGAAATCATGACGTGAAATTGTGAGGCTGATCGAGACCTCCCCTGGTTTCCTGTCTGCCAGGACCGAACTAGAAGCTGGTCAACTGTTGCTAGTATCTCCAAAAGACACCTACCGCCTGCGCTTCTTTCCGAAGACGGTCTAGAGCGACAGGCATTGGATAGCCTATCCAACTCCAGATGCAAGCTTGCCCAACAAGAGAGCCGATCTAGGCATTGCGAGCCCTGCATTATATTTACGGCGCATTCATGCATGGGACCTTTACGAGTTCAGAGCGGCGCGTAACATAATACTACGAGGTGCACATGCTCTTGTCGGCCTTGCGCAGAGCCGCAATACGCCTGTCTTCAGGCTTGCTTTGCTGTCAGCTCGCTAACAAGGTGAATGGCTATCTTGTTTGTGCTCCCCCCGGGCTCTCAGTTCGACCCCTTAACCCCAGGCTTTGCTGTCTTCTAATAGTTCAAGCCAAAGAGCTAGCCAGTCACAAGGCTTTCTGGCTTCCAGATGGTGCGCAGGTTACTCGTTACAATTGTGGCCCCCAACCCGGTTCAAACCAGTCAATATATTCAACGGTGAAGACCATCTGGCTGGTACTCGGTACTTGTTTCTAGACCTGCCTAAAGCACCGCATATTGCAGCAAGATACAGTACAACCCCGATCGACAGACTCCGTTGTCACAACCGAATCCTAGGAGACTTTATCCACAATTCCATACTTGAGCATCATGGTCGTCGGTGACAAGAGTATTATAAACTCGGCTTTGAAGTGGAACACTATTTGAATTGAATTGAATGGTTTTGCTGCCCTCCCATCCTGGTCAAGTACACGGTAAGTCTGCATGAATCTGGCTGTGGGTGGCTGGTAGCCGGGGCACGTGCCGAGGTTCTATAGCGAAGTGGATCCAATCTCTGCAGGGGACCAAGTTTGTCCGCAAATGGACGGAGGATCTTTTTTTCCCTCGGTGGCAGACTCTCGAAAACGAGGTATAACATTAACATGGATATGGAGATGTAGAAGCAAGTACCTAGAAGAGAAGGTCCTGATTGTATAGCTCCAGCTTGAGAGGCAAATACTCAATGGTGATGACCCTCCCAAGGTCGTACCGTTATCCACGCTCAACATACGTCCCAGTCAATCCAAGATGATTCATTCCTTTAAACATAGAAACAAGGCTATGTACCGAGTACTCCAGCGACTATTATCTCGAGCGTACATTACACCCCACCCAACCTTGACCACACGATTTACTTGGTTCATCATCAACCGCGATTTATCTCTTCATTCTCCAACTTCTTCCTCTCGCCCATCCCCAATTGGCACCTGCGCCTGGTGCAGAACAGTTGAACAGTTGATGTCTGTCTATCCCCAGTCTTTTTTGCATGATGTAAAGCCCCTCACCTCCCTCCTCGGAGAACATGGGCGGAATTTTCTTTGGGCGGCTGTGATGTTCGAATGTTTGACAGAGAACTTGTCTTTCACGTAATAATTTGGGCAGTTGGGAGCAAAGATATTTCAGGGAATAACGTGGTGGTGGATAGATCGACGAAACGAAGGCCATACATCCCTCATGCATATAGAATGGATCAAGAAAACTATACCAGCTCGACATAAGTACCTTTACATATCACAAAATGGATTTGCCCATTTTTATTTTCCCATTATCTGTCTAGATGACAACGTATTCTTTCAAATTCGCGTACATTCTATTCTTTGATATTATTACCTACCCAGGTGACCGAGTTACTTATAATAAACACTGAGGAGTTAACGGACTGACTTCAGTGAGGCATGTCAATTCGTCCGGTATCTGTTGAGATTAGCCCGCTAGAACCTTCCTATACACAATCGCATTTTTGCTATCCTTTTCCGGAGGATCTGAATATCAATTTTTCTTCTTTTTTTCTTTCTTTTCTTTTTTCAGACAAATCCATGTTCATGTCGCGGCTTTCCTTCTTCTTCGTCTTCTTCTCCAATTGTCGATCGTCTGAAAAACAAAACAACAACAATCAAGCCTCGTTTCTGTCTGCATCGTTGATCATTTCCATTCCCAACGGATTTGACACAAGGATGGGTCGTCTATACAACTGGGGCTGTGCCATGGTGGCTGGATCCGGTAGCATGCTCTACGGCTATGATGCAGCCATCATCGCTTCGACGTAAATCTTAGACCAAGCCTCCCAAGATGTCGATCAAGAGCTTACTAGATCTTCAGATTTGCTCAGACCGGCTTCATAGATTACTTCAAGCCCAATGCGACAGTAATGGGGTATGTCGTTCCACTAAGCTTGTCCTCTCCTCCCATCTCTTCTGCTGCTTGGGCTGACTTTGTCTCGACTCATCATCAGGGCGATCGGATCGAGTTACTTTGGCGGAGTCGTTCTTGGCCTGGTCCTCATCACCATGATCGCCCAGAGGCTAGGTAGGAAAAGATCCATACAGGTTGGCGGCGTGATAGGTCTCGTCGGCGCCATCATGCAGACCGCCGCTCAAGACATTGCCGTCTTCTTTGTCGGCCGGGTTATCGCAGGAGCGTCATCTGGCATCATGTTGACCACTGTCAACGTGTACCAGTCTGAAATTGCACCGCCCAAGGAACGAGGTGCCATGGTCGCGTTCCAGCTTCTCGTCCTTTCCGCAGCCGGAGCCCTGGCGTCGTGGGTCGGATACGCATGTCACTTCTCATCCAATGCCACCTTCTCTTGGTATGGATCACGATCCCCAGACTTCCTCGTTGGCAACATGGTTCACTAATAGTGAGGCATAGGCGATTCCCTATAGCTCTTCAGATGCTTCCGGCCATAGCTCTCATCATAGGATGCTTTTTCATTCCTTTCTCCCCCCGATGGCGTATGTGTGTCCTTGTGTTTGTAGCTTGCATATTGTCGAGCAACAAAAATGAGGTTATCGAAGCTGACCAGAGCATTGTTACCCACAAATCAAGTCATCTCACGAGACCGTCATGCAGAAGCCCAGGCGGTTCTGAAAAGATTACACGATGACCACGAAGACCCGCTCTTCTGGGAAAAGGAGTATCTGCAAATATCCGCGCAGCTGGCTGAAGAGGCCAGAGAGAAAGCCACAAGCTCTTGGGTCCATATACTCACCAACAAGAAAGAATTAAAGCGAACTTTGGTCGCGATCGCGGCACTCACCTGCCTGCAAACAAACGGCGCGCAGACTATCCAAGTATATCAGGTAAGCTCGACCGATTATTAACAAGGTTACGTACATGATCCTGATTTTCCCTCCAGTCAGTGCTTTACTCAAAGTTGGGCTTTTCCGTTGGTCAAACGTTGCTGATGGCCGGTGTTTTCCAAATCATCTTGACCGTAGGCTGTCTTCTGGGCTTGTTCTTGGTCGATCGAGTTGGTCGAAGAAGACTCTTTCTGGGCAGCTTCATTGTCCTGTCAATATGTCTCAGTATATTTGCAGCCTGTTCTGCCAAATATGAATCCACTGGTCGTTCGGGTACCTTCTCACTCTGTCGTTTGATGCTCGACATTGCTAATCTTCCACAGGCTATGGTAAGGGAGGGGTGGCAATGGTCATGATCTTTATCTTCTTCTTTGGGTCTATCTCCGGAACACCTTATGCATATGCCGCAGAAGTCTTAGCCACCAAGAATAGGGCGACCGGATTTGCCATGGGACTCTTCAGCTCCAACGCGATCACCATTGTATTCACTCAGACTGCGCCAATAGCCTTGGAAGCAATCAGCTGGAAGTTTAATTTCGTTTTCATCGGATGTAACCTCGTCTTCTTCCCCATCGTCTTCTTTTACTTTCCTGAGGTAAGTGCCTTCTTCCCCTTGTGAATTTTGTTGAACGGCATGACTGACGATTCAATAGACCAAAGGCCTGACATTAGAAGAGGTCAATTCGGTCTTTGGGGAGAAGGTCCAGGTGCAGCTTTCCAGCATTAGCCACGAAGCAGCGGAAAAACAAGTCATCCAAACAACTGAAATCATAAAGTCCGGGGCGTCAGCCTGATGAATGCGCGACACCATCTAGACCAACCTCCGGCTTCTCTCTGGGCGAGAAAGAGATAGTTGTCTTCAATCGTTGCTGCGGTTGAAATCAATCAATAACAAAAGGTCAATCATATCATACGCGCTTTCATGTCGTGTTTGTCTTGATCTCTTGATTTCTTAGTCTCATTATATACAATTCCGTTTCCCCTTGATCGGGGGCAAACTTGTCTTCTAGTTGCTAGATTTCGTTCTTGCGGGTTTCCCTTCCCAGGTTGAGTGACACCACGGCTTTCAGAAGAACGGCATGAACCCTCGCACTGGTGGCGGTAACCGCCTCGTGTCACTAAGCCTAGCGAGCTCTCAAGTAGTTACCCGGCGAGATCGGTAGGAGTATTAAACGATCTACGTTTGAGGTAGGTCCCCAGTCCGCTCCCTAATTAGACGCTTTAAACAATTTACCGTGAATCGTTTATGGCATTACTGATAGGGTAGGGTATGTTTCTCCAAAATATTGTTAGGGAATGGCTCAGCATCGCAATCAGACTCCTGGGCTATCTCTGGCTAACAAAGAAGAGAGAGAAGAGAGAGCTGCGCTTGGTGCTGTAGAAGGTTGGCAGACCACCCCAATAGGGAAGGTAGCGTTACGTTGGTCATGTGACTAGCACACTCCGCCACCACTCTCTTTACGCGAAACAATACAAACTGGGAACTCAAGGGACAAATTGTGGTAGCCCTCACGGACTTTTGGCTACGCTCAAGCTACTCAGGACCGCACACCCACAGCTCAGAATGGCGCTTAGGTCAACTGGAGAGGTCAGGAGCCGCCGTTGAATATTCTGGTATGGGGCCGCCGCGCTGGAACAGAGTGGAAAGCGCGGCTTGAAAAACGGCTTTGCAAGGTACGGCTCCATCATACTACTGGGGGCCAAGATGTCGACGGGGAGCCCGATACATACGCTATGGAGCCTCGAAGGATATAGACATCTGATGCAAATTCAAAGACCCGCCTTGTCACAAGTGGTGGTCCACTACCAGATCAAACAAGCGACGCGTCAAGACGTGATGCAGAAAGCTGTCGCTCTTCGCCGACATATTGAACAAGTCTTTGGAGAGAGGGTTTTCGGGAGAAAAAAAAGTCCCTCTTCTAAATACTTTCTGACATTAAAGTTTTTTTTTTTTTTACAACGGTCCCAGGCTCCCACTATAAGACCCTGATAACAGATTGTTGAGATACAGACTGAGTTCGTTGTCACAGTCGTAGTCGAAATTCATCGGGAGCCTCATACCGTCGTCCAGGGTCGGATCATGACCGGTCGAGGTCATTGGACCAAAATCAACAGCACTCGAATCATCCATCCGTCCACCGCCGACGCCTTCTTTCACCGCGCTCTCGGCGCCGTGGGGCTGGATCGGCTGTTGTTGCTGTGGTTGGAGTCCTGCTCCTGTGACAGAGGAGGCAAAGTTGTCCATGTCATCTTGATACGGTTCGTCTACCACCCGGGAAGAGTGGACTGAGGAAGAACCCATCATGGTCGGGTTCACGCCAGAGCCCGTCAGATTCGGCTCCGTGAGGGCGCTGGTGTATGAATTCGAAGGCCGGGACTGTGACCCTGAAAGGCTCACCGTCGTCGTCGTATCCGACCGCCTGCTGCGGACTTGGTCGAGACCTTGGGCACTTTGGCTGAAAGGCAGTGGTCGCTGGGCAGATTTGGCGGCATCGGAATGCCCACCACCACCACCACCACCACCTCCCCCTTCCCCCGATCGAAGAAGGTGGTCGAAACGATCCTCCAAAGAATCCAGCGTCTGCAACAGCCCGATCGGCGAGCCCCAGAACTTGATGAATTGCTTGTACGTCAGGCGCAGGACGTTGTACCTGGCCTCGGCGAGCTCGCGGTTGCCGCCCGAGGGCCCGAATTTCTTGTTGAGAAGCTGCACCGTCGCGGCGAGCCAGATGGAGGTAGCCAAGAAAGGGTTCACGTAGCGGACGTGTGTGCTGCTGCACCGGTTGAGCAGGAGGACGATTCGGTCGGAAGCTTCGACGTATTGCTGGAGCCCGTTCGCGTTGGGCTTTTGCGTCACGCACATCAGCAGCGTGCCGGGATGGCGGTTCGCCTCGGAGATGTCCCTGTCCGAGCCCCGTCTTGATGAGAGATGAGGCTTGACGATGCCCGTGCAGAATGTGTAATAGTGCGCGATCATGAACCTCGTCAGCTCTGTCAGGACGTATATGCTGTATTTGGCCTGGTGCAGCATGCTGCTGACGGGCAACTGATTTGGTTCGACAGACGTAAAGGCGAGCGGCTCGCCGTGGTATTGCAAAGCGTCCGGAAGAGCCAGGAGAGTACACTGGAGCGCATGTGAGATTATGGAGAGCTGGTCTTCCACCGTGTTATTGTGTGTCCTCTTGCTGTCCTGTCCTTGGGTTGGAGCGGGCCGAGGCTGCTGCTGCTCAGGCTCACAATATGTCGTCGTCCCCAGCGCCCTTCCCAGATACGACGTCGTCTGTGCATCTCGAGTGAGCGAAATCACAACTAGATTCCAAGCTACGGGGCTTTCGTTGCCGCTCCGTTGGAGAAGTTTCCATCGGTCTGCGGGCTTGGCCGCTAAGAAACAGCTGGCATGAAATTTCTGCTGGAACCACAGTCGATCTTCAACTGGCAAAAACACTTTGCTCTGCGACCAGTTCAGGCCCGTTGGGACGCCCCTGACCGTGCTTGCGAAAGTGTCCATCTCCCACACGGCCCACCAGCAGCGTCTGCGCTCCTCTTCTTCGCTCCAGGCGAGGATATCGTCGGCCGTCGAAGGGACATGGTCGTGCTGCTTATCTGCATCGAGTCTGTGCAGATCCAACTCGTGCGCCACACGGATACAAGTCCCAAGCCACCTCCAAGCGCGGCCATGCACTCCCTTGGTCAATTGGAAGAAAGTCGTCAATATAATAGCTTGCAAGAATTCTAGTGGGGGAGTGTTGTCTGAACACTGTGTCAATGATTCTTCTTCGAAACGCAGGGCCACTTGATGAAAGTGGTCGGCGCAAGGAATCTCGCTGGGCATCTCATCGAAAGGGTTACCCGGCATGTGGTCTGAGGCTTCGTTGAGGAAGCGAGCAGAGAACGAGCACATGGACGCCAGAAGCGCATGTAAGTAGAGCGATGGCCCCATCGACCTCAGCTTCTGCGTAAAGGTCGGCCTATGGAATAATGAAAAGGCGGTCATGTTGGAGAAGTAGGCATCGATCCTTTTAAGAGAGAGCATGTCAGCCCGTGCGCGCGGGAACATAGCATTCGCGACGAGCACTCTGGTTTACTCACAATCTTCCAAGGACAGCGGGAGAGATGTTCAACGCGTGAGACGTCTGCGATATAGCATCGGACTCGTCCATGGAGCAATTTATCAAGGACTCGCCGAATGGCACCTCATTAGGCGCCTGGCCCCATTTCGCTGGAGGGTCAACGAAACCAGAAGAGCCTATTTGGGGAACCATATTAGGCACGTCAGGACAGTGGGTTGACAGATCTCGTCGGTTGACGGCGGTTGTCGTGATTGTCGTCCCGGGCGAGGGCATCTGAAGGGGTGGCACAAATGTCTGGGTAGGCGTGAATAGGCTCGCTGGGTGACTTCTCCCAGATGTCGAGGTTTCGTCTTCGTTGGCCATCGACACACTGTGCCATTCGGTGGCGGCCATTTCATGATGGCTTGTCTGCTGCTTGCATTCCTCGCTCCGAAATCGTTTCTTCTTGGAAAGTCGTGGTTTCTTCTGGGTCGAGCCTGAAAAAGAAAATAATTGATAGGATACTCTGATCAGCAGTGTGTCGCAACAAAACATACAAAAAATGGAAGAATTTTAATAGTACCCTTCTTCGGCCCAGGACGTAGTCTCTCCAGCGGATAGGTGCAGGTCTGAGAGCTTTTCAGACAGAGGCTGCACGATGGTATTTTACGATCGCTGTGATAAGTCAGCGCGCTGCCACGAGAGCGCTCTCTCTTCTATCAGTCACAGCTTCGCTCACCATTTGGCTTTGCGTCTACCACCAAGTCGTTAGCAAGGACATAGTTCAGTTTTCATCCAAGGGGGAAAAAACAACAAGATGAAGGCGACCGCACGCTACGTACCGTCGGCAGGGTTCGCAAGAAACATCAGGCATGGTCAATGGCATCGTATTGTTGTCGTGGCTCATCTACTGTACCATGTTCAAGAGTGAGGACCACCAAAAGGAAGATTGAGAATCTGCTTAGAGGGTGGAAAAAATGGAGATTTTGAGCTGATTCGGTCCCCTCGACTTGCCGTTCCCGACCAGCTGGTCGCAAAAAGTCGCCCTGTGGGGCCCCGCGCAAAAGTTTGGGGAGGCAAAGATAACGATCTTTACCCGAATAGGCAAGTCGGATTCACTCAGGTTACCCCGTAGTTCCCGTACTCCACGCACAAAGTATTGCGGATTAATAACGGAGTAACTTCGATAAGCACAATCTGTGCCAGCGATCTGACTACCTAGGTACCTAGCTATGTCTGGCATCGCCTCCGCGTCCTCCACATCTTCTACTCCATCTCGCCAATGTTGGCCTCGACCTCAGGACCCATCCGAGTCCTCCCAAGATTCACTCTCGAGGCACGGATTACTTTACACTTGACACTTTGAAGTATGGACAAATTCGAGGAGCCCACAATCCAAACTCAACATCAACCTTGTGCCCACCCAATCGGGTGTGTCTCAATCTCTCTCTCTCTCTTTCCGCCCTAGCCGCCTACTTTCTGCACGCTAATGCTCTCCATGTCGACTTTGCCTTTCAGATCTTCGACCTCTTCAGCCGGTGCCTTGTCCATTTGGTCTGCCTCCATCAGCCCATGGCCGTCTTTGGTCAGGTGGACAATGACGGTATCTCCGAAGATCGCTCCAACCTCTTCCAGGGAGAGGCCGGTGGTCTCGGGGATGTAGAAGTAGACAATCACCACAGACACGACGTCGCAAGCCACCCAGACCAAGTAGTATTTCCATCCGATGTTCTTAAAGGCCGTCGCCGCCGGAGTGGTGTAGGTGATGGCGCCGATAAAGTAGGTGAAGAAGGTGAGTCCCAGCCCCTTGGCTCTGAGAGTCGTGGGATAGATCTCGGCGCACCACACAAACTGTGTTGGATCCAAGAAGAATCCGTAGCATACCCCGAAGAGGAAGATGAAGAACAATGCGGCACTGAGCCCCGGCTTGTCCTGTGTCCCGACGTACTGCCTTTGCAGCAGAGCCTCTGCCAAAAGACAAGCTCCAGTCGTAGGGATCCCGATCACTGCAGCCCCGAAGTCAGCTCCTAGAACTCCCATCGCAAGAGGAAACACGTCGACTTACAAAACATTTTTCGCCGACCCATCCTGTCGACTGCAAGACTATTTGCCCAATTTGCCGATGCCGCAACCACAATGTAGACAGCATACATGAGCAGGGGCATAGAGCCTGACAGGTCCAAGCTTTGGCAAATGAGAACCACGTAGTTGGTGATGCCGAGAATACCGGCCGACTGCATGGCGAATATAAGGAAGATTGTCAAGACGGCTCGCTTTCGCCAGGACGGGTGTCGAAACATGTCCAAATATCCCGCCTTGGTGTGCTTGTCGAACTCGACCTGTCTCGTAATCTGGATGTATTCGGCGCGCGCAGCTGTGTCGCCGGGATCGGTTGGATCGTGATGGATCCTTCGAATCACGTCCCATGCCTCGTCTGTGCGACTTTTCAAGCTCAGATACCGGGGTGACTCTGGAAGCCACCAGACGCCTGCAAGCATGAAGAGTGGCGAGACACAGCACAGCGCAAGGGGAAGTCTCCATTGCACTGTCAGGGACTTTGCAAAGTAACACGCATAACCGATCCACGCAGACCTGGAAGACATGTGTCAGGATCAAAGAAGCGCACACCGAGCAAAAGGAATTAGGCGACTTTGAAGCTTACGTGAAATAACCACCAGCGAACCCCCCTGCTGTGAAGGCCGTGAGAGCTCCTCGACGATGTGGCGGAGCCACTTCCGAGATGTACAAGGGAACCAGCGCGAGCAACATCCCCAGTCCGAAACCTTGTAGGAAACGACATGTCACCAACATGGGAACATTCACACTGCCGGCGACCAATGCTGAACCGATCAGGGAGCTGATGGCGGAGACAATCAGGCTGTTTTTCCGTCCAACCCAGTCGGCGAGCCATCCTTGGAAAATGGCGCCAAAGGCGGCACCTGCGGCAAATAGGGAGCTGACGGCTCCTATGATGCTGGCCGTGTACGAGCTCGTGGCTGTTGGGCGTTTGTCAGTAAGCGTGTCGCTGTTTAGCTCTGTAGACAGCAAGAAAAACTCACGTTCAAGGTCAAAGTACAAGTAGAAGCCGGGCACCCCAATGGAAGTAGCGAAGATGGCGTAACAAAACCCATAGGTATAAGAGCCCAGGGCAACAAAGGCCACGATGAGCTTATTGAAGAGTGTTAGTTTGACCATGGTGAGACCGAGAGATACCGAGATGTCTCTCTTGTCGCTGTTTTTTTTTCGTTCAAAGTTATGTTTTTGGAGGTATGGTTCGTTGGGGGTCTCATGATAGTTCTATTTGTATCATGGCTGGCTCTAGCCACCATCACTAAACCCATCTTGTTTCTTCGTCTCTTTTCAGCCTGCGGTGCAATTTCCAGGGGGTGTGAAAATGCTCTACGGCCTGACTTGGAGCCTGTGGGCTCCAAGCTGAGTTACGGGGTGATGCTGGAGCGATCAATTAGTGCAAGATCGGCAGTGTCGATGCCGAGATGCTTGGACCTATCATTCTCTACACCAACCGAAATACCCCGTGGGGGAGCCGCCAAACATTTGGAACCACTCCGCCTAATGGCGGATTGCGTGATTGAACACCGAGAGAATCGGGATAGCGACACCGGGCTAGTCTTCGTTCACAAGCACCAAAAACGCTCAGAATTCCTCCGTTATCGAAGCGCGCTAGAGTCCCGTTTTGGCCCGATGACAACATCGCAACATTACGCCAGTGGAGGAGTTCTTGCTGGTCATGCTAAGAGAGGAAGAAGAGTCGTCTGAGGGTTCTCGTCTCTCCTGTCACCACCCTCGACGAGCGAAATAGATTGGGCACAGCCAAGAGAAAACTTCCAAAAAGACGATGAACAAAACTTCGTAAAATTACTCCGTCGTAGTTTGTTACTCCCGAAGCAACACAGCAACAAAAGATAATCTGATAAGCTTGTATTGAAGCCCTGACAGGGGCACTATGGGTAAAATTGCGATATCTAAGATGCATGCCTTGAATGATACTACTGGCCGCCTCACTCATATGGAGCAAGGAATTTCCTAGCGCTGGCGAGCTCCCGGGTGATAACGTCAATGTGTGCTTGACTTCTTGGTTTAAATACACACTTGAACGGAGCTGGACCATGCAGTAGACCTTCAATATAGTTGTCGGGGTCCAACTTGACCGGTTTCCCCGTGGCCGGGTCTAAACCGGGAAGGATATCAAAAGCCCAGAGCAGTTTTGCTGCGATTCTCCATTGCGTACGCTCTGCCAAATGGATACCGGGGCACATACGACGTCCACTGCCGTAGCCATAATGATGTACGATGAGTTAGCTTGTAGCCATCTACTTAGGATGAAGAGGGAATGCTTATCTCGGTTATCGTAGTCGGCACCACCGGCATAGTCGTTGGCGAGCTTCGGATGGTTGATGTATCTCTCAGGCTTGAAGCTATAAGGGTCGTCATAGCCAAACCGCTCCGCATGGTGCAGAGCCCATGTAGGAATGAATATAGTCGAGTCTTTGGGAATCAACATTCCTTCGTAGTAGTCATCTTCGGCCACGCGGTGGGGGATGCCGACAGGCGCCCTAGAAGAAAACATTAACAATATGCTCGAAATACTGTGAGTGGCGACATACGCAGGACGCCATCTCATGCCTTCCTTGATGATGCAGTTTATGTAGGGAAGACGATTGAAATCTGACCACTGGGGCATCCTGTGGCGGTGTGGTTAGCACAGTAAATCTTGAGGGAAGAGAGAGCGAAGTCTACCGTTCTGTACCACACACGGCGTCCAGCTCCCTCTGAGCTTTAGCCTGGACGTGAGGGTTCATAGCGAGGCAGAGAACAAGAGTCAGCATCGTGGAAGAAGTCGTTTCAGCGCCACCCTCGACAAGCAAGCCGAAAAAGTGGTCAAGCTCTTGCTTGCTCAAGGGGGAGCCCTTTTCTGTGTACTCATCCAAGAGCTTGTCGGCGAGGGAACCAAGAGAGGTCCGAATGTCTCCCCGTTTCCTTCGTTCGTCGACTCTTCTACGCGCCTCGCTCCAGATATTGTGCATCACAGTCCCGGCGTATTTGGCTCGGGTTTTCCAGGGACACAGGAACTCGGGCAGATACTTGAGCACGGGGAACTCGTCCACTGGCGGATTTGCTCCAGGCTCCAGGGCTTCTCCGAACTAGACACATTGTCAAAACATGGATACCGTGCAGTGGTGCTGCTGGTCAACAATACCTTGTCCAATGCATCGTAAACACACTAAATATGTCGGTCAGTACTTTTCGCAAAACCATATCGAGCGAGCACTTGTCTTACATGACCCCAGAAGTCCTCATACGACAGGGCTCGGTGACCGAATACCAGAATGCAAGCGATGGACGAGGTCAGGCGTTTCATGTGGTTATAGAAGTCCTCGGGCTTCTGGATGAGATCATTCAACAAGACTGTCACCCTGTCGAGGGGTTAGCTGCCGTAGACTTGAAGCTAACAAGGAACGAAAGGCTTTGAGACACCCGCCGTCAGGTATCAGAAACCAGGACTCACTCGGCATCTTGGACAGGGGCAACTCTCTCGTCCAGTACTTTTGGCTAACACGGCACGTTAGTTGTCTTTCCAAGTACGGTTTGAATGGGAGGGAGCCTTACAGAGAAATTGTGGGTGGCAATCTTGCGTTTGGCTTTCTGTCTTTCATGGTGGTCTTGGAACACAAGGCTGTCTCCGTGGGTAACCAGATCATTCACGAAGCTGTGAGGTCTCTCTGCGTAGAGCAACCCCTTTTTGTCTACCAGATCATGAACTGCCTTGCGGTCATAGAGGACGATGACATTGGAGGAAGCGAACTTGAGGGAATAGATTCCGCCGAACTCCTCGCCCCATTCCTTGAATCTGAAAGAAACCCGTTAGTTTGGAAGGTTATACACGAATCTCGTGCATTTCACTTCGATTGACTTACCTTTTGTACATCCCAGTGATGGGTATCTGGTGAAGGTTTCCCAACAAGGGTAGTGTAGGAGGCCCTGGAGGCATGCGTTTGTCTCTTCGCCCGATTTGAAGGATGCGGTAAATTCCATAGGCAACAATCGCGACGACGCATATGTACCAAGCGGTCGTCCCTTGGAAGCTCTTAGGCATCGAGCGCCAGTCCACTCTGCCGGCCTCTACCGCCATTGTCGAGTCTGAATTCCCGTGGTCAAAGGTGTAGCGTAGCGGTGATGTCGGCAAGCTTGTACCGTCGTGAACAGACTATATGCAAAGGCTGAATCGAAAACGGGAATATATCTCTGGGCCTTTTTCTAGCTTACAGGTCTGTCTGGGGAAACTACGTTGGCTGCGGCGGTATATTTAGATATTGATCCTTTCCTACGTAACTCATGGGTCGACTTGCTCGGGAGCTGCGCGATTGTCTTCCTCCCGTAAACGGCCCGAATTCGTCGATTCCCCCATGATGTTTGCCCCAGTGTCTCTAACCCACAAATCCAGATACTCGGCCCGGAGATCGCATCCTCAAGGCTGGCGGCACAATTTCATACTCCTCCAGACTTTTGGCCAAGTTGACATATCAGTACTTTTATCTGACTCCTCCCCAGCGCGGGGTGGTGTCCTGGGAGCAGCCATTTCGTTACCTGCCACTCTCTTATTCCAAAAAGAACCATTTGCTCCGTAAGTGGAAGAACAATCTACATCCGAGTATGTAACTATTGGCAATAAAAAGACACCTTCATCGCTGACCTGTGTTTATCATCTACACCGAAGTAGAGCCATAGAAAAATGTCGAGCACAAAGTTCACCATGGAGTATTCTCGGTAAGCACAGTATTGGTCTGTTTGTGCAATGGTTGCCAAGCTTACACTCATTATCAAGGGTGGGCCGCGCCGGACTAAAGGTGTCCAAGATCATTCTGGGAGGCATGTCCTTTGGAAGCAGTGAATGGCAGGACTGGGTCCTTGACGAGAAGTCCTCTCTACCCATCATCGAACATGCCTACAAAGCGGGCATAAACACATGGGACACTGTAAGTCCTTGCATTCTATCTACACGATCCATGGTCCCTGGTCTCATACAAGAACCAGGCAGATATCTATTCCCATGGAGAAAGCGAAAGGATCCTGGGACAGGCAATCAAAAAGCTCAACATTCCTCGCGAGAATATCGTGATTATGACAAAGGCGTATTTTGCCCTGAGTCAAGACGGTCACCAGATCCCCTTGACCGAGTGCATGGTGAACGACGGGCATCTAACAAATCGAGTTGGATTGAGTCGCAAGAAATTGTTCGACGCCGTGGATGCATGTGTAGAACGGCTCGGCACCTACATCGATATCTTCCAAATCCACAGGCTTGACAGAGATGTGCCCAAGGAGGAACTAATGCGGACGCTCAACGATCTGGTGAACTCTGGAAAAGTGCGCTATATCGGTGCCAGCTCGGTGAGTTTCTTTTTACTCTTATTTCCGACAGTTCTGAAGACGGCCATACTAATAAATGGTGGGACGTTTTAGATGTCAGCGTGGGAATTTCAGCAGCTACAGGCAATCGCCGACAAGAATGGCTGGCACAAATTCATCAGCATGCAAAACTATTTGAACCTGCTTTATCGAGAAGAGGAGCGAGAAATGCTGCCATACTGTGAAGATACCGGCGTTGGAATCCTGCCCTGGTCACCCCTGGCAGGAGGTATGCTCGCACGCCCATGGGGTTCAACCACCAAACGAGATGAGACCGATCAGCATAAACTCCCCCATGGGATGGTGGAAGTACAGAAAATCATTGTCGAACGCGTTGAGGAGCTTGCACGGAAGAAGGGCGTACCCATGAGTGCTATATCCACCGCCTGGGTTCTGCGGAAGGGTGCCTGTCCCATCTTAGGGTTGACTTCAAAGGAAAGAATCGATGATGCGGTTTTGGCTTTGCAGGTCAATTTGACGGATGAAGAGGTAAGGTATCTAGAGGAGCCGTACCTGCCACGGCCTGTTACTGGATATTAGTTAGGTCTGAATGTGAAAACATACACTTGAAAAGCATCACCAGCATAGTCATAGCTCAGACTTCCGAGTAACAATGTACTACTGTCTTGATGAATTGAAACTCTCGATACCTCCCAAAGTCAGCCGCAAGAGTTCTGCATGTCTCGAAGTTCTGCCACATCATTCTAGCTCGAGGTTATTGTCAAAGGGGCCGGCGCGGACCAAAATGAGATCCACCCGAAGATGAAATTTATCCGCCTTACCGGACTATCAATGGTGGCCTATTAGGGCCAATTGCACATCACCATTGATGTGACGGTTGGTCTCGGGAGGAAATCCAGGTCTAAATACACGCACTGGCCGGTTTATTATGCCCTGGATGGACATCGCCTGGCTCCTGCGAAGACGTCTACCTTGGGAGTCTGCAGATATCATCTCGTGTTGGAGGGTCAACAGCTCCGTTGTCGTGCTCAAATGGCAACCTGGACGTCGCGCCTCGCTAGTACTTGACGGCTTTCACTCATCCGACTACTTGTTGGGAAGTGATATAGATCTTGTCAGCTTACTCTGCTCAACAAAGCTTTGTACGATGATACCAAAAATGGTAAGCCTCCGAGAGCATCTCGCAAAAGCTGTCTGATTGACAATGCCTCTATCAGTCATCGATGGAACACTTTCTCAGGTTGAATCCTTTGCTCCCTTTGCTGTTTGTGGTCGTTCTCCTGTATTTTACCCGACAATATCTACACCAGACCCGGAAAACTGAGGAAGAGGACGACCTAAAACGAGTTGATGGATTCAAGAGCGGCGGAAACTCTAGAGATATCGTCGAGCATATGAAGTCCACAGGGACAAACTTGGTCGTTTTCTTCGGATCTCAAACTGGAACAGCTCAAGACTACGCCGGAAAGTTAGCGAAAGAAGGTCATTCTCGGTTTGGATTAAAAACTCTGGTCGCCGACATTGAGGACTATGACTACGAAAACCTGGTGGATTTCCCTTCGGACAGCGCCGCCATCTTTGTGTTGGCGACCTATGGCGAGGGAGAACCGACCGACAATGCCGTCGACTTTTGGCAATTCATTACCGACCAAAATCCTCCATTTGCTTCAGACAAAGAAACCCCTTTGAGTAGTTTGAAATACGCGATGTTCGGGCTTGGAAACTCCACGTATGAGCATTTCAATGCCGTCGTTAGGAAGGTGGACAGTTGCCTAGAAGCTCATGGTGCCTCACGGCTGTGTGAGACCGGCGAAGGAGATGATGGCGGCAACAAAACTACAGAAGAGGACTTCTTGACCTGGAAAGAGACCATGTGGAAGCGTCTAGCTTCCGAGATGCATCTGGAAGAGTGCGAGCAAGTCTACGAGCCCAGTTTCGACGTCCAAGAAAAGGAAACACAGTCAGATGCACCTCTCGTCTACCTTGGAGAACCGAACTCGACGCATCTATCTGGCGAGCAGCGTGGTCCGTTTGGCGCCCACAACCCATACCTCGCGCCGATTGTCGAGTCCTTTGAACTCTTTACCGTGCCAGGACGAAATTGTCTCCACATCGAATTCGACATTGGTGATTCCACCCTAGCTTACCAGACCGGGGATCATTTGGGAGTTTGGCCCATGAATGCCGATGTCGAAGTGGAGCGTTTCCTGAGAGTGTTTGGTCTCTGGGACAAGCGAAACACAGTCGTTGAAATCAAGGCTGACAGTCAAGGGAAGGTGCCTTTTCCGACCCCAACCACCTACGAAGCAGCAGTTCGATATTACCTCGAAATCTGTGTGCCTGTCTCCCGGCAGTTTGTTGGTATGCTGGCGCAGTTCAGCCCTTCTGAGGATGCCCGAAAGCAGCTGGCCAAGCTGGGTAGTGACAAAGAGTATTTCCACCAAGGAGTCGCCGCAAAGTGTTTGAATCTGGCCCAGCTTCTGGAGGCCATAAGTCCTACCCTCCCTTTTTCAGACGTGCCTTTCTCGGCTATAATCGAGAATATACGCCGACTGCAGCCTCGGTACTACTCCATCTCATCGTCGTCTCTGGTCCAGAGCCACAAAATATCCATCACTGCAGTCGTGGAATCTCGGCAGGTGGCTTCAGAGACAAAGTACCTGAAGGGTGTTGCAACAAATTATTTACTTGCTCTCAAACAAAAGAGATCGGGCGAAGTCAATCCAGATCCGTACGGAAGGACTTACCATCTGGAAGGTCCTCGAGGCAAGTATACGCTTAAGGTACCAGTATACGTGCGGCCATCCACCTTCAAGCTTCCCTCTGACGCTTCATTACCGGTCATCATGGTCGGCCCTGGGACGGGTGTAGCTCCTTTCCGGGCATTTGTCCAGGAGCGAGCGTTTTTGGCAAAGTCAGGCCAAGAAGTCGGCCAAACAGTTCTCTTCTTCGGTTGCAGGCGGCGATCAGAGGATTTTCTCTATGAAAAAGAATGGCAGGTAAGGCAATCTCTTGGGCATCGCGCGATTGTTCCTCCTTGGGCTAAGCAAACGGAATCACAGGACTACAAAGATGCACTTGGGGAGAAATTTCAGCTTTTCACTGCATTCTCCCGAGAGACCAGTCAAAAGGTCTACGTTCAACATCTCTTGGCTGAGCAGTCGGACCTCATTTACAGCCTCTTACAACATAAGGCTTATTTCTATGTCTGCGGGGATGCGGCACACATGGCCAAAGATGTCAATGAGGCGCTTGCGCATCTGGTAGCTCAAGGGGAAAAGATTTCATTAACTGAGGCTGAGAACCATATCAAAAGAATGAGGAATTCGGCTCAATACTTAGTATGTCCTTTCCTCCCCATACTGCTTTTTCTGACCGCCGACGACTCCGTTCTACCCCATGCTAATGTTCTACAGGAGGATGTATGGTCATGATGCGAGTTCCAGAGTGCAGTCGAAATTTTTTACTCTCCGGGGCTGTGGCTTTGCAGCTGGCGGGGGATCTGACGGAACGCCTTCTAGACCGACAGGTAGATGGATATGTGATTATTCAAAGTGGAGCATATCTCCACAACTGTTCTGAACCCATTGTGAATACTATGTTGCGATACTCGGTATATGCTGCGAAGCTACCATCTTCTCCAGGATTGGTACATAATGCCATTTTCTCAGCTGGTGTTTGATGAGATTCTCCGACGAGCTGAGACCATTTCGTAGCGTGAGTCTGCTACACGGGGCAATTATTTGATCTACCAGTAACGAGGGACGGTGCAACTTTTCGCAAGTCGGACCGTCAAGGATAAAACAGTTATATGGTGCCAAAGAAAACATCACCTGAGCGATTGTCCATGCATGTCTGTAAACAGCGACTCTGTAAAGGGAAAGACGACAACTCTTACATTGCTGGCTACCGTAATACTCACGAGACGAGATGGCTCACGGACGCGTGAAAGGCTGGATCCAGGACGAGGTAAAAATCCCTGTTCCAAACGGACTTCTGCAGGGGAAAATCGACTGACATACTATTACAACTGTTACAGGAGGAATATCAGGGTATTGATAAGACGCTTGGATTCCTCAATATGCCCAAAAGTACGGTACGGAACAGAGCCGAGAAAATACAATCCACGCTCAATATGGAGGGATCATGTTGGCTTACTTTTTATTTTGGTAATAGGACCATAAAGCGGAATTCGCAAAGGAAGAGGAGGAGATCCTCGAGCAGCTGTACAAAGGGTGGTTGCGCTACTGGAACAAGGAGTCGATGCACGACCCCGGGGCGAACCAATCACGCAGGTTCTACGACTTTAAAGAGATGCTCAGCTATGACATGTTCGGGACCACCATGCGAGGCAAGTTCAAGGAGCACTTTGAGAATGTGTTCCCGTACTACGTCGACGGCCAGATGGAATACAAGGACCTCGAGATCGTTGTGCTCTCTCCGACTCACGCCTTCACCACGTGCTATCAGCACACCTGGGGAAAGGCGGGCGGAGATCCCTTCAACATCACATTCCGAAGGACGGGGATTGCGAGGAAGCAAGATGGCCAATGGAAATGGATCCACGAGCATCTTTCGTTCCCCGTAAACATGGCAACCAGGCAGGCCGACTACAATTGTGAAAGCAATGCTCTTGAGTCGTTCAAGTTTCAGGAATGAGTTGGCCATTTAAGGGGAAAACGTTTCTCATAGCCAGAATTGTGCAAACTTGAGGACTTGAGTCGTGATCTTTTTAGTATATGACCGACTGCGGCGATTTCTTGCTGGTCAAAAACCCTCGCCTCCTCATGTAAAATCTTGGTAGATGATCATTATTGATTTTAGAGTTACATATAGACCAGGAGACTTTCTTTAAGCTACGGATTTCACGGCTCGTGTAAAAGTAAGAAAAACACCCGCCACTGGGGGCCGTTAATCGGCTCAATGTCGTACGTAGAGGGGGGATCAGAGTAACAGCCCAGGGCGGACAAATTGTACCTCATCTCTCCGATCCAGTCAATTTCGAAGCATTTCACAAAAAAAGAAAAAAAGACCCGAAACTCACTCGACTTGATTGGGAAAACAGTTAAGAGGACCATAATTTGCGGCGGATGGTCTCGTGTCCGGAACGATCTGTCGTTATTGCTCTTTTGTGAAAAGTCAAGACCCTTTTTGTCCTCTAAACAATTTGAAACCCGCCAGCACATCCTTTTGCAACAGATGGCTCCGTCCACCAAGACCCGGAGCGCGAAGACTTTCACTGCGGACGAAATCATCAAGCACCACTCAAAGGAAGACTTGTATCTTGTCGTTCATGGCAAGGTCTATGATGTGACGAGATTCGCAGATCAACATCCGCAAGTCAACGCCCCTCTCTCTGCATTTGCCATAGAAGCTTTTGCTAACGAGACAGCAGGGGTGGTCAGGAAGTACTCATCGACCAAGGCGGCGTTGACGCCACAGAGGCATTTGAAGAGGTGGGACACAGCGAAGAAGCACGGAAACAACTTGCAGAGTTCTACATCGGCGAACTGAGGCGGCAGGTAAGTGGTCTCTCTCGTTACTCGGAAGATTGGAAGACCTGCGAATTAAGATTGTCTACAGGCCGACGACGAGAAGCTGCTGGGTGCGCGAGGAAAGGCTTACAAGAGCTATCACGATGGCTCCACGTCTAGGGGTATGCCGACTTACGTATGGGTTTTGATCGTAGTGGTAGCCAGCATGCTTGTCATTCTGGGATTACAATTTCAATTTCTATAGCTGATACTGGCGCGGACCAGTAGATTTGGAGTAATTGAGCTAACAGAATCTGCGGCTTGTGAATTTGACAGAGATGGTAGTCCGGATTAATGCTTTCCTCCTGCAAGGTCTCCTCAAAAGATGTCACGAAGCGTGGCGTACCGACCTTCTCGCAGAGGTGCTGTCAGTACAGCCATCGTTCGCAACGGGGAAGCAAAAGGCCTCTTTTATTCAAAAAACCATGGATGGCGACACCCTACTTGGATGTATGGGCCATCTTGACGAAGTCGCCAATGTCCTCTACTTCATGCTGAGGGACAAGGCTTCGTTCGTGACAGGGGTGAGACATTATACGCGTGTCTCTAGACCCGGTAGTTTAGCTAAGATGCTCCCAGCCCACTAGTTTTACCCGCCGAAGATATCGATGAAAATGGAGGAAAGGGCTGCCGCACTCACACTCGAAGTTGCCAGCAGGCTCTCAAAGCATTCTTAGCCTACCTCATCTCACGGAGACGAGTCCTAACGGGACATGCTCCGTGGAGAAGTGTATACACCTGTCATGACTTTGCATTCCTCAGATTAAACTTCCTGCTGCGTAAGCTGTTCAGGCCGAATTATATATCAGGAGACCCAAAGTCGGAGTGTTGATTGTCGAATATTTTCAAATTAGAGCAAAGATTGTTGCCACAAATCTAGAGTCTCTCTCTCTCTCTCTCTCTCTCTCTCACACACACACAGAGGTTGCGCCTGGTAGAACTTCATCCGTTTCCGTCTATGGCATAGTGGAGCATGCAGTGGAGCCCTGAAGCACCGACGAATTATTTTACGGCTTCCCCACACGACAAAGGAGTCTGCCAAAGGTCGCAGAATGCCCCCAAGGCGAATCAACATAGTCAGATTACCAAAAACCAAGTTTTGCAGTGTCAATCATAATGCTCGAACCTTGTCATGCAGAAAATTCCGGCGTTTGGGATGCTTCGGTGGGCGGACTAACTTGACTCGAGCAATCAGATTCATACATATTACATTTTAGCAGGCTTTTCCGGACATATTGTTGATGCACGTTCGCCAAGACGTTGAAATTAGTCCGACTATCAGACAAATGGGTGACAACCAAACTGTTCATATACACCTCGTGCGTTATATTGAGGCGATTGTCCAATTTGATTTTGAAAGCCCTTTTTGCGCGGATTGCAGAGTGCTTGTTTGACAAGGTAACCCAGTTTTCGACAGCGATCATGGCTCAACCATTCCAACAACTCCCGTACCTCAGCTACGGTCTGCTGGTCCTGGGCATTTATGTAGTCTACCGAATCCTCCGGATTGGTAGGCGAGACCCGAGAATGCCAAAGGGTCCTCCTACACTTCCGATTCTGGGCAATTTCCATCAAATCCCATCGACAGGGATGTATAGGCAGTACGTGAAACCCCCCTGTAGAAACACCATTTGACAACTGGCTGAGGATGGGGACAGATTCCGCGAGTGGGCGAAAGAGTACGGCCCGGTGTTTTCACTGAAATTCGGACCGTCCAACATCATCGTTCTTAGCGACCGGGAGGCCATCCACGAACTTATCGACAAGAAAGGCAGCATCTATTCGGACCGGCCGACAACATATGTTGGTAACCTACTGACCAGGGGAGACCACATTGCAATTTCGCCAGCGGACTCGCTCTGGAGAGAAAAGCGAAAAGTCATTGCACACAACTTCTCCCCCAAGATGCTCGACGAGAAACATTTTAGAGTTCAAGAGGCAGAGTAAGTTCATCACGGCGGCTAAAGACGTGTAGTAAAGAGCTTGGCCTAACACACTACTTACAGGGGCATCGTATTGATGAATGACCTGTTGAACCATCCAGACGGCTTTTTCAACCATATCCGTCGATATACGGCGTCGGTGGCTGCGACATTAGTCTATGGCCAGCGAGGTGCCACTTTTGACTCCTTCTGGGGCCATGTATGGAAACCAACTTCTGTGGACTTGAAAAGACTAAAGGGCTAACGGACAATGTAGGCCGTCTACGACGTGATGACCAAGGTGAGCAAAGCATCTTTTTGGTGATTGAGTCGTCTAAAATATATCCTAGTGGACGGAATGTATGGAACCTGGAGCGAATCCGCCCGTTGACGAGTACCCGATCTTGAAATATATCCCCAAAAACCTCGCGTTATGGAAGCGACGGGCATTGCGAGCAGGAGACACCATGGACGCAGTATGGACTCGAGCACGTCAGATCATCGAGGCACGAAGGGCCAAGGGCGACAAACGCGACTGCATCGCCGACCGACTTCTGGACGAGTATAACGAGAAAGGCTTCCCGATGAGTCAACACGCGTTTAATAATCTCATCGGCGAGTTGGTCGAAGGAGGAGCGGACACGACGTCCGCACAGCTGTTGACCATGGTCCTGGCCCTGGCGCGCAACCCCTGGGTACAGGAAAAGGCACGAAAAGAAATCGATCCATTGTGTGGCTCCTCTCGCTCGCCGCAGTGGTCCACGGACTTCCAAAGCCTCCCGTATATCAACGCTATCGTCAAGGAGGGCATGAGATGGCGACCAGTGTATGTACATCAGATGTTCCACACTGAATATGTTCCGCCGTCACTGACATTTGTATGTGGCTAGCGCTGTGACTGCTCTTCCTCACAGAGTCAGACAAGGTATGTGAGGACACCCCTACATGTCCGAAATAGATGCTCTAACACGAGCCAAGATGACTACTACAAGGGTATGCTGATCCCGAAAGACTCGACCATCTTCATTCCCACCTGGGCCATCCACCATAATCCGGAAATCTACCCCAATGACGAAGACTTCAACCCCGACCGCTTCTTGAACTACCCTAAGCTGGCGAGTGAATACGCCGGGAGCGCCAACTGGAAAGACCGAGATAAGTCCAAGGCTACTCCTTCAAAAGCTTCTAAAGGTTGACTAACCTCTATGATACATCACTACGGATACGGTGCCGGGCGCAGAGTGTGCCCTGGGATGCACTTAGCCGAGCGAAACATGTGGCGAATAACCTCTAAGTTACTTTGGGCTTTCGACATACGCGAACCAGTCGACCCCGTCACCGGCAAGACAATCCCACTCGACCCGACCGCGTACAACCCAGGCATTACGCAGGCGCCTCTCCCGTTCAAGGTCAGGATCACTCCTCGTAGCCCTGAGCACGCCGCTGTTCTACGAAAGGAATATCGGGCTGCTCTGGACTTTCTCGCTCCCTTCGAGTCTAACGAATGATTGTACGATGTGACTGCTGGAGGCGAATGTAGGACCAGCGCACTTACCATCTTGCACTTAAAGTTCTTTGCGTAAAGCATGGATAACACGCAGTTTCGAGAGAAGTGATGCTGCGAATCAGTTTGCCCAGGTCAAATGAACTGCAAAAACAAAACCATGAAATAAATGTCATAACAAGACAAGATAAACCTCGTTACTTGAAACAAAGAATCTACCATCTCCAAGCGACGTCCTCATCTGATAGACGTTGATAAGATATTGTCAGAATCTCACTCTGGACAAGTAGGCACTAGTGAATTGAAATACTATTTACCTAGTAAGGACTATTCCGTTCTGAAGGGCTTATTTAGGTATAGTGTAAAATACATCGGAGTAATTACTATTGTTCCTCATTTAGTATTTCCTTCGCTGGAGCTTATCCACTATTAGGCAACTAGGATTAGTATAAAACCTCCCCGCCTAACCTTCCTAATATAGTATGAATAAGTACCACTAGGCAGAGAGGAACTCAATCTCAACAGCTACTGAATTATCTTTATTATATTACGAACAGGCCTAAGAAGGGGCTACGAAAGGAGGAAGGGAAGCGAAAGTATACCGGTGAGAAGTGACGATAGAGGTTAGTTATCAGGACCTACGCTACACAGCGGGTACTAATCGATTAGTTAACTATATATGATTATCTATCTATAGTACCTATAGATAATGACTTAACACTTAGGAAGCGAGAAGAATATATCCCCTACCGAATTATAAGAGTTAAGGTTCTTATAGCTGTCACGAACACCTATGTAATATTATACACTTAGGTTAGGCTACTAGCTAAGTCGCTAGCTTATTATATATATATAGTAAGCGAGATTATATCTATTAACCTTAAAGTCTTCTTTAAGCGTTAATATCTCTATCTACAGGCTAGTTATTCTATCATTATCCATCCTAGAGTATATATATTCACCCTCTAGTTAGGTAACTAGTCTAATAGTATCGTAGTCACTATTCTTCCTCTTTAGGAGGAAAGTCTATCGTAAATATTAGTATTCTTTAGTCCTACTATATAGGGCTATAAGAAAGAAACTTTATAAGAGTAGCTTAGGAGATCTAGAATCTAAGAATATATTACTCTTTAGTTCCTTCTTATAGCTTTTATCGAGGTAGAAAAAAGAAGATCGTCGGGGAGCCCTTTAACTCTAATAGTTAATTAGGAGAAACTATAGTTTCCTATAGTTAATAGTATTAATTTTAACTACCTTCTCTAGCCTTTTACGATATATTATTCCCTACGCCTCGACTTTATACTTCTACTCCTAGAATTACGTAAGGATATAGAGCTATCGCTAGTATTTTAGTCTACTTAACCCTCTAATAATACTATCTCCTCTTTCGGCGAGTTACCTTTACGATAACGTCTTTAACTAGACGATATAGGAATTCTAGAGACTAGAGTCTAACGTCTAGAAGCCGCCTAAGTTAAAGAGTATAGACGAGAGGCTAGGAGAGGACACTATAAAGCTATTATATTATAGAGCCTAGGATATAGATAACTCGTCGATAGTAGATATGATTCTTGAAGGGATAGGAACGTATATATTATCGTAAGCTAACTATTTCACTAGTAGTAATTCCGATAGAGAGATAAATAATATAAATAGCGAATAGCTAGCTAGCTTTAGTAGACTACTAAAACGAAAGCCTACTATCAAATAACTCACTAGTTAAGAGGCTAATCATCGTTATTACCTACGCGGTAGCTATTAGAGCGACAACTACAGTCT